CAAAAAAAACCCCACCCCTAATTTTAAAATCTTCAAAAAAAACCCCCCCCCTTTTTTTCCCCGGTTTTTTTTTATAAATATATATTTTTATACTTTTATAGATTAAAAGCCTCTAAGGTATTTTTAAAACTTTTAAAAACAAAAATAACCTTTTGGCCCCAAGGTGTGGGGCTTAAGGAAAAAAAGAACAGAATAAAATAAGAGGGTTTTTCCTTTTAATCCAACGGGGAGCCTAAAAAAAAAAACCTTACCCCTTTTCCTTTTTTACTTTCACTAGGAAATAGGTTTAGAAGGGAAGCAAGGTAGTTTTAAACTTTTAAGGGGTTTACCCTTACGTTTATAACACCTGCCAATTTAGCGGTAGCAATAAAAATTCTATAAAGGGGATTACTTTTAAGGTGAAGGTTTCGGCCCTTAAATCCTTCTAGGCCCTTTTGGGCAATAATTCATCCGAAGAAAGCCGTGCTCGCTAAGCACGTTTCTTAAGTGGAGAGGCAGCAACGCTCTATACGTACGAAGCAAAGAATAAACTTAGTGAATAACTGTTCTAACGTAAGTAGCGTCTAGAGATAAGCGTTACTTATACACGCATAGTTAGCTGTCGCGCTCTTAAACGCTGCTAGGGGTTATAAAGGCGAGTTTTATCCTGCTTTTTAAGATAATATCTGCACTATAAGAGCTGTATGTATAAGAGTCCTTTCTACAGGCGCGCGTACTAGTTGGCTTAGGATGTACATATATCTCAGAGCTAGTGCTATAGGTCTTCTATTCGCTACCTTAATCGCTGTAGATAAGGCAGTCGAGTTTTTTCAGCTCAGAGGTCCGTTATTCGCTAGTGTTTTGTAGGCATAAACGTATGCATTAAGGGGCATTGGCACGCAATAATAGCTATATAGGTTATAGTATTCATGCTATACCAAATAGAGTCTTTTATCTTTTATACATTCGCCATATATTCAAAGGAGTTGTTACTTATGTCCTTATAGGTCTTCTAATCGAACTCTATATCAGCGACCGACCATTGCTCTAGTAGGCTCTTAAGAACAACAAAGGCACTTGCCTATTTACTCTCGGTAACCCGATTTTTACGGTAAGTAGGAATGTTAAAGGTGTACTTAGGTAGGCTAGGTAAGTTAGGCAAGCAAGGAGGTATCTTCTTAACAAGAGGAAACAGCCGTATATTCAATAGCTAATTCTTGCCTTCTACACTCTAAGGGGAGTCAGGAGGCACTCTTATCGTAGGCGCACCTCTAGCGCACTAAGTGCGCAGGACAGGCGCGACCCCGTTTCTACTTAGCCCGTGCGCTAGCACGTGCTATAGCCTATACGCAGACTGCGCCACGCAGCCTGCGCCACAAGCACCGCTTCTAGTTTACAATGTGCATCTAATACGCTGTGCGCATACTGCGTACGGCTTGCGCGTAGCCTGCGTCGGTCCCCTTCCTGGGGCGGCGTTATAGTACAGCTTGCGCGTAGCCTACGTTAGTCCCCTTTCTAGGGCGGCGTTATAGTAAGCAATAGTATTTACTTTAGCTAATTTTATCTTATTATATTGCTTTATTACTTTGTTATAAGTTTGTAAGATTCTTACATTAGTAATAATAAAAACATATAAGGTTTAGTCTTATATAGTAGCAGCCTATTTTAACTTAAAGTAAAGAATATTCTCTAGCTTTAAATTACTATAGCAACAAAGCTTCCTAAGACCCTTTTTATATATCTCCTAAATAGTAGTAGCTAAACCTTTAAGCTAGTTAAAACCCTATCTTATATATTTAACGTTATTAATCTAAAGAGTATATATCTTTTAAAACGTATAAAGATTGCCTTACTGCGCAAACAAAAGCATAAAATTAAAGCCTCCTCTATCCGCTTAATAAAAAGCAATAGCTGTCAAGCATTGGAATCCGCCACACTGTGGCCCTTCCGCCCCACTTGGCCGTACTGGCCTGTAATTGGTCAGAAGGCACAAAAGCGGGGCCTGACACTAGTATTAATACGGATCCCCAGAAGGGTCGCGATGTATCTATTTCTTCCAAAGTACACAACACTCTTTCGCCCACACTAGACCCTATTCAGCCTCCTGCTCCTCACAGTGCATCACGTTATATGACCGCTACGTATAGCCTCCTTTAACCTTCACAATAGCCTTAATTAAGTGCTAGAACTTAGCATCTTTAAGCTTATTAAGAGTCTTATACTTAAATTTAACAAATACTTTGTAGCCGGCTTTATTAAGGCTAGACATCTTAAGACTCTTATAAGCAACGTAAGGATGCCTATCTTTATTAGTTATAATTTTCTAGTAAAGAGTTAGCGTATACAGCTTAAGAGCTAATAGCTAGATAATGGTATAGTTGTTACAACGTAGTGCTATCTCTTAGAGGTAGTAGGCAAGGGCCGCCCGCTTAAAAACTTACAAAGTGTTCGGAACTTTGCTTAATGTAAGACTTATAAACGACGACTTTATAGACGGTGCTAAAGGCGGTGTCGCTAATCTCTGACTGCTCGAGGAAGGGTAAAGTGCAGTTGGGCGGAAGCGACGGACTATCGAACTTTGTCTAGGCTAGCGGGTTAACGAAGAAGGCCGGCCTACAAGTGTTGATAAGATGGTCGACAAGGGACTGGTTTCTATCATCAAACTTAAGCTTTATGTCTGGCTTTTCGATGAAGGTTATATGGTTCGCTTCCTATTTTGGATTGAGGCTGGCAAAGAGTTTGTCTCCGATTCCATGGGTGCAAAACTGGTCGATCAGAGGCAGTGTATTCGAGTACACCAATGCGAGGAACAGACGTGTGGCACGACCGCTCACGAAAGCCTCTATTACTGAAGGGTGATTCTTCCATTTCTTCTGGCCATCTTGAAACTCCTCGAAGGCTTTCACAAGATCCCCATTTCCCTCCAATTCCGACACCTTCTGCAGGCTGCGTTTTGCCGGGAACCATTTTGGTTGTTGACCACCGTTCCTCCATTCTCGGTATTCCTTGGCAACACACTCAAGGATATCGCCCATGAGACCTGTCATTTTGACGGTGTTGCACGAGTTCCGAGCGTCCCGCCGTATATGCAGCTTTGTAGAAATATTATCCCCTAGATGAGAGCTTAAGAATCGACCAAACGCCACTCTCCAGGACTCGCGACGGCTTCCTCAAGTGTAAAATTTCTCTTCCACGGGCTTGCTCGAGACCCTATTAACAGGCTGTGAGGCAGAATCAGTGTGAAGGTGCTCGGCGGATAAAATCTGCGACTTCGGGCTAGAAAGTGGCTGCAGTATGGACACGGCTGCCAGCTTCTCAGACGTCCCACCAAACCCACAAGACAGTTGGTCGGAAAAAGGCATGAAAATGGCGGGATTGGCGGCGTCCCTCGCCTTCATTTTATACCAAATAGAGGCGACAGCGCAACAGGACAGATTAGGTATGCAGCGAAGACCCGATTAGGCAACCCAGACCCGCATGCTCTTGCCTATATATACATATGCTGCTTATTGGATAGATGCTATCTGTCATTTCAATGTGATTCGGTCTCGGTGCTTCTCACATTCATCCATTCCGGAAACGACCGACCGCAGCTTATGCCGTTTTGCCGAAGGCCTTTGATTGGTGACGTATATGCACCTTGCTATCACACGTTGCGACCACCGCAATTCGGCAGACACGGGACGTACATACCAATGATTTTAAGGCAAGAGGCTCAAGAGATAAGATATCATTAGTGTGCTGGGAGGCTCAGCCATCGTCTCGCAATCCCGCTCGTACTTGTAGGAGACGCCATCTGCATGATTCTAGCCGCCTCCAACCTCAAGGCTGTGTGGTGTCCGGTGTTCGCTTCGGTCTAACACATCATCTGACTGGCTCTTCGTGATTGCGCACCCATCCAACGATTCCGCCTTCCTAAATAAGAGCTAGCTGTGCTTGGCCGCCTTACGTCGTTCTCGCGAACCCCGACACTGCTTCGGCAACCTGGCCGGAGGGTGGCACACGACACTCTCAGTCGTGACGGCTAAAGATAGGTAGGTGTTAGTCTCGGATTGACTGATTTTTACGCGGCACGAAAGATTCCCACCGGGCATGGGACAGTACAAAAGACGAAGGTGTGTCGTGTTCCCCTCTCGGACTACTGCTGTTCAGCTACCTTCTATCCCCCAGCACCATCAGTGATTTAGCAAACACGGAAAATGCTAAGAATACTTTACTTCCTTCTCAAGTGCTTCATGCCTACAGAAGTCATGGCGCGCGCCCCGGATCTAAGTGAGCAGTTGGTGAAAGTCAAATGTATGGAGGGCAAAAAGTTCGTGCCGCTTGACATTCTGGAGAAAGTCGTCACCGTGGACAACGTCGCAAAGCAGCTTGAAATCCTAAGCAGAGGCCAGTCCGATTTTACGGAGAAGGTGGACGAGGGTCTGCCCAAGAAGGTGGTGCAGCAAGCGAGCAAGGTGTTTGCTGTTCTTTTGCTCATGGAAAAGACTGAATATATAGAATCCCTGCTCGAGGCCGATCTTTCAGACCGGTATCTTCCACTTTCAATTGACCAAACGGGCGAGATTCTAAAGTCATGCGACGGCTCCACACTCTTTTCGTTTGGGAACTGGTCACGGCTAAAAAAGGGAGACTTTGAAGACGAACAGCAGTGGCTGTTTCTGGCGCCCGTGCTGGACACGAGTGGTCAGCTCCTCAAACTCGACCCAAGATGCCCATTACCCTTCATAGATTCAAGCATCAAGGAAACAGGGGGGGCCGGAATCATCCATCACGCCCGAGTGCACGAAGCACACCAGCGAGGCTACGTTGTCCGTTCTTTTGCCAGTCCTAAAACTGCTTCCAAGCGGCTGGCCTGCTGATGTTATTTCTACAGGAGGAAACATTCGATCTACAAGTCGCCGTAAAGCAGTTTGTCAAAAGAAAAGAATTCGAAACGGAGAACAAGAACCTTCAGAGTATCAAATTCCTTCAGCACAAGCACATCATCCGGCATCTCGTCAGCATCAATCAGGGCAACGGCTTCACCGTCTTCCCGTGGGCCGACCGCGGAAACTTGCACCAGTTTTGGGATGCCGCGTACGACCAGGAGATGTCCACCGAGTACGCCTTGTGGGCTCTACAGCAGATGCAGGGTCTGGCTGCTGCAGTTGATATGCTCCACCAGACGTTCAACTGCCGCCATGGGGACCTGAAGCCCGGCAATATACTCTGCTTCACACAGGGCGTCAGCAGCGGCAATCGATCGCCCCTGCCCACTCTCAAAATTGCTGACTTTGGCATCTCGCGCATCCACACCGCCCAGACCATGATGAGAGATCAAAAGACAACCACGATGTTTTTGACTCCTGCATACCAGGGCCCCGAAGTCGAATTTGAGGAGATCAATGACGAGAAACCACATCCCCGGTCGCGCAAGTATGACATTTGGTCTCTGGGCTGCATCTACCTGGAGTTCATGATCTGGTTCCTGTACGGACCAAACATGGTGTACACGTTTGACATCACGAGGGGCACCACCGAGGGGAGCAAGCGCAGCAACCCGTCAAGTCCGTGGTATGAGGTTACCAACAGGGCAGCGAAGATGGCCAAGGTTCACCAGCTCGTTGCGTGGACGATTGAGAACATCCAAAACGATCCGCGATGCATGGGAGACACCGTGCTGGCCACCCTAATTGGCATCATCAGGGACCATATGCTGCAGCCAGACGTCAACAAGCGCCTATCGGCTGGGGAGATCAGCCATAAGCTGGAGGGGCTGGCCTTGGAAGGAGAGAAGCATCCGGATTCTCTTCTCCACACCTGCAGCGGGGAGACTCCTAAACTCGACTTCAAAACCTTCATATTCGAGTGGCCCCCAGTTTAGTATGCGAAAAACTACAATGTTATTGCACAAGAGTGGAAGAGGCAGCAAAGGGTGCGAGATATGTTTGTTTTGAGAGGAATATTGAATCAGTTATTGCGCTAGTATTTTCACAATATGTTCTAGTTTGCATTTGTTAGTATTTGCTTAAAAAAGTTGCAAGGAAAATAAAAATAAAAACCTCGAAAAAGCGCTCATCGCTATAGTAAGCCCGTTCAGAGTTGTTAGTCTAAAGGAGTGAATATTAACTTTGTCACATCTACTAAACATAACGAAGTGCATACAAAGTACAACACGTGCTCGCAATGTTATGCATGGGATACGCTGTAATACGGAGCACACAGATGTCCACGATGCCTTGTCGCCGTGCGGGGCGCCATAGCACCTATCACACATGACAACCTGTCAGATGAAGAGGGTCTGGAAAGTGGGGTGCACGCGAATACGGAGTAGGCTATGTACGAAGTACTCCGTATACCGAGCACAAAGCCGAAGGTGAGCCGGACCTAAGCCGAGCCTCGTCAGATTATGGGGCTTATGTGCATGGATGCTTCCAAGGGCTGCCGGCCTGCCCGAGCCCTATACTAGATAGGTAGAGCCAACCGGCCTCCACTACACGATCAAGTATCTCTCAACGACGAGATATTTTTATACTGCACAGATCTTCGGAGTTCATACGTAGCCTATTCGACGAAATGGCTTAGATTATTGTCGAGCAACGGTATGCGAACAGCTGGTCGGCGAGGACAGTCACAATAATTGGATCGGGCATGAAGCTTTGAGTACCATCCCTCTCCTTTCGTATCCTAAATTCCAGCAACTTTGCGATAAGCGGGCGGTGCCATGTCTTGCGAAGGGTCTGAGACCTTCCAGAAACAGCCTAGTTGTAAGGCGTCCAGACAGAGAAGGCAACCACTCATACGGACGGGCTGTAGTGCATGATTGGCCGAAGCCTGCTTATAGAGTAGTACGGAGAATAATCGAGTTTCTCCAGACAAGACATAAAGCGTGCTTATGACTGAGCCAACTAAAACGGTGATATGTCCTGCTTATAAGTCTTCCAAAGCTAGAACATTATTGATTGTTGGCGAACTGACAGTGTGCGGTATAGTGTGGTCCATGAATTGACCACACAACACGCATCACAAGAAGGGTAGCTGAAGTCTAGAATCAAATCCCGAGAATATTTATGATAGCTGATGGCTGTAAACGTTGGATTTCATGTAATTCTCTTCCTCGGAGATTCGTCATGTGCGGCTCTGCGGGAGGATTATTCGGCCGCCCATGCTTAGAGCAACTGAATGTAAATTGTCTGCTGAAACATCTGGCTAGTCTGCGATAGCTTATAAGCAAGAGACACACTCGGCGATCACAATTTAGTTGACAGCAAGGAAGGCCGAGCGACATTTGCTTGTCAGATGCAGACGGGGTTGGAGACATAGACGTTAGGTCCGAAGGTGGTTCAGGTGATGCATCGTATGATGGCCGGCCGTGATAGCAAAAGCAACTCTTCAATCATCTCCGCGGAGTCGTTTAGACTGAGCGAGAGGGTGTAGGCATAGAACGCACCGCAGCGTCTATTAGGGCGAAGCCGGACTTTTAGTCCGAGTCGATCACGTAGAGAAAGAGGGGGTGTCGTTGGAATAGCCGCCTTCCAAGGCTGGCGCAAAATAGAATCTCATCACACTTCGCAAAATGCCTCTCAATGCCGATTCTCCCGAACAAGAGTGCAGCCCCGTGGAATTTTCGTATCACATGCGGCTGCCATACAACTGCATGACCGGCCTGCAAGGTTGACAGGGGGGGCATCAGGGGTGGCTAGCCTTTGGACCTCAGCCGCTCATTGTCCGGCCTTTAAGCCTTTTTCACTGGGCTAGCCGTCCGGAGAGACGATTCCCTTCTTTTTGCCGTTTCGTCACACGCTGTCAGTTGACCACCGCCAGCCTTTCTACACCATCTTCTACTCCATATAGCCGAGACTTCTCGTGTCATTTCCCCTCTTTTCTCCTTTATCTTTCCTGCTCCAAGTCTTGGTTCAGCTTCTACTCGCACTACTAATTATGCTGTCCCGCGTCTTATGTACCTCAGCACTGACTGTACTTGGTGGCCTAGAACACGCTCTGTCGCCATACCGATCACACGTCTGGAATTCTTACACACCTTCATTCCTATGACTCAACTAGTCTCTGACACCGCCATGATCAAGGCATCCGTTCAATCCTTCAGACCCTTGTCGGCCACCCCGACAATACGGAGCTAACGTGAAGGTGTGCAGGCAGACGGCAGAGAGACAATCAAGACGCCGAACGCACTATCTAGACCATCCCCTCCGCAAGCCTGGTCAATATTCGCCTGTGCCGTCTCAAGCCGACCGCGTGTATCAGCATTGAATTGAATGGGCTGCCTCTGCCTCCGCTACTCCGAAATGTCAGTGCGCATCGAGTCTGGCGGTGTGGTGCCGACACGCCTGCTGCTCTGCAACAGCATGGCCGTTTCTCTGCTTGTTTCCGTATAGTATGTCTGAAAAAGGGAAGCGGTGGTGTGGTGGTGCCAACGACGTCTGTGTACTAACGCCCCCTCATCTATTTCATCTCTGACTTGCGGTCATCTCCTACGTTTGAGATTGGAGGCTATAGAAATTTGCTCTATCCTGTAAAGTTGCTAACGTGGATTGCATCTTCTGTATTTCGTCCAACTCACCGTATTATTATGTGTCGAACGAGGCACGCCCTCTAAAAAAGGCCTCCTTTACAATCGTAACCATCTCTATGAACAAGTCCTCACTTCTATACTTTAGGTGTACTGCTGCTGCCACCGCCCGTCTGGCCACGCCGATTATGGATTCCCATCCGTGGCAGCGCCTGCATTTCTATGTTGGCCACGTTCTTGTTCTCGCCCAGTTCTGCGAGGTCTTCGTCGCTGCGGCCAACAGACGGAGCGATGCTGGCCATTGCCGTGGCCTCACCGCTGGTCGGGTTCCCTACGAGGACACCGTCCTCTCTAGCCGGGCTGTCCGAGCTGTCCGAGCTGTCCGAGCTGTCGGCACCCCCATCGCGCGTAGCGAGCGTGCCACAGACGCTCTCCATGGTAAACGGGCTTGCCGTGGGTCCGTCTAGCACGGTCAGCTCCTCTGCCGTAAAGACGTGCGGTAGCAGACAGGCGCGCACGGGTATCAGCAGCAGAATGATGACCGGGAAGCCGACGGCGGCAATGGTCTGCGTGATGGCAAACGTAGCGCCGAAGCCGACCAGCTCAATGGCCACAAAGGCCCAGACGGCAGCGCGTCGCGACAGCTGCCGGAGCGGGTGACTGCGCGGCGTCAGCGAGGCGTCTCGCACCAGAAACAGCAGCTTAGCCGTGATGCCATTGCCCTCGAGCGCCTGCACGCCCATGACAAAGAAGAGGCCGGCCAGGACCGCCTGTGGGATCAGATGCAGCACCACCAGCAGCGGACCCGTCATCGTGCCGGCCGTCAGCAGGCCTTGCGCCAGGTTGGACACCCGCTGCTCGACCACGTGTGTCACTCGGGCGTGAACTGCATGGCGCGGGTGGCCCTTGGTCGAGCCGCCTTCCTCATCATCGTCGCCGTCGCCATCGTCGTTGCTGCCGCCCTTGGCCATCTCGGTCACGCACAGCGACTCGGTGTGGAAAGGCGCCTGAGGGATGAGACCATTTGGAAACGGGAGACCAAGCAGGCCAGCCACGCCCGTTGTCAGGCCCAGGAGGAAGAGGTCCCAGTGGAAGCCGGCAGGCTTCTTGAGCGGGAATTCGGTTCCCTGGGCGATGAGCGAGGAGACTGGAATGTTATCAGCAGAATGAAGGGCGTAGGACAGTATAGAATCACTTTCTAACCATTGTGATCAAAATAGAACAGGACGGTCAACAGGACGGCAAAGGGGAGAGCCAAGAAGACGTCTCCGACAGAGAGATGCCAGAAGTTGACAAGCCAACTGCGTCCGATCGCCGTGGGCTCAAAGGCAATGCCAGTGGGCAGGACCTCGAGCGAGACAGAGCGCATGCGGCCGATATGTACGAAGCCAGAGAAGAAGACGACCGTCAGCGGTGTGCCGTAGTCCTTGAGGAAGACGCGGATCTTATGAGTCAAGAGGCTACCGCGGCCCATCTCACCGCAGAGATAGGCGACCACGAAGACGGCCAGGCCGATGAATATGGACAAGTAAAAGGGCTCTTCGCTTCCGAGCCGCGACAGCACCTGGATGCCCTTCTGCAGGTAGATAAAGGCAACGTAGAAGCCAAAGATGTCGCATGGGAAGCGCGTGACATATCGCAGGCCGTTGCAGGCATTGGTGGCCGCCAGAATCCAGTGGAGCACCAGCGACCAGAGACCGACCCAACACATGAAAGCCAGATAGTTTGTACCTCGGGGGTGGACGATATCATAGACGGTGCTGTGGGTTAGATGAGAGGTAGAAGAAGAGAAGAAGAGGAACATCTCAGACGTACTAGTTAAAGACGGTTATAGGCCCCGTCACACCTACAATGACCAACGGCTGACAGGCCAAGACGGAAAAGACAACGGCACCGAGCACTGATGCCAGCAGCACCTCGTTGACGCCGTAGTGCTTGCCTGTCTTGGTGAACATGTCGAGCGAAAAGGCGAGGGCCGGCAGGATGTTGGCAAAGTACATGTACACCGTGGCCGGCACCACGCGGTAGTCCCACGCATCTAGCCAGTCGCTGACATAGTACGGTGCTCGCCGACGGACATCGTTGGCCATGCCACGGAAGAGATGGATCTTCCACCAGGAGCTGCCATCCTTGTCCTGCTGGCGGTGAAAGGACGAGGCGAGACGACGAGGCCAGCTCGCCCAGACGGACGACCGATCGCCAGACATTTTGGCACCAGCTCTGCCCTTCCATGCTCCTCCACCGACACCAGAATCGGCGCCGACATCCGGAATGCCCCCGGGATGAAGCCCCGTTGGCAAAGCGAGACGGTCAGCAGAGGCAGGAGCAGCCATTGAGCAGCAAGATGCAGAAAAGAGAAAAGCCCAAAGAAATGTATGAGCAGTCAGAAGGGACAAAGAAAAGCCGAGAAACAAGGCCGGCGCGCTGTCAATGCGGCTGGTACGGAGTACAGAGATCGGGGTGGACAGCCATTGGAGCTGTCGATGACAGAAGTTGGCAGCCATTCCTCGATTCCTGGTCGAAACAGGCTAGCTGGACAATTAGTGGGTCAATCACGTTACCTGCATACGGACTACGGAGCACTCCGTATTACTGCCATATCAGTGCCGGATTACTGCAAAGAAGCAGAAACATCCTTTAATTCAGTATTCGGCTCTATCAATGACATACCGCAGACCGACTGCTAGTAGTCGTAGAAGCCCTTGCCGGTCTTCTTGCCCAGCCAGCCGGCGTCGACCATCTTGCTGAGCAGCACGCTGGGGCGATACTTGGAGTCGCCAGTCTCGACGTGCAGCACGCGCATGATGGCGAGGCAGGTATCAAGGCCAATGAAGTCGGCCAGCTGCAGTGGGCCCATGGGAACGTTGGTGCCGTTCTTCATGATGTCGTCGATGCTGTCGCGGTCGCCGACGCCGGTCTCGAGGCAAATGATGGCTTCGTTGATGTACGGCATCAGAATGCGGTTGGCCAGGAATCCGGGTGCATCAGCCGACGTCGACGGAACCTTTCCCATCGCCCGACAGAGCGCAACGGCCGTCGCCAGCGTCTCGCTGCTGGTCTGCAGCCCGCTGATGATCTCGACACCGCGCTGCACCGGCACCGGGTTCATAAAGTGCGTCGCCACCACGCGCGTGCTGGCCTCGGTTGAGACGCTGCCTGCTGCCGCTGCAATCCGCGTAATCGAGATCGAGCTCGTGTTCGTAGCCAAGATCGTGTGCGCAGCACACACCGCTGCCAGCTGCCGGAAGATGGCCGTCTTGAGCTCCAAGCTCTCCGGGACCGCCTCGATCACGAAGTCCACGTCCGCCAGCCCGTCGTACGACGTGGTCGACGTCAGCCGCGCCCGCGCCGCGTCTGCATCCGTCTGGCTGATTCGCGACTTGGCCACGTCCTTGGCCAGCAGCTTGTCCGCAAAGGCCAGACCCTTGTCTAGCGATGCTTGCGATGCGTCCACCAGCGTCACCGGCAGACCGGCCTTTTGCGCCGCCACCAGTGCAATTCCGAGACCCTGTAGGCGACCGAGCGTTAGATAAGGAGAGAGCAGAAAGGAAAGTCGAAAACAAGACCAGGAACTACGCAAACAAGCTCGCTGCAGCTCACCATCTGTCCTGCACCAATGACGCCCAAACGCTTCACCTCAGCCGCCGCTCGCGAAGGCGTCGAGCTGTAGCATCGCATATGGGAGCCCAATTGGGCCATATATCTTATTCGGGCTGCCATCTTGAAGCTGCGTTGCATTGATCAGGGAAAGGTGAACGGAAGACGAAGGTCAGAATCCAAAGGCCGGTCTTAGTACGGCTAGAAACCGCTTGGCCTCGGCATTAAGCTGGGGCACCCCGCGAAATGACTTAGCACGTGCTTCGGTCCACAATCGACTGTGAAAATGGCAGGCCCCACAGGGTGCAGCACGATTGGCTGTTCTCTCTGGACGCGCCGCAACGCGTCGTCCGCGTAAAGCTTTCCTTCCCTATGTACGGAGTACTGACACACACTAAAGCATCTCCAACTCCAACATCCAAGGGTGCAGACTGCGGATGCTGCGAGAACAGGCAGCCCGACCTGCACAGCAACAATGGAGCCAACGGAGTCTCCTGCGGACGTTGTCCACCCCGAAGTGCGGGCTCACATCACAAGTCTTGTGTCTGCAGTAAGTTCTCGTCCTCTTGTTCCCCTCCTCCTTCTCCCCCCTCTTGCCTCCTCTGACATGACGGCAACAGCTCGGTGGCACCGACGAAGACGGACAATACCAGCTAGGTGACGACGCCCTGGACGTACTCCGCGACATCAAGAAATGGATCCGGTTCTACGACCAGAAGCTAAACCGCATGGACGTGGCCCGCTGCCTCGCCGACACCAATCTCGTGGGCGGCGATCTGTTGCGCATCCTGGCAACCTGGCATGAGAACGCGACGGCCCAGCGGTTCAAGGCCCGCGTGGCGCTAGCCTGCTACGAGGTGCTGACGCCCCTGACCTGGCCGCTCGAGACCGACGTCGAGACGGCCACGGTCAACCACTACCGCCATCTGCCCGTGCTGCAGCTGGCCCAACTGGCCTACAAGCGGGCCATCATCAACTTTGATGGCGCCCAGATTCTGCACACGGCCGTGCGTGTGGCCCTGCCAGCCATGGCCGTGCCGCTGGCCGACCGCTCCATGCGCGACCAGGCCATCATCCGCCTGGTGCTCTTCTTTCTGCGAAATGTCGCCATGATCGAGCCGCCCGCCGGCGTCAAGTACGACGGCGACGAGTCACAGGTGTCCCGGTCCGCCACCATCGACGCCTTCTCCTACCAGGACATCCTGCTGCTGCTGCTCACCATGGCCTCCAACATGGGCGACGACTTTCGCACCGAGGACGCCACCGTCATGGAGATCGTCTTCCACCTCATCAAGCGCGTCGACGTCCAGAAGCTCTTCATGGACGAGGCCCAGCTCAGCTCCACCAAGGCTGAAGAGCTGACCGCCCTGATGCACAAGGAGGCTGCCATGCTGCAGTCCTTCCGCCCTCATGGCCCCACCCGTCACAGCCGCTTCGGCACCATGGTCTGGGTTGACCGCGGCGAGGGCCGCATGTCTGCCCTCTCCGGTCAGGACGCCCTGGTCAGCGCCTCTGCCCGCGAGCTCAAGATGGACACGTCCAAAAAGTTCCGTCCGCCGCGTCGACCACGCCGCCGCCGTGACGAGAAGCAGGAGCTCATGGGCCTTGGGCCCTCGGTGTCGCTTAACGCTCGCGCCAACGGCCAGCTGCGCCACTTCGTCGACGAGCTGCTCGACTCCGGCTTCAACCCGCTCTTCCTGCAAGCCCGCCGCAGCATCGAGCGCGAGGCCCCGCACATCCAGCACCACCACCGTGCCCAGTTCCTCTACCTTGTCGCCTGGTTCCTTGAGGCCGAGCGCGCCCGCTCCAAAGCCGCCGCCCAGAAGCGCGGCCGCAAAGATCCCACAGGCGATGTCAGCTCGTTTAATCTCGTCGCTGGCGCGCTCAACCAGGAGATGTTTATCTTCCTGAATCGGGTGCTCGACCAGGCCCAGAACGACAAGGACTGGGCCGAGCTGACGGTGGTCATGCGCTGCTACACGCAAATCCTCCTGACAGTGCAGCAGATGAGCGAGTCGAGGAGCGAGGAGGACGAAGAGATCGCTGAGAACATCCTGAGCCGGCTATTCTACGAGGAGGCCACGCACGACGCCGTGGCCAACCTAGTCAAGAACTACAAGGACCAGGGCTACGAGTACCTCGACGCCTGCACGGAGCTCGCGCACACCTACCTGCGCATCCTGGAGACGTACTCCAAACAGAATGTTGATCTGCAGGTACGATCACGGCGGCGCACGCGCAAGAAAAAGGCGGCCAAGAAGGCGGTCAAGACGACGGCAGCGACCGACAGCGCAGGCAACGGCGACGACAACGGCGAGGAGGCAGCAGAAGACGAGCAGCAGCAAAACGACGACGAAGACGACGAGTCGGGCAACGACGAGGCGCTGGCACAGAAGACCAGCACGGAACGCAAGTTTGACTTTTCACGGTTTGCCAACCGGTTCGCCGTGCAGGGCGTCATCGACACGTTTGTCAAGTTCACGTCTAACTACAACGACCTGACGGAGGCACAGCTGAAGCCCGAGCGCACCGGTACTTTTACCGAATCGCGTTCAAGCAAGAGATGAGCGTGATGCTCTTCCGGGTCGACATCATCCGGCTGCTCTTCAATATGATCAAGGGTCCGGAACCGCTAACCCGGAGCAGCAGCACGCTGTTCAAGGACTGGGAGGAGCTGTCAAAACAGATCCTGCGCAAGTGCGTCAAGAAGATTGAGGAGCGGCCGGTGCTGATCATTGAGATGCTCTTCTCCAAAAGCGCCAGTACGGCCCACTTCCTCGAGTACGGCTACGAGAAGCAGACGGTCTCGACCACGAACCCGCGACCGGCAGCCGAGCTCGAGTTCCGCCTCGCCGTCGAGCGGGACCGCCAGATCGCCATCGTCGTCGGCGTTCTGCTTGACAAGAACCAGCACCAACACCTGCTCTGGGTTAAACGCCAGCTGGAGGCCGCCGGGGCCGAGAAGCGCGCGTGGAAGGCGCTGGACACGGCCATGGACACGCTGGAGGTGGCCGGCCCAGACAGCGCAGAAAGGGAGGCCGGCACACCGCCAGCCGAGCCATCAGCCGGCCTCTCTGAGGAGTCTTCGCCTATCAGTGAGTTTGAGCCTAGCTTTTCCAACGCTTAAATGTTGCAGCTGACTAATCAACCATAGCAATCCGACCGGAAGACGAGGCGTGCCGCAAAGCCATGTTCAAAAATGCACACCTCCGGCTGCTGATGAAGCTGGTGGGATTCGAGCGGCTGGTGTCCTCCATCGAGGAGACGATTGACTCGGTGTGGGTGGTGCCGGGCAGCGTCACGGCTGAACAGCTGAGGGAATCGCTCGAGTTTATCAACAAAGCAGAGTTTGAGCCTCCAGTATTTGACAACGATCAGTCAGCGGAAGACCAGTTGAAGCGAAAAACAGCGCCCCGCAAGAAGGCTGTCTACGATGACGACGATGACAATGGAAACGATGGCCTTGGAAGCGGTGACGACATGCTATTCCCAGCCGGTGGCCCTACAGCACGCAAAATTGTGGATGAGGGGCGCAAGAAGAAGACACTACGGCGACGGCGGAAGCGCGGAGACGACGACGACGGCGGCGAGGGTGAGGTCGGTCCGACGGAAGAGGAGCTGGACGAGCGGGCGCAGCGACGGCGACAGAAGGAGCTGGAGAAGGCACGACGGATCAAGAGCGACCTGTACGTTCATGCCAGCGATGACGAGACGGACGACGAGAAGGATCGCGAGTTCTTCGAGCGCGAGGAGGCGATCCGGCAGCGTGTGCACAAGGCAGTTCTGTTGAGCAGGGATTCCGGAGAAGGCCGCGTGGGCGCAGGAGAAGCAACAAAGACGAAGAGGAAGTTGGCAGTGCTGTCGGACGAAGAGGACGAAGAGGAGGGTGACTCGCAAGAGTTGAGTCCAAGGCGTCGGAAGCGAAGGAAGTCTGTAGAGACAGACGATGGCGACGGATCTGACGAGGACGTGACAGAGCCGACGGCGACAAGTCGGAAGAAGACGAGCAGTCGACAGCACGCCGGATTTGTCGACAGCAGCAGCGACGAGGACGAAAACATGGAGACGGACGAGACGCCTATCACATTGACGACGGATAGGGTATCGGATAAAGAGCCGAGCGAGACGTCGGATAAGGAATCGGAAAAGCAGCAGCCGGATAAGGTGCCGGAAGATGCAGGCAAAGACGGCGATGATGACGACGACGACGACGATGTGGTGCCGACTGCCAACAAAAAGAGACAGCGGGCCAGGGGCGGCTTTCTAGCGGACAGCGACGACGACGAGTGATGGGCCTGCATAATGGTGAACATTGTCGTTTTTGCGGGGGTGGAGCATATAGAAAACATAGCAGGCGTTTTGGAGCCGTCTTTTCGGTTATGCTGCAGTTCCATAAGCCGAATGATCAATTGCCTCTGGGCTCCTATTCGGTGCTGTCGCCGAGCATCGGGGGCAACAACACCGACGAGCGTCTGGGCTGCGACTTCCCCGCTTGTCCCTGGACAGGTGGTTCCTCTCCCCCCACCTTAGTGTCTCCACACTCCGGCGACATAGCTCTCTGGCGCCTTCCTTCGCTTATATGGTCAGAGGGGCGTCTCGTGTTTGGATTTTCACGGCCTCTATTTCGTTTTACACGTTAACCTCTCATCAGCAAGATGGCGTCCTCAGCAAAGCATTTTATCAACGACCCGACGGTGCTCGTCAACACGGCGCTCCGGGCGATCACTTACACGAACCCAGCGGTAGCGTTAGACGAGGAGCACAAGATCATTTATCGTCTCGGCAGCAAGGCGAACGGCAAGGCGACGGTGTCGGTGGTGTCGGGCGGCGGCTCGGGGCACGAGCCCAGCTTTGCGTCGATGGTGGGCGCGGGCCTGCTGACGGCAGCAGTGGCGGGCACGATTTTTGCGTCACCGTCGACAGAGCAGGTGCGCACAGCAGTAGCGGAACGGGTGCCGGGCGAGGCAGGCGTGTTAGTGACGGTGATGAATTACACGGGCGACGTGCTGAATTTCGGGGTGGCAGTGGAGAAGGCGCGGGCAGCAGGTGTGGCGGTCGAGATGGTGGTGGTAGGTGACGATGTGGGCGTGGGCCGAGCCAAGGCCGGCAAGGTTGGGCGCCGCGGCATCGCGGGCACAGTTCTGGTGCACAAGGTGTCTGGAGCGGCAGCAGCGCGCGGGCTGGACCTGACGACGGTGGCACGGCTGGCACGGCTGGCGGCGACGAATCTCGTCAGCGTGGGGGCCAGTCTGGAGCACGTTCATGTGCCGGGACGCGAGCCACCGAACGCGGCCGAGGGGTTGACGGCTACCGAAGTCGAGATCGGCATGGGCATCCACAACGAGCCAGGTTCGGGACGGGCGAGCGGTCTAGCGCTGCCAGCACTGGTGGGCACGCTGCTGCGGCAGCTGCTGGACACGGACGACGCAGACCGCGCGTTTCTGTCGTTGCCTGCCGGGTCGACGGACGTCGTGTTGATGGTCAACAATCTCGGCGGCGTCAGCGTGCTGGAACTTGGCGGGATCACAGCCGAGGTGGTGCGCCAGCTGGCGGCCAACTGGCAGATCCGACCAGTTCGAGTGCTCAGCGGCACCTACATGACCAGCCTCAACGGTCTCGGCTTCAGCATCAGCCTGCTCCACGCCGGCGTCGACACCGGCCTAGGTCCAGACGGGCCCTCGCTGCTGCAGCTGCTCGACGATCCGGCCGAGGTCACCGGCTGGGCCACGTCCATCTCGGCAGCCACCTGGAATGCAACCTGGGACGATGCGATGACCTCTGCCAACAAAGCCACAGCTCCAGCCACTTCAGCCACCACAGCCACAGCCACAGCCAAGTCCGGCCTGTACGCTGACCCGGCCATGGTCCGCACCGTACTGGAACGCGGGCTGCAGCGCGTTGTGGCGGCCGAACCCGAGATCACGCACTACGACACCATTGTGGGCGACGGTGACTGCGGCACGGGCATGAAGCGTGGCGCCGAAGCCGTGCTGCAGCACCTCGCGACCGGCTCAGCGCTCACTGGCGACGTGGTGGCCGATGTGGCCGGCATCGTGCCCGTGGTCGAGGGCTCAATGGACGGTACGTCGGGCGCGCTCTACGCCATCTTCCTCAACGCACTGGTACACGCACTGCGCCAACAAGCTTCTGGTGGACAGAAGGGTCATGTGAACTGGGCCGCGGCCCTACGACAGAGCTGCGACGCCCTCTCGCGCTACACGCCGGCACGGCCGGGCGACCGCACGCTCGTGGACGCTCTGTACCCCTTTGTGGCCGCGCTGGAAAAGACGGGCGGCGACGTCGGTGCGGCCGCTGCAGCTGCTCGCGCCGGCGCTGAGAGCACAAAAGGCATGCAGGCGAGCCTGGGTCGCACAGTGTATGTTGGAGGCAGCGGGTTCGAAAAGGTGCCAGATCCGGGGGCGTGGGGGCTGGCCTGTTTCTTTGGCGGGCTGTCTGGATAGGGCGGGACATGAGGACAGGAGAGAACTATGTAGGAGGTGTATGTGTAGTGAATGAAGAATGAAGATGAACGTTTGCTTCTTGCGTCGTCGTGCCTCGTGCAACGTGTGAACAAGTAAAGCTCTCACAGTGCAGTCGTGATTGGCCCAAGCTCTTTGGTGGGGCTGCGTCGGTTTTTTGGGGCAGCTTTTTTTCCCTCTCCGTCACAAACCGAGGTGAAAAGAAGGCGAATTGCCGAGCGAGACACCCCTCTCCCACCATACAATCTGCCGCCGAAGCGCAGCGACGGGCAGGGCCAAGCAACCGAGGACAAAGGCGAGCCGAGCCAACAGCCGACAGCCACGAGTGCTGAGTGCTGCGAGCATATTCCCATCGATCTCGTCCGACAAGGCTCGAGGACGCAAAACCAAGCGCAAAACCAAGGACAGAGAACAGACACAGACACAGACGCCGACACACATGTTCTTCTGCACGCTCCTCTCCCGGACTGGGTTTCCGGTAGCAGCGGCAACAGCAGCAGCAAGAAGTGCAGCACGGCAGCCGATCAAAATGCCGCTCCGGGCCAAGATGCAGGTGCCGGCACAAGCGATGTCGATGTCGACGGGGCCATCGGGCGACCGGTGGAAGGCGCAGCCAGGCGACGAGGCGGAGGACGTTCTATTCAACAGCCTGTACGGTCTGCGGACGATTGAGCTGAACCGGCCGCGCAAGTTCAACTCGCTAAACGGGTCGATGATCCGCAAGATCGTGCCGCGGCTGCTCGAGTGGGAGCGGTCCGACATGGCGAACGTGGTAGTTCTCAAAGGAGCAGGCGACAAGGCGCTGTGTGCGGGCGGCGACGTGGCCGCGCTCGCGGCGGCAAACCGGGGAGGGCCTGCGGGCCAGCAGTGGTCGGCGGACTACTTTGCGCAGGATTACCAGCTGGACCACCTGATCGCGACGTACGCGAAGCCGTATGTGGCCCTGATGGACGGCATCACGATGGGCGGTGGCGTGGGACTGAGCGTGCATGCGCCGCTGCGAGTGGCGACGGAGCGGACAGTCTTTGCGATGCCGGAGACGAACATTGGCTTCTTCCCGGACGTTGGCGCCTCTTTTTTCCTGCCACGCATGCCAGGAGCCGTGGGCACATACCTGGCCCTGACGAGTGAGCGGCTCGTCGGCGCCGACGTGCTCTATGCCGGTCTCGCGACACACTACCTGCACTCGACCAGCCTGCCGGCGCTGGAGGCCCGTCTGGCCGAGCTGCGCTTCCGCGACTACGACGACAATGACGCCCGGCTGGACGCCATCAGCGCCGCCATCGAGGAGCTCGCCACCGGTCTGCCCCACGACCGCCCGCCACTGCTGGCCGGCGAGCTGCGCCGTGCCATCGACCGCTGCTTCGGCCTCGACAGCGTCAACGCCATCGTCGCCGCTCTGCAGGCCGAGACCGTCCGGACTGACAGCGCCGGCAGCAGTGACGCCGTCCGCGCCTGGGCCACCCGCTCGCTCGAGACGCTCGCCCATCGCTCGCCCACTGCCGTCCACGTCACACTCCGCCAGATGCGCGTCGGTGGCGCCTGGTCCATCGCCGAGACGTTCCGCCGCGAACACCAGATCGCCTCCCGGTTCATGCGCCATCCCGACTTCGTCGAGGGCGTCGAGGCCCTGCTCGTTCGCAAAGACGGATCCCGCCCCCAATGGCAGCCCAACACCCTCGCCGTCGTCTCCGACGCCGACAACATCACCGAACCCTTCTTCGCTCCTCCGTCCGCAGCCGACAACTACACTCCTCTGCCGCTCCTCAACGACCGCGACTTCCGCGACTACCCCCATCGCCGCCTCGGGCTCCCATCCGAAGCCGACGTCGAGACCCTCGCTCGCGACGGCTCTCTCTCCCCTCGCGAAATCGTCAACTACCTCGTCGGCCGGTCGCGCGCCAAACAGGGCGTCAAGGAGGTCGTCGAGGAGATCGTCGCCCGCAAGACCACCAAGAACGCCAACGGCAAGGCCGCGTGGATCTACGAGGACGAGCAGTAGGCCGTGGTGGCAACAAGACAAAGAAAGGGAAAAAAAGAGAGAAAAAAAGACAGAACGGCAGAGGGGGCATTGTACGCAGACAATATCGTACAATAATATCACCGCTATCACCATCGGAAATTGTGGTGACACGTGACCATGTGTTTGTAATCGGTGACAGAAATGCGCTCACATCGCAGTGTTTTGCGTGATGAAGTGCAGAACAATGCCGGTTAGGCAGCAACGCGAAAGGTGATACTCCGAATGCAGACAATCTGTGTGCAGTAGTCGATTGCATGTTTACATCCAGAAATAACAGCCTCTATTTGTGGCTGAGGCAAACATGTTGTTTACGACTTTGTCGCGATATCCTTTATTTACTACGTCTATTTTCATTGTCGGCAGTGTTGTTGGACTCATGGAACGGTGTTATGTGATTGGTGAGCCAGTGGGGCGGGAAGGCTGCATCGCACTGAATTTGTTTTATCGGAGCAGGCAGGGTGTCCGGAAAGGGTGGCAATTTGCGTTTTGCCCGGTGATAGCAAAGTGGTTTCCTGTTGCGGCCAGGCTGTGCAAGGAAGCGGGGCGTGGGATCGAGAGATCTGTTGACAAGACGAGAAGGTGGAAGCGCACAGCATTTGGTGGGGGGGGCCAACAGAAAGAGCAGGCATGCATCAAATGGTAAGACAAGGCCAGGATGGCGGCATCCAAAAGAGCGGTCGAGAAAAGGTGACGATTGGGAGCAGCGAAATGCAGGACGGACTTAGTGGAAGCATGTCGAGACACAAGCAACGGCTGGGAAGCCTCCTGGCCACGAACATAAATAGGCGAGCCGCCCCTCCGACATGACTGCTGCCACTTCTGCGGCCTTTTTTCCTTTTTTCCTCCTCAGCTTCCCTGTCAGAAAATGACCATTCATCTCCTCCAGCTCTGGTGTCCAAAGCCAGGAAACACAGCCGCCATTCGGGCGAGAAAACCGCAGCTTTCCCCGGCCATTCGAGCCTCAGGCATCTCTGCCCTATGGCCTGCTGGGGCTTCTATCCTATTACGCCATTCACAACCACAGACTAGTCTAGTCACGGGACTCAGCTCTTCTTCTGCTCCTGCCATTCTGCCACTTCTGCCAACTAGGCGCGTTCACGTGTTCTGGCGCGTCCCTTCCTGCTAAAGCGCCCTAGAGAAAGAGGCTCCACCGCTACGACAGCTAGCTCTAGAGACGTATCTTCTCCCTCTCTCCCACGATATCCGTTGCTCCCTCTGACCGGCCTCGCTGTCTGTCCTCACTGCTGCCCCTTTTTCTCCCATTGCATTCCTCTCACGCAGCGCTGACTGCCTCTGGCCCCTCCCGGCCCGCTGCACGAAACGGCATCTGTGACGCACTGCCCTGCTACGCTGCACCGGCTCCCCACAGCTAGAGCGTTGTCTGTCCACCCAGCGAGCCCCACCCTATTTAGCGCTCGTTCAGCAGCGAAAAAAGAGAGGCCCTGACGCGAACCTCACGCGCAGCCGAAAGAGCAAAAAAAAGGAAAGACACGACCCTTTGGCTCCAGCCTCTTTCAATTCGCCCCGGACGCACCCTTTTTACGCACCTTATCTCCCCCCCCCTCCGAACCTCCTCTGCCACATCGTCTGTCTCTCTGGTCTTTTTGTCTTCCTATTCCTGCTTCGCCCCTATCGCTGCCGCTGCCGTCTCCAACATTCGATTCTCCCTCGTGTTTACCGCTCTTCGCCTCCTTCCTCTTCCACGCCGCCCTGACGAACAGCAATACGATCGGATACGGCCACGACACAGGACAGCACCATCCTCCATGGGGCACGACTGAAACAAAGAATCCCGACTTGTAGCAAAAAGGAAGCGGGTGCCATGGCGTCGCCCAGTGGCAATGCCTGGATGGCAGCACCCGCTGGCCAGCAGTTGCCCGGAGCGATTTCAGCCAGCGAGGCAGAAGAAATGGGCTTGCAAGTCCGGACAATGGGCCGTACGTTTGGCCATCCACGCCTGTCCCTGCCGCTTCCCTCCGCCATCTCTCCGTACTGCTGACACTCTCCCTTCCAGTGAAGGTGCACTACACCTTTGACAAGGACAGCCGGGTCAACTGCTTGGCTCGCTGGCCACAGCAGCTGCAGGTGCAGGCCATTCCCATCAGCGACGTCAGCTGGATTGGCGTCATCGATCTCCGAACCTGCCTGCAGGCCATTGCCCAGTGCAGTCCCGAAATCTTGTCCCAGAACGAGCACGACTACACCATCTACGCCTACGACTACTCCGAACCCGACACTCCGCTGGTCGGCCAGGGCATGTTGTCGTGGGCTCTCGACCTGTCCGGCCCACCGGCCTCGACAGACGACGGCAGCAAGATGGTGACCGGTCGCGTCAGCAAGAACGTGCTGGCCATCTTTGGCAACGGCGTGCGCGAGACGCTCGAGGTCAAGCTCAAGCTCACCGAGGTCCCTCGGCCGACCCGTTCAGACATGCTCGGCCCTGCCGATGGCTCCCAGACCAGGGGCGCTCCAACACCGACCGACACCACCGAGTGGAACTCGTTCCTGCAGTCGAACCCGAATCTTGGCCGCTCGGCAAACGTCGCGGCCGTGCAGTCTCCTGGCTTGGCGTCAGTCCGGCCAGACATGTCCTATTTCCAGCAGCAGCGGCCGCCGTCGGCTGCCTCTCGTCCTGGCTCCAGACCCGGCTCTCGCCAATCATCCATGCCTCCCTCTCTCCTCGCCAAACCCGCACACCCCCTGCCGGTCTCCAGGATGGGGAGCATGGGCACTGGCTCACCGCCACCAACAGCGGGGACCGTCGACGAGCCCGTCGCAGCCTCCACACCGCCTGCCGAGCCTGTCAAGTTGCGGTCAGACGCCGGTCGTCGTCCCTCGTCCAGGCCATCGTCGCGGACCCGGTCCAAGGTGCCCACGGGCCGCCCGCGCGGTCGCCCTCGAAAGCAGCAGCCGGCCGACGGCAACACCTCCGCCGCCGAGGAGCAGCCCACCGATCAAGACCCCGACGACGGCTCCAAGCGGAAACGGGTCAAGACCACCAAGGCCAACTACCCGACCAAGACGTCGCTCGACATGCCGCCCGACTCGTTGCGTGTCGCCGCCAGCACGTCGGGCTCCCTTCGCACCCTGCGGCCCATCATGGCCGCACCGCCGTCGGGCAATGAGGGCGGCGGCGCCGGCGGGCCTGCTGCTCACCTGCAGGAGCTCCCTCGTGCCCCCACCCCAGTGCCCCAGGGCGTTCCACCCAGCCAGCACCACGTCAGAAAGATGCTGGCCCAGAAGTCGCGCCGGGAGTCCATGGTCGACTTGGAGAGGAATGCCTTTCGGGAACAAGAAGGCCTCTACTCACGCTCAGCAGCCGATACCCGATCCATCGACACCCGATCCGTCGATGGTCGCTCACCCACAGAATCCATTGCCCCGTCACCCGAAAACTACACCCCCGACGACAGCCCGGCAGAAATAGGCTCGTCGCCGCCGGTTCCTCGCTCTACGACCTACGTGCCGCAGTCCAGTCCGATGCCGTCCAGTCCGATCTTGCCTCCGATGCCCCGGCGGCCTGATACCGATTCTGGCTTTATGAGCGGCAGCATGGACGACATGTTTGACGACGACGACTGCCTGAACGAGACCGTTATCCAGCCGCCTGTACAGACGCCCAAGGAGTTCGCAGCACCGACTCCTTCCACTGCTGCTCCCGAGCCTGCTGCGAACACGGCCCCCGGCAGCTTCACGGCAACGAATGCCGCGCCGGCATCCAACGCCGCCGCGAGTCAACCGCCTCCCAGCAGAGAGGGCGCATCTCGACCAGCGGAGCAGTACTCGTTCATGGCTATCAACCCTGGACCCCCAGAGCTACTGCCCATGACGAGCATATACGACCCGCCAAAGGCCCGGCCACCAAAGGCCCAAAAGGCAGCGAGCGTGGGTGGGAAGAGCAGTTCGGCCTCACAGAAACGAGCGTATTCTGAACCCGCACAACCGCAGCAGCCTCAGGAACAGCACGGGATGTCTTTTGACGCAAGTCACTGTCCAAACGCCCAGTCAGCAACATCGATGGGATGGCAGACTACACCGACAGAGGTCAACACGCCAACACCCACAGAAGTAGCGACACCTATGCCGCCAACGACGGCGGGCTCTCAAGGTCCAGATGTTGCAGAGGACCTGGCCGACCTGGCCAGGCTGATTGCCGCAGAAGACGACCTGGACGCCGCCGTGGGGGCGACACTGCAGATGGCGGCAGCTAATGGCTCTTCGTCCAACGACGGCCAGATGATGTCGCAGCTACGATTGCCTCAGTCGATGCCGCAACGTTTACCAGAGTTCTTTTCGCGTGCGGCACGCGACAGCATGACCAGCGCGTCTGCAGGCCCCTCGGTTCCCGCCAGCGATCCGCCTGCGCCGCTCCCATTGGCATTGCCCGCAATGCCACCAGCGCCAACAGCCTTTTCCGAGGCACCGTGTCCACCGAGCGACACGGACCAGCCGCGATCAAACAAGAACCTGGTGCGCAAAGCCGCCATCCGGGAACGGCTACAGAAGGCGATCGAGAGTGGGGAGATGCCACCGTTCTGCCAGAACTGTGGTGCGATTGAGACGCCCACATGGCGCAAGATGTGGACGCAGGATCACGAGGGCGAGCCGGGCTATCACGAATACTCGGAAAAGCCGGGTCACGTGACGGCGATTGACGTGCTCAACCGCGACGACGATGGCAAGCCGACCAAGCACCGGCTGGTGAAGAAGGCCCTGGGCCCGACGGAAGACAGCAAGCAGTGGACACAGATGCTGCTGTGCAATCGTGAGTTTTCCGTTTGATCGTGCAGAAAGTGCCCCGTCTGACTATGTCTTCCCGTATGTGCAGCATGCGGCATCTGGCTGGGCAAGTTCAAGAGCCACCGACCGTCCGACCGATGGGAGAAGGATGCCTCGCGGCTCAACCAGCCCAAGCGAAAGCGGGATGCCAAGAGCGGTGGAGGTGGATCCCGTTCGAGAAAGTCGAGAACAAAGAGTGATCCACAGCTTCAGCCCACGTCGGAGGCCTACTTCACAACCGATCCAGCCGGCCTGGCCGAGCTAGACGAGATAAACATCCAGGGCACATTGCCGTCAGCATACATGCCCACAGCACGATCAGCAGCAGCCGAGCCTCGGTCCATGGACGAGGTCGTAGCTGCTGCATCAGCGATGGCAACAGAGTTGACGGAAGCGACAGCGGAAACAAGACGGCGGGAGCAGAGACAACAACAACACCAGCCGGATTTTGATGCAGGGTCTAACCGGGGGCCTGCTTCCGGTGGCGGATCTGTTGGTCGCCAGGGACTGCGATCGGCGCAATCAAAGGGGAGTGGAACGGCAAAGAGTCCAATTGCGGTGGACGATCCGATTTTTGGCGCCACGCGACGGCTTCTTTTCCCATCGCCCCGCAAAGACGGCATGCCAAAGGTGTTGGGCGAGCTGGACGCCAATATTGGGACGCCAACAGGTGGCGCCAAGACGCTGGCTAGCAAGCTTGGTAACGGGGGCAGTGGCGACGGCGAGAGCATCTCCACCAGGCAGTCCAAGGACGAGATGGTCGATCTTTTTGGAACACCACCTCCCCCAGCCACGCGGCCGTCGACGCCACCGCCCAGATTGATCGTGGCTGGTGATGGTTCTTCTGCAACGGCCTCAAGCGGGCCATTCAAGACGCCCACTCGTCCCACTCCGAGTCACCGGCCGATGACCAGGAGCATCACCAAGTCCATTCGCTCTGTGGCTCACTGCCCGCTGTCGCCATCTGAGGCCTTGACAGCACTGCAACGGACTCCGTCAAAAACACCGCGGGCGGCTCTTGCAGGCTCCAACATGCGTCGTCCAACAGGAGCCACTCCCGGCCGGCAAAACATGCACAACCAGCACGGCGGCTCCTTCCAGTTGTGCGACATGACCTTTGATACGCCCTTTACCTCGACGCTGAACCAGCTGCTATCGGAGGCCAACGAGTTCACTACGGGCTCGCCTTCGCACGGCCTGGGAGAGCTAGACCTGGTCAGCCTGGGCAGCTTAGACGGCGAGGAGATGCACGGCGGAACCTACCACGGCTCTGTGGGCAATATCGACTTTAGCTCGTATCTAGACACCGACCTAACCATGCCGAGCACATCGCCACTGCTGGGACGCAAGAGCGCTGGTCACAGCAACCGGCATCACCAGGTGACCTTTGGCGGCGCTCTGACCGTTGACAGCGATGCCCTGTGGACCGACTTTAGTGGCGCAGGTTTTCCGAACGATCCCATGGAAGAAGATGTCTAGGCGGCAGTTTCAAGACAGGGCGCCACCTGGTCCAAACGAGCACAACTACCCTGCTAGGCGAATCTTGCCCTGTTTTGTCCCGCCTTTCCCTCCTTCCCTCGCTCTTTCTTTCTGTGTTTTCCTTTTTCCCTTTGGCCCATCACGTTCAGACACAGCGTTTTTGCTTCATATCAATACCAAGGCGTTTGTTATATCAGCCAGGCCCTGCAGGATGCATTGCCTCGGCAAAGGGAGTTTCATAATGTGTATAGAGTATGCAGTATATGCGGAACCGATTCCGTTAGGGCTCCGCCGCGGTTAGGGCGCGAAATTCGGTTTTATCATGGCAGTAGCAGTGAGATGTTAAGATAGTATGTAGTACGGAGTACATAGTAGCAATTTCTAATTGCCATGCCAACAGCTTCTACTAATGCGTGCTCACAAAAGTACTGGCGAGACAGGTGTGAAATGCACTAAAGATCGATCATGGGGAAACGGGTTCATCGTAGGGTCCGGGATACTTCCTGCTAGTCCCAAGCATCTGGGGTTGATCGGACGTTTTGTTCCCCATCGTCAAAGAGGTAATTCTGGCCTGCCAACTCAGAAGGCAACTATGGATTGCATCACTTCATTGTGTGAAGGTTAAAGGAGGCTATACGTGGCGGTCATATAACGTGATGCACTGTGAGGAGCAGGAGGCTGAATAGGGTCTAGTGTGGGCAACGGAGTGTTGTGTACTAAGGAAGAAATAGATACATCGCGACCCTTCTAGGGGTCCGTATTAATACTAGTGCCAGGCCCTGCTTTTGTGCCTTCTGACCAATCACAGGCCCGTACGGCCAAGTGGGGCGGAAGGGCCACAGTGTGGCGGATTCCAATGCTTGACACATTGCTTCCAAGATCGGGCTCCGGCGATAGCCGTTTTCTCTCTGCTTTCCCTGAAGATGACCAGTCTTATTTGGGTGGCCAGACATGACGTACACGCACTGTCCTTGACCGGCTCTTTTTGCGAGGATTTGGAATATCTCGTGCTATGGATGAGGCTTGCGATAAGAAGCCTGCGATGTTTGGTTTAGCGCCATGGCAGGCAGCTGCTGCCGCCTCTTCTATCAGATACTTTAATGGTTATGTACATATATATGTATCTGCACATGCCTGCCGCCACACTCCATCAGAGCGACTATCCGTCATACGCGAAGAGAGACTTGTTCTGCTGTGCCACCTCGACGACCTTCTGGCTTAGCTCGAGATCTATCGGCTGCGTTAGCGACGGCACAGGGACGGAGGCCGCGAAACCCGTTCTCCTTGCCCCTCGATCGATACGAGGAAAACCAGGTCGACCAATCGCAACAGAAAATACTTTACGCACCGACGTCTAGTCCGAGATCCTGCGCACTCAGCACCTTGATAGAGAGGTCTGGCGTAATCTTGCCGACAATTTGAGCAGCATTGCCTGAGATGAGGTGTGATTCCTGGTGAAGAGAGCTGTCAGCGTCGGCCTTCTCGAGGATCGTTCTGCTCGCGCTCGCAGTACCATACCCTGTTCAGCTGCACAGTGATGTGTCCGTCTGCGTCGACAATCGCGCTGTCACCGCGCAGCTGCACCACCTTGCCAACGACCAGCACGTTGCGACCGACGTAGCTGTTTAGGTACGGACAGCTGACGCGCGGTGTCGAGGACTGATCCATCGTGGTGGTGGCTGTGAGGGGGTTTCTGGTGGCGTCGTAAGAGGCAGGAGGGCTGTCCCAAAGAAGGAGCAGGTCTGGGGTGTGCAGAGAACAGGGTTGTTAGCACGACGTTACGCAACGGAAAATAAAAACGGTTGTTCTGCTTCCTTGTTGCATCTACCGAGTATTACGAGCAGGCTTCTATTTGGAGGGGTAGCCCATTAAAACGCGTCTTCCTGTGCCGCGACGCGATCGTAATCATGTGACTTTTTTGTGTGGAACCTAGGCACACGCTGGATGGCATAACTCCGTGAAGGTCAGCTGAGATATTGTGTTAACGACAATCACGGCAATATGCTCTATCACGGAGTTGCGATCTACGGACGCAAAATCTAGACCCGTGGACCGTGATCTAGGCCCTTGGCGTCGGACTGTGCGAAAAGTTGGCATGTGAGGTTCCGTGTATAGGCTTGCGGTACAATGCCATTACTGCAATCTCAATCTGGAAAAAAAGGATTTGCGCATCCCAGCGAACCATTGTGCCTGTACGCATAGTTGCGCTCATACAGAAGCTAGGACAGAAAAAGAAAGCAAGAGGCGATTCGAGGCGATTCCCGTGCGCAGACATTAGTCCTGATCGTCATTTGGCCGATACATCGAAAGGGGAGGTTATGGGACGGAGTTTTAAAGTATCTGCCTACGTGCATATATCCGATGTAGGCTAGAATACGGGGCTAGTGGATTACACCTGAGTAAGATCGAGGCGCTAGTGCCAGCTCAGTCCCCGCTCCGGATAGCATACCCCGGCCAGCATCGCATCGGACTCTGTGAGCAGACAGCTTCCGCCTTTTGTTGAGACGGCTAAAGCCAGGAACTATCTTGCATTCTAGACTCGGGGCCCGGTATTTTTACAGCTTTCACCCGGAGAGTTGACTCCGGTGTGCGAGTAGTTTCCTTGGTCTGCCAACGATCCTGTTTCGTGCCCGCACCTGCCATCCTTGGCCGCACCGGAAAAGCAGGACTTTTGTGTTAGCTACACATATGTATGTGTGTGGGTTGAGCTCGTTGTTGCATACACAGGCACGCATACGCATGCGCATACACGCCACACATACAACTTCACTGCGACAACAAAGCCCAATTCCACGCTTTCCGTGGGCTGCCTCCTGTGCTGGGTTTTCTATCCCGGCTGCCTAAGGCCTAGCGGCTTTGTTGGACATGTGGACGGAAGAAGAAGCTACAGGTTTCTGTTCTTGCTTTTTTGCTTTTTCCCAGCTGTTTTCATTCTCTCTTTGTGCATATCTTCCCTTTCTTCTCCAGCAACACACAATGCGACCAACAGGCTCCCTAGCCGTGAATCCTTCGGCTGCCAATCTTTGTTCCATGCCATACACCCAGGCAGCATCATTAAGGTCAAGGTCTAGTGGCCAACCCGCAAGATTGTAGTAAGCCGCTCGCCTGCTGCTGTTGGCCGTCCCAACCAGTCTTCTGCCAGCGACAGACAGCTCTGGCGGTCGATCAATCCAGCCGCCTTAGCGTTACGCGCTAAGTAGATCACCAACAGTCCGTCGTATCTCCCCCACATCGCGCTCTCGCCGCTCCATAGCCCTCTCTCTTTGTCCACGGCCCCGTCGTCTCGTACCCATGTGCGACCGTGCACAGCAACCGCGAGCGAATCCGGGTGACCTGTATGCTCTCCCCACAAACCATCTGTCCCAGAGGTATTCGTATTGTCGCATATCGTACTCCGTACTCCCTTTGGAGCTTTGGGGAAGTACTGTGCCCAACATCTTTGTGGGCGGGACCAGGCTATAAGGCTTCTCTCGCTCCTTCTCCTTTGGCCTGCGCTTCTATCTTCATATTCTTCGCATTCCAACGTCTCGCTCCCAACTCCCAATTTCTGTCGGACACTGATCGCTGTCGCCGTGGCAGCCACCCCAGTCACCATTGCTCTTCCCTACCAGCGCTTCGACCCCTCTATCCGAGTGGAAATACCACTACTCATTCTTGTCAGGAACAGCCGCATATCCCTAGCAACAGGTTGCATACCGGTGCATAGGTCTTGTGTTTGACTTGTTTCTGTATTGGCCCACTTTGCAACAAGTAGGACGCTGCAAACAGACGGCGACCGCAAGCGATCTCTGCAAGCGAATCTGCAGCAGCATCTGCATCAACATCTGCATCTGCATCTGCACGACACATTTCTTTCACCGACTTCTCAGGCTGTCGACTCTCCGTTCCGAGCTCTCTCAAGGTTCAAGAACAACGCTTCCGCATTGGACTTGTATTACTCGTCGAATCATTGTCGGTTTCTATATTTCTCTTCATCAGGTGAGCGCAGCCCAGTGCAGCCTAGCCGGCCCTTCCTTGGTTTTTCTTTGGAGCATACCCAACTGCGTGATATTCGGAAGCCTGTTTCTCTCTGGTGCTCAGCTAATGCCAACGCAGATACTAAAACCAAAGGGCAACGCGTACGCAGCTACCAATGCTTCGTACTTTTGTACTAGCTTAAATCAGCCGTCTCTTCTCCCATTTTGCTATTTTGCTGCTGGTCGCTATACAGTCCCCGCAAGAGCATTTGCGTGAAGGAAACGGCAAGATGGATACCGACAACTTTTTCAACGAGTACCTCGCAGACGTGGGATTCGCTGCGTTGCCACACATAATGCACAACGACCACGACGACAGTCAATTTTTTGGCCTTGGCGGGCACGATGAGCAACAGCATCAAATTGGCCACTTTGCGTCAGGGAAAGAGCTGTTTGGCGATAACGACTGCATGGACGGCACGGTCTCGCCCTCTTGGCTGTCGCACCTCCAATTCGAACCCACCAGCAATCCCGAGTCATCCGGCGACCCAAGCCCTGTTTTTTCTGGGTCCATCGATGAAGACATGGGGCAATTGCAAGCCGATACCAAACATTTCGAGGACGAACCAGAGGCTCTCACGCACCTGTTGCTCGACCCCGAGCAGGAGAAAAAGCCCGAGTCGGTATTTCTAGGGGCAAACTCGGACGAGTTGCAAGCCTTGGAGATCTCCATCGACGATGTGCATCTGAAGCGGGAAGAGGTGGAGGACATGGCAATGTCTCCAATCACATCCAGTGCGGCGACGTTGAGCGTCAGGAAGAGGCGCAAGCGGTCGACCGCGGGCAACAATGACAAGGTCCGGCGACAAAAGTTTTTAGAGCGAAACCGCGTGGCAGCTAGCAAGTGCCGGCGGAAGAAGAAGGAAGCGGAGCAGGCACTAGAGGGACTGCAGAAGCAGATGGAAGACGACCACATGGCTCTAAAGTCGCTGCGGGCAACGTTGGTGTCCGAGTTTGCAGAGCTGCAAAGTATGTTGATGGCCCACAGCGGCTGTGGGAGTGCATCTGTCGATCAATGGCTTGCAACACGGTCGACCCGCCTAGAGGGCATACTGGGAAAAGAGGCTCTGGACGCCGAGTTTCAGAAGCCGTTGGAGGACCAGCCAGGAGACGGTGCAGACGAAACGCCAACGATGCAGCATCTGCCGCCTGCCGAAAGTCAGGCGGCTCACCACACATCACACAACGCAGCCTATCAAACGCCACGGACACTTCTACAGCACTCACCGTTGGCCACGGAGCAGTTTCAACCGTCAGCCGATCCAGTATTCTCAGCAAACTACGATCATTCTCCCCGGCTTTGTGCAGGTGACTTCACACTGTTGCCGTCGGCAAACAAGAACATGCGCAATGCGAGCCTCGCATCTAGCTTCGCGTCAATGACTTCATACGCCAGCTCCAATTTTGCCGCATCTGACTTTGATGCCCAGCGGAAAAGTAGCACGGACTCTACTGGTAGGCTTACATCTCTTTCGCTTTACTTCTCGGTGATCTTTTGCTGACAATGCAATATAGGGTCGTCCTACAAATTATCACCCATAAGCTCGGCGTATGCAGACTTCTCTGATTCGATGGTGGTAGATCTGACCAAACCTGAGGCGCAAATGGAGCTTCTGGCAGAGACGTCCTTCGAGTCTATCTGCAGCTCTTAATTACGGTTGGGGGCTTAATACCCCCCCTCCCCCTCCCTTCCCCCAAACCAAAAAAACCCTCCAACCGATTTATTGTAATGTTATCAAAGTGGTCTACATGTGTGGCGATACCCAGGTACCCATAAGGTGGTATGGCAGTCTGTAAAGATTTTACCGGTTGCTGTTTCAAAATTAGGTAATAAAGGCGGTTTATGCGAGCTAGACATAAGGGCAGGCAACAAGACCCTGGAAACTGGCTATGGCCTATTGTTTGGAGGTTCGCTAAGCAATTTGTCACATGCTAACTGGTCTAAGCTATGTTCTGTACATAAGGCGCATGGATGAATGTATATATACGGAGTAGTTGTATTCACATTGATTTGTACTGTATTTTATTTTATTTGTTCTGTTCAAGATGCAGGCACTCAATACACCTTGTATATTTGTACAAAGATGAGAGCCAACGTAACAAAGGTCCGGCTTACTCAACGACCGTCTGGCCAACAGGCGGGCCAGAGGGCCGGACACCGTGGATGAAGTGGCGTGAGACGAGGTCAGACTGGTGACGCTCGATGATGTAGCGGAGGGCAGCGCGCTCGACGACGATGCGGCCGGTCTCGAGCAGATCCTTGACGTCGACGTCGTCGACAGTGAGGGCGCGGCCATGCTCGCCGGCGGCCTCGAGGCTAGTGAACAGATTCGGGCGGCGGTCCGAGGTGATGAAGGTGGTGCGGCCGCTGGCGTGGCCCCAGGCCTGGCCGATGGTGCCAATGGTGCCGATGGTGTTGGTGCCGAAGTTGTCGGCTTGGCCTTGGAGCAAGGAGCCAACGTAGCGACGGACGAAGCCATCCTCGAGCTCGCGATCGAGGACGCCGGCCTGAGCAGCCTGCAGGAAGGCGTCGGGCAGCGGTAGCTCGAGTCCGTCCTCACAGACGACCAGCTCGCCGCGGCGGTAGCGGTACGAGAGCGCGGTGCGCCAGGCGCGGTCGTACACCTTGCGGTTGAGGTCGGTGCCAAAATCGCGCGGCTGTGGTCCAAACGACTTGCCACCGCCGCGGATCAGCGGCGACTGCCGCGAGCCCAGTCGTGCGCTGCCGGTGCCCTTCTGCGGTCGCATCTTGCGGTGCGACCCGTGCACGTCGTAGCGCGTCTTGGTCGACGCCGTGCCCTGCCGCGTGTTGTCGCCCTCGTACACGACCGCGAGGTGCAACAGATCGCGGCGCAGTGGCAGGTGCAGGTGCTGTGCCGACCACATCTCGACCGACCGCGGCTCCAGGCTGGGAAAGGCGAGCACGGTCACTGGCACGGTGCGGTCGGCCAGGCGAATGACCGACGTGGGTGGTGTTCGTGATGCTGTTGGTGCTGCTGTTGTGGTGGCTATAGTCCGGGACGATGTCGAGCAAAAGGCCTGCAGAAACAGACATATGTTAGCACGCCGTCGTCGCCATGCGCACCAGACACGCTGCCAGGCCACGTACCGGAACCGGGGCGGACGACGTCCGGCACGGCCCACCCACAGTGAGGCCGCTGAAGGCTTCGCCGAGGGCCCGGACACTGCGTCGTGAGGCCATAGTCCCGTGTGCAGATGAGATGCCGCCTGAGACCGAAATGCTGCGAGACGGGAGGAGCGCGCGGTAGAGGGGGCCTGCTGGCACCAAAGATTTCCGTCAGTCAGAATGTCAAATGGCAATGGCAGCAGTGGCGCTTCCCGAGGTCGATGCACTCGTCAGACCGAGATCCTCTCTCTCGATTTTTTGCCGCTTCTTTTCTCGATCTGACCTTGCGATAATCGGATTAGCCTTTGTTTTAGAGGAACCATCACGTGACTCTCTCGTCAGGCTGGAGCAGGTTTGCCCCCCTCGGAAAAGAGACGTCGTATCTCAGCCTTCCTGGCGTGCAGCCGGTCAAAGAACGTGCCCAAACGCAAGCTACACATGCCACATCTACCCGAAAGAGCATCCGCCACTCGAGAATTTTCGAGTCTCGGATAAATAGCCCAAGCGGCCAGTCTGATTTGTTTTGGCGCAGCCGTCGCGACAGCTGGTCTCTGCTCTGGTAGCATAAAGTAAGGTATACGGTCTCCAAACCGCGCTAAAAGCCACATCTAGCATCCAGCTGACTTGCGCCGATAAGCGCTGGCTGTTTTATCGCTTTTCCCCCTCACAAGTCTTGCCTACCACCGCTTGGCGTCTCCGAATCGGTCTTCTCTCACGCCCCCCCTCTCTTCGACTCTCACCGTCCCATCCGTTCTCGCCCGGCCTGTCTCTCCCGGCCTTGCCTCGCTGTCTCTGCGCCTCGGTCACCGACCGCTTCCATTTGCGACTTTGTCTTTTTTGCGATTTGCAACGGCAGACACTGTTTGACCGCCGTCTCGACCTCGCAACTTTCTCATCCCTCTCCTCGCTTCTCTGTCTCGGCCACGGGACACTGACAACTGCTCGTTGAGGACCTGACCGCCGGTGCTTGAGTTTCACGGCCTTCTTTGATAAACGACGGTCGTACTCCAGCTGTCGCAGCAGAGTCGCACCCCAACCGCCACAAAGACACGCGCCAGCCGTCACTCGAGCCGTCACTCGAGCCGTCACCCAACCGTCACCCCAGCCGTCGTCACAACCGTTACAGGCTGCTACGCTGCAGGCGCTTCCTTCCGCTACTGCAAGACATGGTTAGGAGCTCCCCTTTGTCGCGCCATCGTCACACCTACGCCCGCAGTCAGGCAGTCACACAATGCCCGAGACAAACAAATTCTTAACCCCCCTAGACAGGGACCAATTGCAAGGCCTGGTAAGCTTATTCCGGCATCGTCCCAGGAACGCGCTGCCCCCCTGCACCGCCCACGTTGCCGTGTTAAGATGATCTGACCGCGCTGTCCGGCTCCCCCGCGAGCAGGAAAACATTCGCGATTTCCTCAAGGTTCGCACCAGCTACGACGTCCTCCCTCTGTCGTTCCGTCTCATCATTCTCGACAACCAGCTCCTCATCCGGAAAAGCCTGTCCATCTTGATCCAGAATGGTGAGAACGTGCCGGCTGCACACATCTGCACAAGCAGGCAAGAGCCGCTGCTGACGAGTGTTGTGTCCGACAGGCATCGTGTCAGCTCCTCTCTGGGACTCGGAAAAGTCCACCTTTGCCGGGCTGCTCACCAGCACCGACTACATCAACCTCATCCAGTACTACTGCCAATACCCCGACCGGCTCAACGAGATTGAAGAGTTCCGTCTGAGCGGACTGCGAAGTGCGTCCCCCTTGGATACGTACACACACACATATGTGATCTGACGTGCTGACACCCTGCAAGAGATCGAAAAAGCCATCGGAGCACAGCCGCTCGAGACGGTGTCGGTCCATCCAGACCGGCCGCTGTACCACGCCTGCCGGACCATGCTTCGGACGCGGGCTCGGCGAATCCCGCTGGTCAACGTGGACGACGAGACCGGCCGCGAGATGGTGGTCAGCGTCATCACACAGTACCGCATCCTCAAATTCATCGCAGTCAACAATGAGAACAACACGGTACTGCTGCGGAAACCGGTGCGCGAGATCGGCCTCGGCACGTACTCGAATCTGCAGACCGCTCGCATGGGCGACCCCGTTTTGAGTGTCATCCACGTCATGGTGGAGCACAACATCTCAGCCATTCCCATTGTCGACGACGCCAACCGCGTACTTAACGTCTTTGAGGCCGTCGACGTCATTCCCTGTATCAAGGGCGGCAACTACGACGACCTGCAGTCTAGCATCGGCGAGGCTCTCTCCAAGCGTGCCGAAGACTTTCCTGGCATTTACACCTGCAGTGAGGAGGACCGTCTCGATGCCATCTTCGACACCGTCCGCAAGTCCCGTGTCCATCGCCTAATTGTCATCGACGACGAGTCCCGCCTACGTGGTATCATCTCCCTGTCCGACATTCTCAAATACGTCCTGCTGCACGGCACCCCGGACGATGATGACGCGCCCTTCTCCATGGACATCCGGCCGCCTGTTACGGCCAAGCCCCAGCCTGTCCAGCCTGTCGTGCTAGGGTAGCGGTGGACTGACCTGTCATTCCTCTGTTTGCTTTGTTTGTAGAAGGTGGAGGCGAGAGCACTACAATCCCCTATAGATTTGGCGCCACCTGTCTTGTCCCTCGACTGCTTTTGTGCTTTATATGATATATATCTCGGACTTGTAATTTTCTGATTGACCTAGGTTGCGCCGTTGTCTGTTGTAGGCTAATGCTTTTCTTGTCGCATCAGCCTGTCCTTGCGTTTATTTTTTCATAGAGACGCAGAAAGAACCACATAAAAGAATGACCAATCTATTACCAAAGAACAAAATAATCAAATTGTGAGGGGAATTACGGAGTAGAATAGGGAAAAGGGAGGATACAAGCATGCAGAAGTAGCAAAAGGTGCAGTTTACGGACCCCCAAATAGCCGATTGGTGCACCGAAGAACACAAACGAGACGATCTACTCCAGCATTGTTTCATCTTTGCTCGCGTGGCTGCGCTGACTCGTCAATTGTTTCGCCTGTGGAGCATCGTTCCCGGGTCACCGTCTGTTTTTGTTTATTTAACCTCAGCCCCTATGGAGCTGAAGGCGGGACCCCTCTGCATAAGGAAAAGGTCGGAGCATGCAACAGTAGAGATGGTCTGACGCCCGGAGAACGCGAAGCCGCTGTAATAATGGAGCCCAGTGTGTATTGTCTATTATCTCACGGTTCGTATTGCACCAAAAAAAAAAAAAAAAAAAAAGAGGTCCGCAGGACAAACGGCAGGTGCGACCCAGGTCCCCGCCCGTAGCTGCCTTGTCTGAGATACTCGCCCAACACAAAGGCCTTTTGACTTGGCAACAGTCTCCAAATCAGCAAAAGTAAACAAAATATCCCATTTGTGCCGATACAGCTTCTTCCTGCTCGCAACCACCCCACTTCCACCGCTGTCCGTGTCTCCTGCTTCGCTCTTCTCATTTCCTAGCCGTGCTATGCCAGCCGTATATCTCGTGTTCTTGTGCTTCTCAAGCTAGCCGGCCGCCCAGGGTGCTGGCCCCTGTGTATAGCAAAGCAGCGGCATCTCATCTATTTCACGCAGGCTTGCCGCCGGCCAACGGCGTCTCTGCCAGCTTCAACGCAGACCTCTGCTGGCGTTGCGAGCGAGCAGGAACTGGACATGGACTTTCTGATGCCACCACCAGCTTCATGTGCGAGATCTGACCAATGTGTTCCCTCTGCCCACTCCGCGTGGCAGCCTCGCAATCAAGGCCAGAAGGACTCATATCTGACAGATCCATTGCCCATTTCCGCAACAGGCACCACGGCTCCAGCGACTGCGGCACTGGCCGGATCTGGCTTCATCTTTCCTGGCTCGTCAGTCGATCGCTTGGGCATAGCCGAACCGCCGCCCAGCCGAAGTTATCGTGGCGCCGTACCGTGGACAAGTAGTGAGACCGGTGACCCGTTTGTCGATGGCGGTGAGGATGTGAACATGCCAGAGAGCAGCCGTCATCTTCTGGAATACAACAGCCTGGCAGACAAGGTTGGTGGCTGCAGTAGAATGCTGCCGCTGACTGAACCTAGCTAATACAAGGCTATCTCACAGTATGGTTTACCTCCTCTCTCGTTCGGCGACGATGCCGAGGAGTTCTCGGTACGTTCGCACGACGCGGGTGGTGTTGGCGTATGGCAAGCTGACTTTGATAGATCGGCCAGGACTCTCAGACGGCCGATACACGCGGCTGGTTTGCTCGTGCTTTTGGTAAACCACCAGCGTCCGTCTCGCGTCGGTCATCCCGGCAGTCTGCCAAATCGGACAAGAGCTCCAAGCACAAGCGAAGTGAAAGCGACACGACCGTCCTGGGCCAGAACAGCAAAGCCGACCAGCAGAGAGACACAAAGGATACGAAGGACGCCCTGAAACATGAGACACTGCAGTCGTTGGTTCGGCTGTGTGGCAAGAGTCTGCTTTACCTCCCCAGCGGGTACGCCACTCGCTCACTGACACTGCCAACGTGCATTCGTGCCGCGGCCCAATATCTTGTCCAGAATGGTGAGCACCCCTTTCCGAGCGAGACCGAGAGAGGACCATGAAAGCTAACTGAACCTTTTGCCCTTAGGCCCCGAGACTCGCGGCGTATTCAGGATTTCTGGATCGACACGGGTGGTTGGCGAGCTCTATGACTATTACTGTGTTAACATCGACGAGGCAGACATTTCTACGACGGTCCGGTCACCGAACCTCCCGTTCCACATCCACTGTAGTGTGCACGATGTGGCATCGTTGTTCAAGCGGCTCCTCGCCGGCCTCCCGGGTGGCGTCCTAGGCCATGTGTCATTGTTTGAAGCTCTGGTCAACATTTACAGAATGCTGCCGACTGGAAGCCAGGGATCTAACATGGCCGACCGCGACTTAGTCCGAGCCCGTCTCATTGCCCTGGCCGTCGGATCGGTCCCTTCGCCTCTGCAGCGAGAGCTGATCTGTGCCGTGTTCGGTATTCTTTGCCTTATCGGCCGTGCAGCCGAGGCGGCCGCTGCTCGTGGAGACGTCTACAACAGCCGGATGCCCAATTCTGAGCTCATGGGGTTCAGCGCACTGGGCATCATATTTGGGCCGCTACTTCTTGGCGATCATCTAAGCTTTTACTCATCGGACACAAGCGACGACGCCATCTCTTCGTTTTTTCTGCCTCAAAACTTTACCATCACTCCTTCTCCTCGATCGAGGACGGATCGGAGGAGGAAGAGCACTACGTCTGATAAGCGGTCGCTGATTGCAGCATCTCTGACGCTGGACAAGGTTCTTTTAGCGAACAACATCGCGGAGATGCTGGTCAAGAGTTGGACCCTGGTTGTTCAACAGATGGACAGCATGGCCATCATGCGGAAGCAGTCGTTGACCCAACGTCCGCCACTGGATGACCAGCTGAGAATTCCCAGAGCATTACGTCCCTCTAGGTCCGAGACGTTTTCCGATACGAAACAGCCGGTGGCAGTACCGCCAATCACCAGCTCTCATCGATCTAACAGCCGGGCGACGCGCAGCTCGTCAGTATCGCTCATTCGATCGAACACTACCCATGTAGCCGTGGGAAGCCAGCAGCCTCCTCCGTGGCCATTGTTTGGACGAACGGCCGAGAAGACCCCTGAAGGCTTTGCCTCCAGGATAGGGTCTGCCTTGAGCGGGCAAAGCGCGGTTGGCAGCGTGGCTGCAGCTGTCAGAAATATATCCGTGAAACAGGCAGTGGCGGCCTTGTCACCAAGTGCCGAGCTGGCACGGGCTGTTGGTGTTTCGTCGGGAAGTTCGGCTTCCAAGTCTGCTAGGCTTCCGTCACGAGTTCAGAACAACGCATCACCACCTCTTGACAGCGGCATGATCGTCCCATCCTGGAGAGCGAAGCTGAAGCCGGTGGACACCTCGGCTCAGTATACGGACACGACCACTGGCAATGCAAGATCGCCCTTGGATAGATCGCCCAGGAGAATGCCTCAAAACACGAGTGCGACGAGTTCGAGGCGATCTAGCTCAGGTGCTCTTAGTGGAAGTGATGGGTCACCATCAAAGACGGCAGCACTGATTGCGCGTATTATAAACCCTCGAACGACAGCTGCGCCAGTGGTACCGCAGTCAATGTGGTCGCCAGAGAGAGGTATTGTTGCCACCAGAACAGAGAAGAGCATTGCATCGACTGGCCGCGTAACTGCACTAGCCACAATGCCTTGGGCCAGCCCTGATGGAAGTGTTTTTTCTGAAAGCAGAAAGAAGTGGCTCCTACAGGCAAACGCTTCTCCTAGTACTGCCAAGGACTATAAGGAGCTTGCGCAACTATCTGCGACGACACAGAACGGACGTTGGCGTGCTCGGACAATGCCTTCTGCTATTGCAGGCGGTGCGAGGGATGAATCTCATATCGGTGGTCCATACCTCTCGAGACAGTTGAGAAACACAGAAAACCAACCGATTGAACCATGCCGCAGCCGACCGCAGACTGCGACGAGACCACCACTGACAGGGATGAGCGACAATCTTCGCTATAGGTCGGGTTTTGGAGTGGCCGTGGGCCTGAACGCCAGGGAACAGACACAGGCACTGGGCAAAGGATTTTGGATCAGTTCGGGACTGCAGCAACCGCCACTATCAGAAATCAAGAATGAGGCCAAAGGGGCTAACAGAACACAGCCAAAGAATATCAGCCCGACGCCGAGGCAGGCGAGAACAGACGCGGCAGTTTTGGTCGGGGCCGATGGACTGGGTGCAAAGTCGACAGGCGGAGGAACCGTGAAAGCGATGGCTGCTATGTTCGACAGCGCGGTCGGGGTTCCTGCGACCGAATCGAAACCATCGACACCCGTGCCGCTTGGACAGGCTCGCGATACTCCGCGAACACCCAACAGCATATCGAAATACATGACGAACAACTCACCAAAGCCGCGGACGGCGACGCCTTCGCCCCATTGCACGCCGAGGATATTGTTATCCCCACCGAAGGACACAAACGAAGTGTCAATGAGAGACCTGGCACGTGAACAGAGACGTCAGAGGCTATCTCGAAGCGAAGGCAGGAACAATTTCTCGGGCAATGCGCCGCTTTTTACTGTGCGCGGTCGAGAAGGGGCACGATCTGTCGATGGGAGTAAGAATACGATCGACATACACTTACAGGATGCAAGTGCCAAGAATGCAAAGGGAAGAAACGGGTTTGAGCTCCGGTCCGGCAGTTACGATGCCGACACGAACAAGGGGCCAAAGGAGGAGCAAAGAGGACGATCGCTAGTGTCGGATCGGGTCAGGCTCACGGAAGAGCTGTTCGGGTCGACATATACACCAGCTCGAAGCTCTCCACCGCTGGCACGTCGAGGCATTGAAATTCCCAGAACGGCTGGGCAGCATGCGGTGAGCCCAGTGCTACAGGCACAGTTGCGGGATCTGCGGCAGCAACTGGAAGCCAAAAGCGCAGAGTGCGCAAGTTGGAAGAAGAGGGCAGAGACAGCCGAAAGGGCGGTGGCAGAGCTGGACTGCTATGCATCTAAGCTGTATATGGTGGACGGTGATATGGGGAGCGAGGACGACGAGACGGATAGCAGCAGTGGTTCGGATAGCAGCAACATGACGGTTGTAGTTCACAGTCGGATGTCGAACGATTCGGTTCTACGGGTTCTGATCTAATGGGCAGGGTCAAGGAGTCAATGGATTATAGAAGGCCACGGCAAAGGACGGAAAGGACGGAAAGGACGGGAGGGGTGGAACAGGACGGAACAAGACATGACAAGACATGACAAGAGCATGAGTTAATGATGACGAGTTTCTTTTATTTACCCCATTGCTCGACAGATGGCAAAGTAGATACATGCTTGATGCTATCGTACATTTATGAAAAGGCCAAACAGGCACAACTTCGAGAAGCCACCACGGTCCACAGGGCGTCCGAAAGGACAGACAAACGTCGGCTTAGCGGACAAACCTGCGTTTGGGGGTGGCGATGCGGTGGGTGAACTTCCAGAGATGGCGATACTTTGGGCCCTGGTGCTTGGCTTCCCAACCGCGGGCCTTGCGAGGCGGCTTGAGCGAGGGGAGGCGAATGGGCTTGAGTTCGAGGTCGGCGCCGGGGACAGCAGCACGAGCCATGACGCCCTCAGTGCCAGCGTCCCATTGGGAGCGGAAGAGGGTGCAGCCGACGGTGGAGAGGCGGAACTTGTCGACGAAACGACGAACGTCGAAGCCATTGCGAGCTTGGGCGTAGGAACGAGTGAGGGCGTCGTGGTCGAGCGGCTCGAGGGGGTTCTGCTGTTCTAGGACGAGGACGGCGAAGCGGTGGGGAGCCGAGCCCTTCTGGGCGTAGGCGGGCAGCCAGGGCAAGACGAGTTGGGCGGCAGGGTCGAGGCGACTGAGCGGCACAGAAGCGTCCGAGGGTGCGAGCGGGATGTTGGCGGCGAGAAAGTGGCAGCGACGGGTAAACGAGTCAGCCTCCCAGTCGGGCACGTCGGCATCGACGACGACGACCGAGACCAGACGCATGCCACGGTCAAACACCTGCACGCGCAACCGCGGACACACCTCGCTGATGAGACTGTCGACAATGGCACCGGGAGCGACACTGTAGCTGCGGAAGAAGAGCTCGACGTCGGCGCGTGGCTGCAAAAGACCGGCTGGCAACAGGTCGGGCGCGAGGTGGAACTGGTCGATGCGCTGCTGCAGCAGGCGGAGAGGGCGGTCACGCCAGCGCTGTTCGGCGAGGTAGCGATAGATTGGTTTGTTCATGTCGCCTGGGGAGTTAGCGGGGGTGGTAGAGGGGGTATAGAGAAGAAGGGGGAATGGAAGAGGGAAGAGAGGAGAGTGAGGGGAGAGGAGGGTGAGAGGAGAGAAGAGGAGAGGAGAGGAGAGGAGAGGAGAGGAGAGAGGTGAAAGGAGACAAGGAGAGACAAGAGAGAAGAAAAGAAAAAGAAAAAAAAAAGAAAGAAAGAAAAGAAAAAAAAAAAAAAAAAAGAAGATCTACAGAAAGGGAAACGACAAACAAAGTCGATAGAAGAAATAAGAAGCAACACAGAAACGTGTTGAGCGCAACTCACCCAATCCATCTTCGAATCGCCGCTTCACCAGCGGATCGTTAATGTCGGCCAGGATCTTCAGCTCCTCCACGTGCTGTCGCAGACTGGCCAGCCTCCGCTGCCGGTACGGCTCGCCGCCCCGCGACGTGTTGGTCAGGCCCACCACGTCGCCCGTCGGGTCCGTGATCACCGCCTCCAGCTTTCGGATCTTGGCCGCCGTCGCCGCGATCTGCCGGAGCTTGTCTTCCCGGTCACTCTGCAGCACCTTGCGTGCCTCCTGGAAGCACTGGTATGGCATCAACTCAAACGGGACCGGGGAAGCCGGCGCCGACAGCGAGAGAGAGCCCATCAGGTCTGTCGCCGCCCGTAGTGCCGCCCGTCGCCGCCGCGAGCCCACCGGCGGCGTGCCACGTCGCATCAGCTCCTTCTCGGCCCACGGCAGCGTCGTCCGGTCCGGGTCGAGCTCCCAGCCCTCGAGGACGACCTGTTCGGGGGTTGTGGACGGCGTAGATGACACAGAGGAGGCCGTGTCTGGAGAGGCCGCCGTCGCCGTCGACGACAGCGGGCGGAATTGCTGTGCGGCGACGATAGGTCGGAATGATACCAGCAAGGTCGAGGTCGAGATCGATATCGAGGTCGAGGATGAAGCTGAGCCACGCAGGCACTGCACAAGCGGCCGTGCCGCCGGCGTGTACCTGGGCATCTTGCAGACAGAAAGAAAGAAGCGTGCCGGGGAGACTGGCGGGTGGGGTGCTGCAACGGCAGGGTCTCTCGTGTCGGCTCCAGAAATGAAGCTATTGACGATTCTTTTTTTCTTTCACACACTAAAGCCGATCGGCCGTAGTCATCACGTGCACAGTCACGTTAGCCTCCGTGAGCCTACGTCGTACTTGGTACACTCACTCTTTCCCGAGCAGTCGTTTGAGAAAAGGCACGTACGAGTATACGTGAACGAGACACCTGTCGTGGCTACCGCCCAATACCAGGCAGACGTTTGACCTCAACGGTGACAGCACCGGTTGTGGCGAAACCCCCAGCAAAGACTGCCGTCCTCGTGCGCACATCATACGAGAGAGTCGCGCTTGTTCTTCTTCTCGTGGGCTGCGGAGCACAATTGTATCATCTTTGTCTGTTTCCGGCGTTTTGTTTCGGGCGCCGTGTCAATTTTAATACGACCTTGTTAGGACGGCCGGCGCCTGGCCACTGCGCTAACCGCCGGCAGCATACTCGTACAGCGCCCCCAGAAAGACCCGTCCCTTCTCCAAACGCACCCCCGTTCCTTCTCTCTCCCATTCTTTTTGGGCTTTTCCTCCTCGCGACTTTCTCCTCGCCCTCCCTCTTCATTCCCCCCGACTGCTCGCGCTCAACCGACATCGCTTTCATCAACGTCCGCCCGCGCGCTACAAGACTCGACCACATCCTCCTCCCGTCTACGGCCGACGTCACAGACGCTCATCTGCGTGTCACGCCAGCCCATCTGCTCCCGCCAACGACAGGACGACAACGCGCAGAAAGTTGACAATCCGACAGCACGGGTACTCTGCTGCGCAGTAGCGAGCAGACCGACCAGAACGGCGGAAAATAACCTTGTCTAGGCCGCAGAGCGCAGCTGTACGCCCTTCTCGTCGCGCCCAACCGCCCCGAACGTTGCCCTAAAACGAGCAGCCACAGCCACCCAATCAACGCCGAACGGCCCCTGTACACCGACCCCGGCCCCCCTACAACCTTTTTTTTTCCACTTAAATTTTCTTCCAGTTGTTTTCTCCTCTCTTTTCCCAACCAAAGCTCACCCGTCGTACCCAGAGACTCTACTTTCCGTCCATTCCCATTCCATCCTTCTTCCGTCTGGTCCTCTCTCTCTCCTCCAAATTATGCTGTAACCTGGCGGCACTCTTGTTAAAGCAAGACGACCGGCAAGGGAGAGAAAGGGAGACGACTCGAATATGAGGCCACTCGTCTCAGCGTAGTAAAACAACATAACCAGAGGGAAACAAAAAAACAGACCGTCAGCTCTGCTGCTTCTTTCGCAGCCACAGGACCAGAGCGTCGCGCTGCCAGCGACTCACCGGGTATGCAAAACACTCCTCTCCCTCCTGACCACACCTCTGCCCTCTGCCTTGCCCTTTGCTTTCTGCGGCTTCGACCACAGTGCTTATAGCCGCCGGCACCATTCCACGCCCCTCCGACGCAACACAACGCGTCTTGTCTCACCGCTTTATTGCATGCGCACACACTCCTGTACCTTTTATCTACCGTTGCTGCCTCGAGCTATAATTGTCCTCTCCTTATCGCTCCTACCCTCCAATTCTTATTCGTCTGCTCGCAGAAATGAATTGCGCGGCAGCGGTATAGAAAAGCGTGGACGAGGTGGCTGAATCCGGATTTTTTTTTTCCTTTAAAAATAATGAGAGGGCAGAGAAGCACAGAGCAAGAAAAAGAGAGGCAGCCGTGAAAGAAGACGACCCAGCAGGAGAATGGGACAGAGGCAAGAGCCGTGGCCGGAGCAGAAAGAAGCCGCCTTGACGGGAGTAACGCTTATGATGCTTGACTAAAGAATCTGGGACGAGCCAGAACCAAGAGAAAAAAAACACGTTAAGTGAGGGCAAATTAAATGCTCAACTGATTGCTCGTCTCTATACACGGGGACAGGCATGTGAAAAGAGACAGAGAGAGAGGGAGAGCTCGGACACAGCAGCCGACGGCATCAACCAGAGAAGGAAGACGCGACAAAGCTACGCATTTCGGTTTGGCATGGTGACGGCATGGGTGGCGCGATCTGGTCCGGCCATCGTTCCCCTCTTCTTTCCCAAATCCTTCACCTTGGCGTCGACCGTCTAGTCAATCTATTCGCTCCCTGCAGGCGGGAATCTATCCCGGCAAGAACAACAGAATCACATCACAGAAGCGAGCAGCCTGCCTCGCCACCCCTGCCAACAACCAGCGATTGTCTCTGCGAAAACTGCGCTGTTTCCGCGCTTCTAGCACCAGAAGCTGCCTTATTTTGCCTGCAGGCCCCACCAAACGCCCGAAGATGGCCTAAAACGGCCTAGTCACGGCAGAGTACAGCCGAAATCACTTTTGCACAAGTGTTTCGGCGACTTGTCGCCTTGTCGCTGGTGTCGCCCCATGCTTCCCGGCTCTCTCTGGCTCTCTGTCTCTGGCTCTATGGCTCTCTGGCTCTCTGGCTCGGTTTTCCTCATTGGCTTCTGCTTGCTCTTGTCTCATCGGTTCAGTGGGCCTGCCCTGTTACAGCACACTTACTGCGCCGAAATCCACTAAAGCACGAAGCTTCTGACCACTAACTCTGTTCTCCACAGACTTGCCCGCACTTGTCTAGTTTTGGACTAGCTCCTCCTTTCCGAACAGGGATCCCAACGCTCGTATGCATCACCATGAACTCTTTTTTCACGTGACGTCTTGTTCAAATTCACTTACAATCGTACAGAGTGAAGCATAATGGCTCAACAGGGCGCCGGGACTCCTGGCTGGCCCATCAATTACGAAGATGGCCACGCCTTTTCTCTCTCACACTCGGTCGATAATGTTGACGACCTCCTGTCTCTGAACACACTGCCCCAGCACCAGCTGAATGCTTGGCAACATGCAGACGTGCCAACCACCCAGGCCTATAGCCACGGTCAAACCGCCCAGTTTTCCATGAGCGGCCACCCAAGCCAACCTGAGTACTCTGACATTGTTGGGGCAGGCCATCTGCATGGAAATGCAGCGCAGGCACAACAAAGCTGGCAAGCATACCAGCTTCCTCCGCAGGCCAGCCATTCGCCGCCACCAAATTTTGCAAATTCTCATGGTTCTCATGGCTTCGATCCAGCACAGAACTTCGGGGGTTCCATCACTGGTCCGGCCAGTGGCATGGCCTTTGGCAGCCAGGGGTTTCCGACAGCTGACGAAACGATGGGCGGCATGTCATTCCTTCCAGAGCAAATTGGGGATAGTCAGCAGTGGCATCAGCAGCAGCAACAACAACAGCAGCAGCAGCAGCAGCAGCAACAACAGCAGCAACGGCATCAACAGCAGCAACAGCAACAACAACAACAGCAACAACAACAACAGCAACAACAACAACAGCAACAACAACAACAGCAACAACAGCAACAACAGCCGCATATCCTTATGCAAAACCGTGGAGAGATGTCGGGCTTTGCTTTCTCTGGGCCTGGCGATGCAAGCTCTATTTCTACGGCCTCGCCTGCCGCCCAGACTACTGCAGCCGCATCGAACATCGGCAGCCGGATGGAAACGCGGCAGGCTTCATACCAGAATGCAGCACAAGCATGGCAACAACATCACGATGGCCAGCAACCAAGGCAGCCCATGTTGCCAGTCCAGCACACAAATGTTGTCTCGCAGCAGCAGCAACCTCTACAGCAGTCTATGCCATCGGTATCGCAGCCGTTGCAGCTATCGACAGCGCCCCAGATGGCACAGGTTTCACAGGTGTCGCCTCCGACTCCCGCAGTTGCCGTTCAGGCAGCAAAGCCGGCTGCAAAGCCCAAGACTACCAGAGCTTTAAAAGCCAAGCAACCAGCTCAGACGGTGCAAGATGCCCAACAGATGCAGTCCCTCGATGCGATGCAGCCAATGCAATTCTCTCAGGCACCGCCGATCCAACAACAGATGTACCCGCTACAAGGCAACGAGTCTCAATCCAATATTCAGCAACAACAATTGGCAGGCGGGTTTCGGCAGGCGCCGCCACAGCAATCACAGGCTCATCCAAGTAACTGGCAGCAGTCTAATTCTGGTCTAGCACACACGGAGGCCCGTTTTCAAGGCCATATCAACCCAGAAGCTTATAATCAGAGCCCGCCACCATCGTCGTCTGCGACTCCACAAGGATGGTCAGAGCAGCAGTTTCAGCAACATCAGCAGCAGTATCAACAACAATTCCAGTCGCCTCCGCAACAGACACAGACACGGACCCAAATTCAGCAGCTGCAGGCACGGCAGATGGCAATGCAACAGCAGTTATTGCAAAAGCAACAGCTCCAGCAGATGCGACAGCAGCAGCAGATGCAGCAACAACAGCAGCAGCAACAGCCTGCATCTTTTGCCCAGCTACAAGCAGCTCAAGCACCCCCTGTGGGCCAAAACAGACCCGCGCTATACTCTGCTTCTCCGGCAACTCTACCATCAATTTCTAGTTATTCGGCCCCGCCTCCGAAGCCCAAGCCGGCCAAGCCGACATTTAAGAAAGCAAGCCTGGCAGACTCTCGTCCGAAGCTGATTCCCCACCTCGTTAGTGCTGCGGACACTTTGGAGAGAAACCAGTTCTTTCCGGGCGTGCCATTTCTGGCGCTTGGTAACATGGTGGACATCGAGCCTCCTACGACCACGATCGAGCCGGCCGTCCAGCCGGACCCGACCAAGGAGCTAGGAAGGAAACATTTCCCTGGGCGTAAGGGAAATCTTCCCTGCGAAATTATTGCGTATTACGATCGACTTGTCAGCACTCAGCCCTCGGAGAAGAAAGATGGATTGATCGCCGAACTCCGTAGCAAGCTTAAGAGCCAAGGAAAAAGTAAGCTGTCTGCTTCCATCTGGCTATTCGTTATTCGCTAATCGGTTTGTTCTACAGTGCTACTTCCCAAGGTATACAAATTTGCCTCTCTGGGCGATCAGCCCAAACGGTCGACACATGGCGCAACGATACAAGGACGGAGCCCTGCGGAAATGGACTCTCCCGATAGCGACGAGGAAGAGGAAGAAGAAGTGAGTTAATTAGCACTTTGGCCCGGAAGACTGCTTAAGTTGCTGACAAAAACAAGGTACGCAGTGCTACGCGTCCAGATGATCCTGCCGATGCAGCAGCTTGGGATGCCATCGGCTTCGTCCATGTGGAAAACAACAGTCCGCCAACGATCAAGCGGGCTGTGAAGAACTTTGGCGACTTCATCAAAGGCATCTACGATGGCATCAAAGAGACGAAGGAGAAGCTCAAGAAGGCCGAAGAGGGCAGTTCCAAGGAAGCTGCCGATACGTTCAAGAAGACGCTCGCTTCCAAACAAGAGCTGCTACTCCGTGCGGTGGATGCTGCCGACGAAAAGGGACACGAACAGGTGTTGGAAAATCTAGGCGGCAACGGCCCTTTGGTGGCCAACCTCGTGTCCGCCCTCAGAGATTGCGTCAATGCGTCTGATTTCGTCGGCAAGCTTCCCAAGACGTTGCTTCGTTTCATGTCGCAATTCACCACAGTGACAGACGAAATGCTCAACCAAAAGCTCAAGTTCGACAAGATCCAGAAGCGGTTCATGACCAAGGGCGACGATGAAGTCAAGGAACTGGTGGGGGAGATTATCTCGAAAACCGTGCATCGCAAATCAGAGCGACCTTCGGGGCCGGTGGTAGCCTCCGCATCGGCTTCTACCCTGGGCTCGCGGCCGGCCAGCCGAGTCCCGTCAGATCCCCTGTCGGCTAAGAGACCTCGGGAAGAGGACAGCGACTCTCGCTCGACGAAAAAGGTGGCCACCAGCTCAGGAACCCCACAACTTGTCGGCAGACCTGCACTGGCAAAAACAACAACTCCCGCCTCTGGTGCTTTTCCGACAGCGCTGTCAGTATCGAAACCATGGGCTGGCACTGCTCTGCTGCCGGGGAAGTCGAGGCCTAACCTCAAGCCTTCAGTCCCCAAGGCCGATTCTAAGGGGGACCCTTCGCATCTGGCATCGTCGGTCAAGACAGAAACGAGCAAGGAGTCAGGCAGAGTAGTTGGCACAAGCGGGTCCGGCTTGGGATCTGTCAGGCGTGACCCCCCGGAAGCAGCGAAGCCGAGCGACCAGTACAAGATCAAGAAGCTGTCCGCACCCAAAGCAGAATCGTCGTCTTCGGCCGCTAGCCAGTCGAAGTTGGGCGCATTGCTGGACGAAATTTCCATGGCGAAGAGCGCGGCACCGACAGCACCGACATCCGAATCGTCGGGCGAGAGCTCGGCACCGACAGAGTCGGCCGAGGAGAAGGCCAAGCGTCTCCGCAAGGGGAGCAGGAGGAAGCTGCGGGTTACGTGGAAGACTGGCGACGAGCTGACTGAAGTGCGCGTCTTCACCAAAGACAAGGACGAGGACGAGGGCAGAGCTAACTACCTGCTCCGTGACGCGGGTGACGACCGGTCGGAAGGTCTGGCGCTCAAGCGCAGCCTCAAGAAGGGCGTCAAGTTTGACGAGGAAGAGGAAGAGGACGGCAGCAGCAGCGCAAACGGCAACAACAGCAGCAGTGGTGACGATGACGATGAGCTGCCGTATCGGCCGTGGTTTGAGCCCTCGACCGTCTCCTTTTCGGCGATCCCGGCGGAGAAGAGGGAGAAGACGTTTAGCACGCGTGGAGGCAGCATCCCGGTGCAGACGGACGAGCAGAAGATCATGGCCGAGCGGGAGAACACGGTTCTCATGGCCGTGTATACCGATCCTGCCGACATCCCACCGACGCCGAAATCGCCAGGACCAGCGGGCGAGACAGCTACTGGAGGCCCAACAGGACTAACGCTTCCGACGAACGACGCCAAGATCCAGGAGCTGCAGGTGCGCTGGAACGAGGAACGGACGATCGGCTCGGATTGGGCGGCCTGGAATGCAATCAGCCGAATGGACAGCCGGCGGAAGCAACAGCCCGGAGCCAAGACAGCACGGACAGGACGGAGCATTTCTGCATTCAATGGACCCAGAGCGGAAGAAACCGTGCGGCTGCTGGGCTCGAGCACGATCAAAGGATGGACAGGCTTTCCGGACCTCTCAAGAGTGTCGTCGCGTCGTCCCTGGCACGAGTACACGGATGCAGCGATGCAGAAGGCAGTGCGCGAAGTGGAGGAGGTGGTGCAGCAGCTCAAGTCGAAGCCGTTTCCGGCGATCGAACCGCCCGAGTACATTACCAATCCAGAGCGGCAAAAGGAATGGTGGACGGGATACAACCGGGATGCACAACGCGAGAAGGCCCGTGTGGCAGCAGCAACGGCAGCAGTGTCTCAACAAGTCCCAGCAGCACAAAACGGACAGCAACAGGATGCAGCAGCTGCTTGGGCAGCAGTCTATGCTCAGTTTGGCCAGCAGCAACAGCCACAGCAAGGCAGCGACCAGCATAATGCCTATGCTCAATACTGGAACACCATGGTTCAACAGCAGCAGCAGCAGCAGCAATCTCAGGCAGCCGTGCAGACGACAGCAACAGGCGACTCCAACGCCCAGCTCCAGGCGCTATTGGCAACGCTTGGAGGAGCACCACAGGCGACCCCAGCCATGGCGCAGATGCTGCAGCCAGGCACAGTCGCAGGAACTGGAGATGCCAATCAGGCCTACATGCTCTCACTGGCACAATGGGCCGCGGCACAGCAGCAGCAGCAGGCCGAGCAGGCAGGGGGGTTCGGCGGTGCAACCGACAGTAATGGGGCCGGCAAGCTTGCGATCGGGGCTCACGGCCGCAAGCGGGAGCGCGAACGGGACTGGGATAAGGACGAGGATCCGTCGACTCCAAGCCATCTGCGCGGTATCAACAGGGCCCTCATCGGCACCAAGGCATGTGTTTTCTGGGCCAGCGGCAAGTGTGCTAAAGGCGACAAGTGCACGTTCCGGCATGACTGATGTTGACGGCAGCGGTGGGGAGAGACTGTACGATACCAATTTGTGTCTCGGTGGCTTTCTTTCTGTTTGCCTCGGGCTGGACAAAAGGAAAGCGGTTTGGGGCGTTTATTGTGTATATGCGTTTTTGTGTATATGCATGTATGCATGTATGCATTTATAGAACCAGGCAAGTGGGAAAAGAGCAAGCAGCAGGGAGCACCTGGCTGCACATAGTCCATAGCGATTCCTGCCTATATTTAGGCGGAGACGATTAGATGTAACAGAATATCTTTCATTGGCTTGTGGTCACAACCAAGTAAACACACGTGCAGGCATTTTGTTCTGATATTGTCTGTAGGTTCCGAGACAGAGCCCCAAAGCAAATATATATAGAAATATCTTACGGAGTATGTAGTTCGTACTAACAGATACAACGACGAAGTCCCAAGGACCCAAACAGAAAAAAAAGCAGGAACCGTACTCCGTCCTATGCTGTGTAGCAAGCTTCACAGAAACACGCCGAGACACTATCCGACCCTTGTCTCATACAACGCCGAGAACTGTCTGCTTGGGGGTATCGCTGGAGGAGACAGCATTGAAACGGACATGGGGAAACGAACTGCCGCCAGCTTCACAGCTCACGATAGTCACTCGGACGTATCCGCTTCGGCTTGTTGAAGTGGCGGTGGGGATTTATCGGCTTGCGGAAATAGGCGTCGTCTTCTTCGACGTTTTCGCTGCTGGCTGCCACGATGTTCTGGAAGCCACTGAACCGCTGCGGTTGCGGCGGTTGCTGTTGCTGCTGAAGCTGTTGTTGATGCTGCTGCTGCAGTTGTTGTTGGTGCTGATTAATGTAGCCGCCGTTTCTGTAACCTCCACCGGTGGCATTCATGTTTCCCCAGCCCTGCTGAAAGCCGTTGTTCCCATTCATGTTCATCTGCCCCCAACCTTGCTGAAAATTGTTGATACCTGCACCATAGCCGCCACCGTTGGCGTTCATCCCCATGCCGTTCATCATAGGATTCATCATGTTCATGTTGCCCATGCCCATGCCCATGCCACCCATATTGGCCATATTAGCCATGTTGCCCATGCCGTAATTCATCGGCATACCGCCAAACGGCATCATGCCCATTCCCATACCCGCCATTGCGTTCATGCCACCCATCCCGTTCATGCCAGTCATGCCGTTCAATCCACCCATCCCGCCCATGCCGTTCATGCTAAATCCACCCATGCCATTACCGGCCATCTGCTGCTGCAGCGCCTGTTGTTGTGCCTGCTGTTGCTGCTGCATCGCTTTAGGTGCTTTCGGTATCGCAGGATTTTCAGCTTCGTCTTCTGCCGGTCGTTTTTTCGGGTTTGACTGCCCGCCTGTAGACGCAGCACCGCTGTCGGAACCCGATTGCTGGGATGCCGTCGGCGATGGTGCGCTTGTCGCGCTCGTGGTCGAGACCGCTACAGTGGCTCCGGCAAGGGGCGACTTCTTCCCCTGATCATCACCATCAGCAGCTGGCTTTGCATCCGCGGGCGACGCTGCCGCCGTGCTAGGGGATCGTCTTGCAGCCTCCTCGATGCCATCTTCGCCCTCTTCCTCGGTCTTCTTCTGGCTCGCCTCTTTTTCCTTTTGATACGTCTGGATCTTTCCCTCGACCTCGTCGTCCGGCTTCAAATCATCGATAAGTACACCCTCCGTCTGGCAGCTGGGACAGACGAAATCGCTCTCGAATAGCGCATTGGTGATACAATCATTGCAGAATGTCTTGCCACAGCACGGAGTTTTCATTGGTTCGAGGAACAGCTTGTTGTCGATTGGGCATTCCAACCCAAGCTCCTGCAGCGCTTTGTCCGCCCGTGCCGCCACTTCCTGAGCGGCGGCAGCAGACTTCGTCTGGGCTTGAAACTTATCCCAGGATGCCTTGTCCGGTTCGGCGATCACAAAATCGCCGTCAGCGTTGACCATGATGCCAGACGGCGCCTTCGTGTCTTCGTCAGCAGCCTGTGCCAGCACGGCCGCCTTGTCGACCGTTTTCAAAAAGGACCTCGGTATGCCAGTCGTGCGCTTCACCCGTGGCCGGTTATCGTATTCCGGATTGTCGTTGGTAGGACACAGCTGGATCCAATGACCCTTCTCACCGCACCGGTAACAAATGTAGCCCTGAGGAGGGTCATGGTCTGGAACGTTAGCCGGACGCCGAGTTCCAGGCTTGAAGATGGGAGTTTGACTGCAATACACGTTAGCTGTTGAACTTCCAAAGTCTCATAGTATGAAACTTACTGCGACATCTCTTCCTGCTGCGCGTTCCATTGCTCTGACTGGGCGGCGAACATCGCTGCCAGCTTCTCATCCTCCGTCATGGCATTGTTCATCTGCTCAATGGCGTTCGAGGTCGCCTTGGCAGTGGCCTTGGCAGTCTGCTCCCGGCGCGATGCATTTTTCGCGTTCACAGGCATCTTGCCCGACACGTATCTTGCAGCACGGCCGGCGCCAGGCTTCATCGGCGGCAGCCGACGGGCAATTACCGTGGTCGAACGCGGAATGATAGTAGTGTCATCATCGTATTCTAAGCAATCAAAGCATAAATAATCAGTAAACACATAACATGTAGCTTTGGACAGTGCCGGTGGCAGTCAGCACCACATTATACAGCCTGAAGAGCTGTATCATGGTGAGCCCCTCCGTAGTTATCTTACCTTCTTTCCCGTCCTCTGTGTAAATGGCAAGGTCGAAGTCTGTGCCGTCTCCAAGGCCGCTCTTCAAAATTATATCCCTTTTGAGCTCAAACACCGATATACCGGTGCCGTCGAATTCGACCCGGGTAGGTTCCTTCTGGGACTTGAACTTGAAGTATACCGAGGACGACATTTTGGCGTGATGGACGTGCGTCGAGAGGATGGTAGTTGGTCAGTTTGCCCTACAAGGAGCTGTCTTCGAGACACTGTCGTTGGACTGATGGTAGCGTCTGCGGGAAAAGACCTGATTGTGTGAACGTGAACAGTGCAGTCCACTGTTGACGAAATGTTCTGGGCCGTAGGTGATAGCTGGAAGGTACAGAGGGAAGTATGCGAGGGGAATTGAGGAAGATGGATGATATGCAGTGGTGATGTTGCAAAAAACCCTCCCCGAATCTAGTTTTTCTGCTTTTTGACCTGGCTTCTTTGTCTTTTGGGAATTGTCGAGCCCGTTCCCTTTCTTATTTCAACTTGCGAAATGTAGTGAAATAGTCAAATCAATTTCTGGTTGATATTCATGGAAACAGAAGGAGAACAAGTCAAACACCGAAGTGAGTAGTACAAAGGCGTCAAGCAAACGCTCGATTACCGATAAAATGTATCTTAAATAGGAAAAAGAAGAAAGGAATGCAGTAGCAAACGAAAGGACAATCGAAGAGAGCAAGAAATGCTGTTGTTCCTCCACAATAGCAACCTTTGTGACTCTCTCGCGCACATGGATTGATTCTCCCTATTGAGCAAACACTCCCTTTTTACTTTGTTAGCATAGACAAAGATATCCAGCCTACAGCCGACAGCCGACAGCGGGCACGCGCGTTGATCACGAAACGTCGCGACGCAAGCCGATCAAGCCGCCAAAACGCAAAGCCGAAACCGGGAGGTCGCCCACGAAAAATGGGTTCCTTCTCGTCAGAGCTGGAGGGAATGGACAGATTGGAAGTGTTGACGAAGAAGTTCTGACGCTGTGACAAGGAGAATAAAAGGAGAGAAAGATGTATGATGTCCTCGTCACGTACGGACGTCGTAAGCAAGGGATGAGGCAAACGAAGGAAGGGAGCAGACGAAGGGAGGAATAGAGGAGAAGGGGAAAGAAAAGGATTTGACACTCGGCAATAAGTAAGCACTTTAAAAGCCACGTGACGGCTAATGGACAAATATATCGAATCACGTGACAATAAGAGCTAACCTACTCGAGCACAGCTTCAAGAGTGTTGAAGAAGGAGAAAAATCTCATGGCCGTCGGTGTTTAGACCAGTCCGTCCTCGGCTAAGAGTGTCGGCAGCTGCAGCACCCAAGTTTCAGTGCTATGGCCAGCCGCCTCAAGCAAGTCGCTGCGGCCGAAGGCGAAGGACGGGACTCGAGAAAGACAGTTTGCAATAAGAAAGTCGACCCATTTCTAAGCAGAACACCGAGGGCTGGCACTCGTCTGGTATGACGTATCACACCTTCCGTTCAGCTGACTCATCCAGACGTTGTCGTCAAGAGCGGCGTGACCTTTTTACCACCTGACAGCCAATTTTGGATTAGTGGGCAGATCGGCCATGCGATGATTGGCCTACGAGAACACTTCGGACTTTGGGGAAAGTCGGGCGAAACGGAGGAGCAAAGTCAGCGAAACGGAGAGTATCTTAAGATCCTTTTTTGCTTGCAAATGGTCCGACTGATCGGGTGTTCTTCGTAACAGGGGAATATCTTACCCCTCACTTGGCTATGTCGTGGTCCATTCGAATGCTACCCTTGCACTGCATACAACAATCTGCCAACATCGAGAAAAAAGCGCCTGATCACGTCTGCCCTTCTGTATCTTATTATCGTGGTCACCAATCTCCGTCGTCCCATAACACTTTTTTCTGACCGTCTCCACCATTTTCGCCGCTCCCACTTTTTTTCCGCAACGCCTTTCGCATATTGTTCCGATCTTCCAATTCGTCCGAGTCTTAAAGCAATCACAGGGTGTTTCTTTCTTGACCGGTCTCCTTCCCCTCATCTCTCCCTCTATATATTGCCTTCGATGACAATTGCCATCTCGTGACGGCCTTAGCCTCCTGAGCCTCTGATCTTTCAAGCTCTCCCGCTCTGTGTCCGATATTATCTTCCGCTACAGTGTCTACTTCCGTCTGCCTGCTTACCTCGGCACCGTTCTTGCCACTCTTCTGGCTCTCCCCTATAGCATTTGCCCTCTGCTAGCCAGACCAACGACGACGCAAAATGGTGCTCACACATACGACTAACGACGTCTACTCACACCCGTTCCCGACTGTCACATTGGCTTACTTCCTCCGGTACTGCTCGCCACAGCTCAACCCGTTTGCCCGCCATGTGCTTAGCACCGACACGATCTCAAGCCGGGTTGACGCGGAGACCGGACGCCTGCACACGACCCGCATCCACCTGAAGAAGTCTCGGCTGCCCAAGGCTGTGCTGAAGCTGCTGCCCACGAGCGTGACCGGCGGCATGACGGACAAGGCGTCGTACATCCTCGAGACGAGCGTGATCGACATGCGCGAAGGCTGGATGCGCTCCGAGAGCCGCAACCTCAACTACACCGGCATCCTCTCTGTCGTCGAGCAGCAGCTGTACACGACGTCTCCGCCCGAGTCGCAGGGGCAGGCGGCTGCGACCAGCTCGACTGGGGTCGAGACCAACGTCATCTTCCGCTCACGGCTAGGCGAGCGCATCCGGGAGCGGTTCGAAAAGGGCCAGCACCGGTACCAGCAGTTCAAGCAGCAGGCACAGCAGCATGTGCAGCAGTCCGCCGTCGACGACGCCCACTCGGGCTGGTTCAGCACCGGGTGGGTAAGCGATCTGGGCGCCAAGGGCGTCCAGCGCAGCATCGAAATGATGGCGTCTACGAAGACACAAGACCAATTGGGCAAAAGCCGCGAAGGCATGCGCATGATCCTCGAGCGGCTGCGCCAGACAGGCATCATGGGCGTGCTGGAGCTGCGGCGGCGGGCTATGGAGGGCAACCTCGAGGCATACGAAATCCAGTGAATGCTCACTGGACCGCTCGGAAAGGGACTTGTGAAAGAGCACCCCTTCCGTTCTTGTTACTGCTGTCAAGCCGAAAGGATGACAGCACGCAGCAGGATACCGCAGTTTATGGCCAGGAAGGCAAAAGCACGGAAACGGAAAACAAAGGCGTTCATCAGGAATCTACGGTTGCTATATTCGAGCACGGGAGCCCATTCATTCGTGGTCATTGGCGAGAGGCTCTGACTCTCTGGCGTGTTCTCTCTCTATATTCTCTTCCGTTTCAAGTTGGGAGTGTTGATGAACAGGGTGATGTCTTGAGACGTGTATGTATGATGAGTATGTTGTTAAAAACACTCCCCTTTTTCTTGTTCTTTTTCACATCGGGAGCATAAGGGCATTGCTACGGCAGGCGCTCAATTTACGGAAAGGACAGGGTAGTCAGCCCTAAATGTGTCGCATATCAGGCTCAAAAAATATCAAAATCCTTACAAAAGTATACAGTTAACTATCGGTTTTTGCGTATGTCCGTATTATCATTTAGATCGGCACACGTCTCCAGCCTTCATACTCCATTGTGTAAAATTAAATCATCAGCGTCACAAGAAGAGCGAGTCCCGCAGAGAGGCTTGCGGCCAATGGCAGACTCCTAGCCGTCGCTTCGCTCGTGACAATAGCACTGGCGGCAGAGCTGGTCCTAGTAGAAATGGAGCACGAAGTGCCGTTCTTCTTGTTGACAGTGGCATAACCCTGCGGAGCGTTGCCGTTGCCCAGATCACCAGTAGGCTGTGTGACGTTGGCATCTGTGGTGAACGGCTCGGTCGACGAAAGGCTGGAGACGCGTCCCAAGAGGAACTCCAGTTGGCGGTAGGCCACACTGGGCGCGTACTGTGGGATCATGTGGCCGGACAGATCGACCGCCGCATACGTCAGGCCGCGCTCGGTATGGGCAGTGCCCAGAATACCGCTGCCGGCCATCGAGGCCTCGACCGGGTCGTCGTGGTATGGGACGAACAAAGGCTCGGTCGGCGGCGACTGGAAGCCAAGCTTTCCACCCCAGGTCATGTTCTGGATGGTCAAGAGGGTTCCGTTTGCGATCAGCACAAAATCAAGAGCGCCATGACCGATGATGACGTTCTTGGTAGCGTCGATGACCTTTGGCAGAACCGACAGGCCAGACGGAACAGACGTGTCAGTGCCGTCAACAAAGACATTGACATCCGTGCACTCTGCCCAAGTCATGTTGGGCGCGTGGATGGCCTTCTTGACATCGTCACGGTCGAAGTAGAGCTGTGCTCCATCTGGCAAATAGCCAAGCGTACCGGGGACTAATACCAAAAAGTTGTAAGCTTTAGAAATCACGGCGATTGGAGGGCAGGAGCCAGTCTTACAGCCAAGAACATCCCACAGCAGGGGGCAGGTCGTGGCGACTTGGTAGATATCCCAGCAAGGGTTCACCAGCAGAGCAGCGCCGATAATGTCGTTGTAGATGTTTTCGCAGTCGTCGTAAGTTGTTCCAGTGCTGTCCTGGCCGGGAAGGATCGTTGGCTGCTGCCCTGAAGGGGGGTAGACGAGGTATTTGCTCAAGTAGTCTGAGTAGCCGCAGCTATCACTGCGGTTGTGGATATCGGCGACAAAGCTGTCGTTGAAAGGAAACAGGCCCGGCCAGTAGTCGACAAATGGGGTGGCTACAATGGTGTTCTGGATATCGTTGTAGCCGATGACGGGGTCGTAGATCATGACGCCATTCAGATTGTAGTAGGTCGTGTCATTAGCATCAACCATAGCGGCCGCAATGTACGGGCAGTACATTCCACTAGTCTTTGTTAGTTGCCTGATGACAGGTGATGACAGGTGATGACAGGTTGAGAAACAGGAACGATGAACATACGCATAAGACTCGCCAGCGATGTAGACCTTGTAGCCCTGGAGAGAGAAGAGCTGGGCAAAGTTCTTCCAGAAGCCGAGAAACTGCCGGGCAACATCCTCTTCGCTCGTGGCGGTTGGGGTGCCGACAGAGAAGCCGGTGCCCACGGGCTGCTCAATGTAGACAATGTTGGAGAGCTTGTTCCAAGACCAGGTGTTCTGCACCGGCAAATAGGTTCCATACTGCCAAATGAACGGGCCGTTTTCCTGGAGAAGGCCCTCGAGGGAAGAGCATCCCGGCTAAATGAAGATTGGTCAGATCCACACATTCACAAACTTTCAATAATTGAAGTTGGCAGCACTTACGCCACCATTGAGCCAAATCACAATCTCCTTCTTCGCGTCTTCGTTTTCCGATGGGAAGAACCACCAGAACAGCTGATTCGGATCGCTGGCATTGCTGGAGAGGGGGAGCGACCCAGCATAAGATTCGCCAACGTCAAAGCTGACGTCCGGAATGGCTGTACCATCGACGGCATAGCCTTTAAGGGGGGTGTTAGGATGTAGACGACGCGGAAAGAGAAACAAGGGCAATCTTACTGGAGGTCTTGTTGTTGAGGAAGAGGAAGTCCTTGGAGGTTGTGCGCTGCTCCAGACGCTCATCCAGCTCGCTGGCGTAGGGCGCGCGGTTATGGAAGCTGTTCAGGATAGCATCTGACTTGCCTACATGTCGCAGACTGCGACCCGCTGCTGATGTTACGGAGACAAGGGATGCAGCAAGCAGCAGAGGCTGCAGGATGCTATTTTGCTGCCAACGCATGGTGCCTTTCTGTGCGGTCGAGAAAGAAGCAGGAGAAACAAGAGATCTTGGTTGAGGATGCCTGCAGCGTTTCGCGTTGACGAGGGGGCAACAGCTCATTTATGGGACCGAGAGCAACAGAGCTCCGATCTGCAGGTCCGCCGAGGTCCAGCAAGCATATACGGGTAGTACGAATAGTGAACACAGCAGTGTGGGGACGACGTTAGTCTAATGCCCGTTAGTGAAGATAGCAAGGCCTAGCTACGAGTTGTGTACTGTGTATGTAATGCAAGACAGTTGCACTTTCTTATCGGGGCGGGCTCGCTCCTGCCCCATGTCTCATCTCTCCATTGACGCGTCTTAGCAGGCACAAAAGAGCGAGAAGGAGGGCCGATACCGCGCGCGCGCCAAATTGAGTACGACATAGCAATGAACCCGGAGTGCAGCACTGTCCTTGCAAACGATGCCGGTGGTAGTAATAGGCCCCGTCGGTGACGAAGAGGGTATGTGCACTGTCATCCAGTAAAGTAATGGCTGGCACGAAAGATAAAGAGTGGGCGCTGCAAGCGGGCGGCCCCTCCCAAAGCTTAGCCAGCCTGATCAGGCAGGCGGGACACCCTGGTGCGTGGGAGCACCTACCTTTCTGGGAAGCGAATGCTGTTAGCATGCGATACTGCAGATCATAGCGCCTCTGCTCATCGCGCGAAACAGGGGAGGAACGGGCTGGCCGACAAAGCCAGCCACAGCCAGATAGCCATACTCGTACGGAGTACTTTGCAAGATACGTCTTCGTAAAAACAGAGCGCAAGGCGAGAGAAGAAAAAAGCGGGGCGTGAAGAACAAGCTAGAAATCCGGTGCATTCAAAAGAGTCAGAACCATAGGACAGCGATGGTTTGGGATTGCGAGATCTGCGAAAACAGCCCCCATGGACCAGGATCCCGCATGGCGCACGCAGGCTGCCGTGGCACGCGATAGACGACGGTTCGGACGTTCTATAATACCACCCACGTGCCCTGACAGAGCCGTTTTCTATGCCTTTTCAGGATTGGCCAGACAAGCTGGCATGACTTTACGTTTTGTCTGTTTCCGAATCCCATCACGCCGCATTGCGCCACTACACGCTTGGGGCTCGTAATCTTAATTTGCGGACGCTATGCCGAACTTGTATAGCTGATAAGCTACGAGCATAAGCCCAGGCTGCGAGTGCATTGTTGGACGGAAATGCGCGGTGATAGCAGAGACAGCGGGATACGTTGTTGCTATTCTAGCTGCAAGGTGGCGAGTATTAGTGTTTCTATGTACATACGTGATGTACTCGTACTGCACATGTCTTATCTCTTGAGTGTATTTGTAAGAAACGAGTGCATACGTCGTATGTAAGATACGAGGGCTTTATCGAGCCCCTGCCACATACCCCAAACGTAATGTAAGTATCGTAACACCCTTAAGACCCTGGTCTCTTGTCGGCAGCCTCGTACTTTCACGCAGCCGCTCGCCTCTGCTGGTGCGTGGTCTCCTATTGTCTGCTGCATTACTACCGGCCCTTTCTGGGCGCGACAGCCGCCTCGGTGTCAGCCTTGGCCTTGGCCGCCTCCTCGGCCAGCACAGCCTCGACATCTCTGTCGCGTTGCCATGCGCACACGGCGCTGACGATGCGCGCGAGCGTGTCGCCGCCAGCGAGCACGTCCGGCAGATTGTGGACGTCGAGCCCGCAGCGGTGGTCGGTCACGCGGTCCTGGCTGTAGTTGTACGTGCGGATCTTGTCGGAGCGCGTGACCTGCGCCTTGGACAGCACGGCGTCGCGCAGCCGGCGGGCCTCCTCCTCGCGCTGTTCGCGGCGACGCTGCGCGATGCGCGCCCGCAAGATTTTCCAGGCCGAGTCGCGATTCTGGTGCTGCGACCGCGAGTCCTGCATCGACACGACCGTGCCCGAGGGCACGTGGGTCAGCCGGATGGCCGACTCGGTCTTGTTGACGTGCTGACCACCGGCGCCGCGCGCCCGCATCGTCTCCACGCGCACATCTGCCGGCTGCACGTAAAAGTCGCTCTCGGGATCGTCGTAGTCGTTGGCCGAGTCGCCTTCGCCACTGCTGTCCGGAAACGACGGCAGCACCCACACGGCCGCCGCGCTCGTGTGTGTGCGTCCGTTCTTCTCCGTCGCCGGGATCCGCTGCACCCGGTGGATGCCCGCCTCGCCGCGGAACACGTCGTAGGCTCCAGCCTCTTGCACCTCCAGCACGGCCTCTTGCAGCGCGCTCTCGCCATCCGCCCCCGTCTCGCCCAGGCTGTCCGACACCTCGTACTTGATCACTCGCGCCCGGTAGCCCTGGCGCGTGCAGTAGCTCTGGTACATGTGGAACAGCGAATCCGTGAAAAATCGGCCCTCTAGGCCGCCTGGACCTGGTCGGAATTCTAGCAGACATGGCATCTCGCCAAACGGGTGTTTCGGTGTCAGCGTCGTTGTCAGCTGCTGTGCCACGCCGTCCAGCCGCGCCTCTGTCGCCTCCAGCTCGTCCTTTGCCAGCTTCCGCAGCTCCTCGTCCTCTTCTTGTGCCGACGCCATCGTCCGCAGCTCCTCGGCCGTCCGTTGAGCCTCCTCCCACTCAGCCAGCGCCTGGGCTACACCCTGGATCTCGCCCGCCCGCTTGGCTGCTGTGGCATCGTACTCTGTCTCCAGAGATTGCTGCAGCTGGCCATGTTCGGCCGCGAGTCGTCTTGCCCGCTCCAGAAGGACGGCCGGCATCGTACTTGCGCCTGGACAAGCAGCGCATCCTTGTCAGCTGGCTGGTTGCTCGCGACTGCAATTGACCACGAAGAATTGGTCGCTTACCTGTGCCGCTCGCGTGACGACGGAATTGGACCGCCACACGGCGCGTCAGAACTTCTCTTGCACATTGCCGGCATACCCATGGCGCCGCAAACATGGTCGACTTGTCTGGACCTTTGTCTTTGGGGGGGTTCAGGTCCCGTCAGGGCAAAGAGTTCGTAAAATTACCACTTTAGGCCAGCCAGGTAGAGAGGCACGTGATCGGGGAGAGTTGGCTAGCTCCGAAAGGCCCCCTCCATTTAAAGGACGGCCATCATGTCTTTGCAACCATCACAGGTCTCGGCATCAGCTCGTTTCCTGCCTTACCATTGGTAGGCCGAGGCAAAAGTTCCATGGTAAGACACTATATACGACAACATCAAGATCGGACGGGCCCAAGAAGAGACGATGGCACTTTAGCGTGAATTGCGCCGTTCAAAGAAAGGAGGGGCTTGCGGACTTACAGTGGGATCTCGCTACGTTTAGACGTCCATGTGGCGGCCGTCAGGCAGAGACCACTGAACGGTGCCCTAGCGACAAGCGTCGGCAGAATACCGCACGCTTTTGCCGGTGGGGCCTATCGTGCAGATAGGATGGCCGGCCAGACGCCTGTGTGCTCCTTCCGTCTATAAGGTAAACGGTGCCGGTGTTCCTTCCTCGGACACATTGTTCTGGGCATCCTCCTATTCGTACTCTTGTTTTTGTATCCAGTGCCAACTTCCTCTGTTAATTCACCTAACTCTTAACCATCATGCCGCTCCCTACTTCTTCTGTGTTCCCGCCCTCGTCGGATGTCTTCCAGAAGTTCTCTAGCCGGCGCAGCGTGGTGCACAGCACCAAAGGCATCGTATCCTGCTCGCAACCGCTGGCAGCAAAGTGTGGCATCGACATTCTCCAGGCAGGAGGAAATGCAGCCGTACGTTTCTGAACTCATGATTTAACTGAGTTTGGACGACAAACTAATAGCCCTCTTCCAGGATGCCGCCGTGGCCGTGGCCGCTGGCCTGAACATGACAGAGCCGTGTTCAACCGGCATCGGTGGTGACATGTTTTGCCTCTTCTACGACGCTAAGAAGGGCACCGTTTCGGCTCTCAATGGATCTGGCCGGTCTGGCCACCAGTACACTCTGGAACGCATGCGCACCAGCTTGGGCCTGCCCGCTGGCGAGTCTAGCGGCCATATCCCCCTTACCAGTGTGCACGCTGTCACTGTTCCTGGTGCCCCAGCTGGTTGGGATGACACCATTGGCCGATTCGGCAGCGGCAAACTCACACTGGCACAAATCCTGGCCCCGGCCATTGCCCTGGGCGAGAACGGCTACCCAGTCTCGGAGCTGACTTCGTCATCTGTACGTCCTAAGTGTCACTGTCGACCTTGCCCTGACTAACAGAGCAGTGGCAAAAAGGAGAGAAACAGTTGCGCCAGGCGTCGCCCAACTTTGCCGAGTGGCTGAAGAAGGACCCCAGTGCGCCCGACGGCTTCCGTGCCCCTCGGCCTGGCGAGATCATGCGCAACGTGACCCTGGCACGGACTTTCCGGGTGTTGGGCGAGGAAGGAAAGAAGGGCTTCTACACGGGTCGCGTTGCCGAAGCTATCGTTCAGGTGGTACAGGATCTTGGCGGCCATCTGGACCTCTCGGACTTGGCGTATCACATGGAGAAAGGCTCTGAGCCGGTGAACCCCATCTCGATCAAATATGGCGATGCGAAGGACGGCGTCGAGGTCTGGGAGCACCCGCCCAACGGCCAGGGTATTGTGGCCCTAATGGCCCTAGGAATCATACAGACGCTGCAGAAGCAGGGCACCGTGCCGCAGTTTGGCCCTGCCGACTTCAACAGCACGGCGTACCTACACGTGATCATCGAAGCCCTGCGCATAGCCTTTGCTGACGCAAATTGGTTCATCACCGACCCCAACGAGGTGGCCGTACCCGTGTCCGGCCTTCTTTCGCCCGAGTACCTGGCTGAGCGGGCCAAGCTGTTCAACCCGACCGGCGTCGTGCGACACGTCGACCACGGTACGCCTGGCGGACCAGCCTTCAAGTCACCGGCCCTGCAGAGCAGTGACACGGTGTACTTTGCGGTATCGGATGCAGAGGGCAATGCCATCTCGTTTATCAATTCCAACTACGGCGGCTTCGGCACGGCCATCGTGCCCAAGGGATGTGGCTTCACGCTGCAGAACCGTGGCGGCAACTTCAGTCTTGATCCACGACACCCCAACGTAATTGCACCACGCAAACGGCCCTACCACACCATCATCCCCGGCCTGGTCACAAACCAGTCAGATCGGTCGCTCTACTCCGTGTTTGGCGTCATGGGCGGCTTCATGCAGCCACAGGGCCATGTGCAAACGCTGCTGGGCCAGCTGGTTGGCGGCCTGAACCCACAACAAGCGCTGGATGCGCCGCGCATCTGCATCGGCGCCGGTATGCCGGACGAGGGTGACGTGTTTGGCAGCGCCGTGTCCGTCGAGGACGGGTTGCCAGAGGAGACGTTGAAGGGCCTGCGCAAGCTGGGTCACCGGCTGACCGTAGTGACGGACAAGGCGCGTGCACTATTTGGCCGCGGCCAGATCATCCGTTACACGTTGGACCCAGTCGAGAAGATTGCAGTGTGGTCAGCCGGCAGCGACCAGCGCGGAGATGGTGCAGCCTATCCGCTGTAAAACAGAAGACATGGCGGCAAGAGCGCCGAAGCTGATCGGCTGTCCTGATTTACTACCAAAAGCGACTCAGAATATTTTTGGAACTTGTAATGCTTTCTGTCCTCGATTTGCAACGTCTATGAATTCTGTCTCTTTTGGATGACGGTGCATGTATGTACTTATGATCATCCTGTCTGTCATTGCAGCTTGTATATTCTGTTCATTCCTCATTCCTTCTTCTCCTCGACCAGGGCATCTTCCTCACTGGCGGCGATGAGCACATTCTTCTCTTCGAATAGCTTGGCGAGGTCGCCGCCCTGGTGCATGGAGACGAGGATGTCACAGCCGCCGATGAATTCGCCGTCGACGTAGAGCTGTGGGATGGTGGGCCAGTCCGAGTACTCCTTGATGCCGGCGCGCAGCTCCGGGTCCTCCAGCACGTTGAAGGCGGAGAACTTGGCCGGATCAACACCCTGCAAGCCGAGGATCTGGATCGTCGCTCGCGAGAAGCCACACTGCGGCGTCTCTGGTGTACCCTTCATGAAGAGCACCACGGGCGCCGACTTCACAGCCCGGTCAATGGCCTCGCGCGTGTGGTCCGAGAGAAACCGCCGCGTGCCGGGAAAGCTGTGCTGGAAGAGGGCGAAGGAGGCGGGAGAGGCGACGGGGGCAGAGGGCCGGCGGGATGACAACCGGGCGACTGTCGAGGTCGAGAAGAAGGAGGGCGACGATGCTGCCAAGCAAGTGGGCGCGAACACGGAAGACGAGCAGGCGGCCGATGGACGGCTTCCCAGGCGGCCGAACGGCTGCAACAAGAGTATAAGTCAGCAAAGGCCCTTTCTCTCTCGCAAACAAACAGCACACACGTCATACATACCCTCGTGATGGTCCGCGACAACATGGTGGGCAGCTTTGAGACGGGGCTGTCGAAGGTGAGGAGCAGCGAAGAGTGGGTTGACGGATTGAACGTCCGTCTGGATTTGTCACCAATGCTGAAAAATAAGGCTTGCCGCTTGCATTGTAATCCGGACCGCCCATTGGTCAGCCGAGTTGCCGTCAAATGATGTAATCGGGCAGAGTAGGAATTGTGTCGTTACGACTAACACATTATATGATTACATATTCATATACATGTTATATTGAGTCCTTGAGTCTGATCATTGGCTCGATGAACTATTGGGGCCATACTTGGTCTGCTGTTGATAGTTGGCGAGTCGAGTCGGCTCTGCCATTTCTTGCACTTCTGTCAGTCCCCAATGGAAGCAGTTATAAACTAGTTTGTCCTGATAAAGTTGGAATGTAAATAACTCTGTACTAAATAATGTTTTTTTTGTGTGATTTGTTAATCGAGCCAATAGTCTCCGGTAATTCGGTATCAATTCAAGTCTACAAATTGTCCTTTCCAAAGGTGATTAATTTGGTATCAGCTATTGTTGAGTGCGGGAATGGAGCACACTGTGCGTTTTCCGGCTAGGGTTGGCCCTGCGCGTTCTGATTGGCCAGAATAGAGAAAAGTGGGGAATAGCCCCAGTGAAATCTCTGCGCCACAGAATCAGTGTAATGTAGCTTTTTCTTCCCTAGTACAACACGCAGATCACCACCTTCATGCAGGCAGACCCATACAGTGCCTTCCCCTTCCCCTGTCATTAGCTAAGTTGTGACAGCTATCTATATTAATTTTAACTCCTTGTCAATTTCACTGTAATGCACCTTTTTTGAAACTTGGCATTCTACCGTATCTTGCATCTTTTTGTCCTTTACGAGGAACGGAGTTTACTGGTAATACAGTTTTTTTTATACAGGGTGACAGTAAATCATGGATTATTTGCTACTTCCGCTCTGTAACGGCAACAGCTAAACTAGAATAGCTAAATGGATTGTTGACTGCTTCCGCCTATTAAGCACAGATGTCCAGGTGCATGCTGAAAATGAAATCACTACTGCTCGATTCTGTCTTTGTAGACGCCTTTCTTGATTTACCGAAAGAGCTCTGGCCTCATAAGGAATCATTGAAGGCCTTCACTATTCTACGACGTACGACGTACAATCTTAGATAGAGATACTCTTAAGTCTATGCTCTGTACGGAGTATGTTGTCAGATTCTTTCCCATCATTCGGGTGCTGAAGCGCTCAAAATGCGTAACGTCGTGTCATTGTCAAGGATGAGGAGCACGTCCTTTTTTTTTTGCAGAACCTGTCAAATTTCTCCGCGTGACGACGTCACAGGTAGGGCCTCTCAACCTTAAAGAGCCCGGGGTATCCTGTGAAGCCCTGGGCTGTCGGAGAGGGCGTGACGACAATTATGCAGTCGATTTAGATCTACACTCTCCTAGGACACCTTCCAATCACCATTGCAAAAATTGTTACATAATCAAACGACCGATAAGATAAGCCCAAGACAAACTTATTTTTTTCCAGACTACGATGCAGTAGTGTTACAATGACGACGATCGACACAGCAAATGGCCAAACGCAAAGCAACATCGACCGCGGAGGGGCAGGCGAAAAAGGCACGCGCCGCCAAGGCGGAGACGGACCGGGGCCTCACAGGAAATTCTGCGTTCTTTCGCAGCCGTGAGGCCCTCCCTGTGACGGCCTACCGCGCCGAGATTCGGCAGGCTCTGCGGGATCACGATGTGCTCATTGTGTCGGGCGAGACCGGCTCTGGCAAAAGCACACAGCTGCCACAGTTCCTGTACGATGAGCCATGGTGCAGCGGTTTTATAGCGGTCACCCAGCCTCGGCGTATCGCCGCTACTACACTAGCCTTTCGCGTGGCCGACGAGATGAACACACCTCTGCCTCAAGGCTGGCTTTCAAAGTCGGCCACGGGCCTCGTCGGCTACTCGGTGCGCTTCGACTTCAAGATTCCGAGAGGCACCAGGATCAAGTACATGACCGAAGGCATGCTGCTGCAGGAGATGTTGGGCGACAAGACTCTCGAGAGATACAGCGCCATTGTCATCGACGAGGTGCACGAGCGCAGTCTCAATGCCGACCTGCTGCTCGGCTTCCTGCGACAGCTCCACACGAGCGGGCTGCAGCGGAAGGGTGGAAAACTAAAGGTCGTCATCATGAGCGCCACAGCCCAGGTGGAAAAGTTCCGGGACTTTTTCCTGGGCGGTGGGGACAGCGAGAGCAAACCGCTGGATATCAGCGCAACAGAAGCACAGGAGCCGTCATCACAGCCGACCTCGCCACCATCACCGCCATCACCATCACCACCACGTGTCTGCATCCTTGCGATCCCCGGTCGCCAATTTCCCGTCAAGATCATCCACACCCGCCAGCCAGTCCCGAAGCTGGATGCGGCTGTCGTTGACAAGGTCATACAGATCAACACAGAGGAGCCGCTTCCGGGCGACGTGCTGGTCTTCCTCTCGGGCCAGGACGAGATTGAGAACATTGCGAACCTCATTGCTGAGCGTGCGGCCACGCTCGCGTCCGACGTGCCCCAGATCGAAGTGCACCAGCTCTTCGGCCAGATGTCGCTGGAAGACCAGGCCAAGACGATCCAGCCGGCCAGCAAGCGGTTCACGCGCAAGGTCATCCTCGCGACCAACGTAGCCGAGACGTCCATCACGGTGCCGGGTGTCCGGCTGGTGATCGACAACGGCAAGCACAAGCAGAAGCGGTTTGACGCGCGTCTGGGCATGGACACGTTGATGGTCGATCCTATTGCCCGGTCGTCGGCCATCCAGCGGGCCGGTCGTGCCGGCCGTGAGGCGCCTGGCAAGTGCTACCGTCTGTACACGGAAGAGACGTATGCCGGCCTCGACGAGACCGAGCTGCCCGAAGTCCTGCGCATTGACATGCTGGATGCCGCGCTGACCCTGGCATCCCACGACATCCCCGAGTGGTGGGACTTCCCGCTGATGGACATGCCCGACAGCACCGCCATGGAGGCGGCAGTGATGATGCTGTATAGCCTCGGAGCCATCGACGACCGCGGCGCCATCACAAAGGACGGCCGGGTTGTTGCGCGGCTGCCGGTGTCGGCTCCGTACGGACGTGTGCTCTTGGCCGCGGCGGAGAACGACTGTCTCCTGGAGGCCATTGACATTATCGCCTGTCTCACCGCCGGCGACAACATCTTTCTCCGGCTGCAGACCGAGGACGACTTCGAAGAGGTCGAGCAGTTCCGCGAGGAGCTGTGCCGGCGCGAGGGCGATCTCCTCACGTATCTCACCACGCTCCGGCAGTTTGCCACCATCAAGAAGGCCCAGAAGGCCAAGTCCTGGTGCGAGCAGCGGCGGATCCATCGGCGCAACCTCAACCAGGCCATCCGAATCCGCCTGCAGATGCGCCGTCTGCTCGTGCAGCTGAAGCTCCTGGACGCCGACGCAGGCAAGGATCTGGACAGCCAAGAGTTTGTGCCGCTATCGTCAGAAAAGACAGACGCCCTCCTCAATTGCTTCCTTCTCGGTTTCGCATCCAAGTCGGCCCTGCTGGCACCCGATCTCAGCTATGTGTCGACTGTGGGCAAGCACGTCATGCACATCCACCCTTCCAGCGTTCTGCACGGGCAAAAGGGACATGGAATCATGTACATGCAGAACGTGTTCACACAAAAGAACTACGTCAAGCATGTCAGCCGGGTGGACCCAGAGTGGATTATCTCGGCCGTTCAGAAGACGTTGAAGAGACCTTAGCCATATGCCCGCTTCCTTGTTTTGTTCTCGCCTTTGCTGCCAGGCTTATATATTATACCCTATCATCGCTTTATAGAAGATGGATTGGCAACAAGGTGCCCCCTCTGTCGTGTAGCATGTCAGCCAATTAGAACTAGAGCAAATTCTCTCTGTGGGTGGACAGGCGTTGAGGACCAGCCAGGAGAGGCTTGATTGCATTGTTTGAGTTTTGTATATGTTTGTTTTTGTCTCCATCTATACTTGCAATACTCACCGTTTTGGATTAAGAAACTGCAATCATCAAGAACTACCACTTTCCTCGCCCTCGTCTGCTTCGCCGCTCCGGTGCTTTCTGATTGCCTCCATGAGCTCATACAACTGGCCGATTTGCTGGTCTGATTGTGTCAGAAAGATAAAGCGGGAATTGATGGGGTACAAAGAGGAGTTACTACGAGTTAAGATCTGACGTACCATTCATCTTGGATACCTTGACGGGGTCCAGTTTCTCGCCCACCCACGAGTCGCCCTCGATTTTCTGTGCATACAGCTGCCACTCGGTAAGGAAGCCGATCTGTCCGCGGTCAGCCACATTGGCTAGCATATATAAAAAGAAAGGAGGGAGGATGGAGCCGCCTACCAGATGAGCTGGGTTGTCGACCTTTCGGTGCGCTCGGAACTCCGCCTTGACATACTCGTCCCCCAACATACGCATGTCCTGTGGCAGATGATTCCGGTGGGCCCGCAGAAGCCTCCGGTATAGCGGAATAGGCGGGAGCACGGCCATGGGCGGTGGCCGTAGGCCAGCCTTGGAGGCAGCAGAGGCCAATAGACGGGCCGTCGGCAACATGATCAAGACGGAGGTGTGGTTTGCACGTACACGCTAAAAACTTTGGGAGGATGGCCTGGTGATGGGGTTCTCTACTCCTTTCAGACAAGAATATCTCAGCGCGCCGGTAGCCTCTAGGAGTAGCAAGACGTGAGAATGTAAATTGAAGCTGTAAATTTCAAGTGGGGCCGTTATATTCACCGTATTGACACTGTACTGTACACTGTACTATACTGGCAACGACATTTCTAGCTCGAAGAGATGAGCGCACCATTGGTGAGCGATGGCACTCACTGAAACATTTGGCAACTTTCTGAGGTGAAGTGCAATAGCTGTCTGCGTGAGTGTAAGGAGGCTGATTTCGATATAAAACTTATATCTTACACGAATAAACAACCGTTATGAGTGACTGATACAGAGTACATACATTACCGGCAGCTGGCAATTTTCTCGTCGACGCGCACCACCACAGCCACAAACCTCCCTGTCGGCCATGGCCGAGTCTTTGCAACAATTTACAATATCTTTGAGAGACACACGAGCACTGGTAGAGTGTTTGTAGAGACGAAGATCGTGGAAGTGTACGGCTACGGTCCCGGTGACCTGCTGGCTCCAAACTCTTGATCAATGCCTGGCTATGACAGATCGCGCGTCGTCTTTGTTCATCTCGCCATCGTGTTTCGTCTTGCCCCTAGAAAAGTTACCGAAAGGGGGGGTCGGGCGTTCGGGGCGCGGCGGACGGCTCTACCGGCGATACTCGTACGAGCCTCTTTGCCAGAACCACCAGAGGACACTCGTCAAAGCAGGAAATACGGCAGTGGGGGGAGACCTTGGACCCCTCGAGGAACAGTGACGGACGCGGCCCATGCTTGAGATTGGCCTGCACACCCACTCCGTCCTGCAGCAGAATGCATAGGCTGGCCAATCAGACATGCAGGAAGGCTGGTCTCTCAAGGCTGCACCTCTTTGCCCCCTCTGTGGAGCCATCCTCGAACCGTTCTGCAGACTCTGCATACGCAGAAGTTCCATACGAAGCCCGTAAAGGACGCACGAATCCAAGAGCAGGAAAGGTAGGGAGACTGCTCACATCTGCTCGTGACCGTTGGTGCACATAGACGCGTTGGGCTACTTCCGTTAGCAGTGCGCTATAATAGGAGCAATGAGCCCGGATTACCGCCTCGGCCCCTGTAGTATATTGCGTACTTTTTCTTTCTTCCCCTACTATATATGCACTGCCACGGGGTCGGACAAAGCTGAAATCTGCATGTGGATGGATATCTCTGCAGCCACGAGAGCTGACTAAGAGTATGTGGAATGTAGAAAAAGCAACGCGAGCAAGGAGGTGTTCTCGGACCTGTTGCAGCCCGTTACCCCGTGCTGAAAGGTATTGACAAAAAAAACAGATACTGAGTACTCCGTACTCACATGGCAGAGAAACCGGTAATTCGGGTGGCAGGAAGGGCAACCACCCGGACATGCCAACTTAGTGGGACTGTTTGCGTAGAAGGAGGCAGGGCCGCTAATGCAGCAGAAGCCCGTGAGCGGGGCCAATGACAGACTGGAGGAAGGAGATGGCCGACTTGGGCGACTTGGCCTGACCTTCTGAGGACCTGCCCTCTCCTTCCCTGTCAGCGCGTAATTCTTACAGAACACAGCACGCTGTTGCCACTGTTCCCAGCGTGCCGACTGCTAATACGGAGTACATCTTAATCCATTCACATTGTTGAGCCGTTGTTTCCCTCGTGGGTTTGCTAGCCCGCCGTTCCAGCCCCCGACTCTTTTCCCATAATCCGGATATCGTGCGCTCTCTCTCTCTTCCCCCACTCTCCACTTACTTCGTATCGACTCCCCCGATCTCGTTGCCAGCCACTTCTCCCCTACGTCGTAGTCGTCCTCGAGCCATGTGCTGGAATGCGACAGCCCTGCTTACTGGATTTTTGACCCTGACAACTCTGTGATTGGCGTATCAAGGCGCCAACTCGTCGACGGAAAGGATTTTACCCTGCGGTCAGACTACACGAGACGACGCCTCAACCAACGGAGACAGGCAGCTCTGCTACGGGCGGTGACCCTTTTTTCCTTGTTGGGGACTTTGTGCTGCTCGGACGGTCCGCTTTCGTGCTTCCTATCGAATAAGCGACAAACAAGCAGAAGAGAAGTCGGAAAGGGCAGCATAGTCGCACAGCCGTTGTCCTGATACCACCTGCTTCGTGTTGCTGCGCCTGGTTTCCTGCTTTCTTTCTCCCACCCGATCTCTTTCATGCACCTACTTCGTACTGCGCATCTGTACCCCGACGCTCTTTCTTTTGCCTCGTCCTTGGATCAGCCTTTGTCCCTCCTGGCTGGGGTGCCATCTCGTCCTCTGGATCAGACAGTCCCCATTTAATTTCTGTGGTGCCTGCGTTAGCCCTGGCCTTTGTTCTCCTGCCTGCTGTTCACCTCCAGCAGACCAAGTCCCGCCTGGGCTACAACGCTATATTCTTTCACGCCTCGCCTTGTTTCGCCTCATCTCGCCTCGCCTGCCTCACCCATAGCCCTTCGTCCTTTCACCATGCGCTGCAGGATGGTCCTCACGGTGCTATCGATTCACGCATAGGGGAGGACGGACCATAGCTGTCGAATTACTTCGACTCCAACACAACACGTTGTCTGCTTTGACGTGCTATGTCGGCTACCTCAGAGAATATGCCTTCGCCAACTCCCCGGCGAGGGCCGACTGTCGATCTAGAGCCACCACCGGCATTACAGGCAGCTGCAGGAAACCACCAGCTGCTGTTCAAGAAACACAAGGTGCTCCCGCACCCAAGGAAAGATGCTTCCTACGCTGGCCTCCGCGGTCCTCGTCCTATGGCATCGTCTGCTGCTACGATGTCTGCTGTCAACGGCGCTCTCTCCGATGTCGACGCGCACCATCTCGGTTCCCATGCTGCGAAACGGCACAAGGAACTAGGAAACGGCCCCGACTTGCCTCCTACACCTCCTGCGCATTCGCGGAATTCGTCATCGAGCTACTCGATCCTGCCGTCCAATGCCACGTGTGTACAGAGTCTCGAACGCAGCTCCGAAAATGTCCAAATCAAGCCGCCGCCACCGATCACGCCAACAAAGCAGATGAGTCCCCCGACGCCGGACGTCACTCCTCCCAGCATTGTTGGGCCAGAAAGCCGTCCGAAAGGCCTGGCCATGCGGACTGTCGTTCGAGAACGTGGATTCTCCAAGGGCACAAATGATTCTCAATCCGAGTCGTTCGAGACTGCTCCTGAAAATCCATCGTCGGAAGAAGAGGATGATAGCGATGGTCGGTCAACCCTGCGGCACAATGTGCCCTCCTCGGTCAGGACGTCGGAAAGCACTGTTCGGCGTATCGTTGTTGCAACTGAAGTTGATGATGCTGTCATGGCCGGAATGACGGCCAACGAAACGGCCCCGACAGGAGCTGCCCAAAACGCCACAATGACTAAAACAAGGCAGCCACTTGCCGTAGGATTGGGCCTTGGCTTAGAGTCTAGTCCTGAGGGGAGTCTGACGCTCCAGACCAAACGAGACTTTGTCAGTTTTGATGGCGAGTGGGTCGCTACAGTAAATGACGAGGTAGTTCAGGAATGGGATGGCAACCTTGATCGGAATGTTGTCGTCGCTCGGAAGTGCCGTGGCCCGCGTCAAAACGTTATTGTCAGTCACAGGGACGAGGTGATCAAGGACACCACGGCGCTTCCAACAAAAGCCGCGCTGGCTGTCCGATCCATGTCCCTCCCACAAAGAATTCTCACCTTTCCCCCGCCGAAGGAAAACGGTGAACAGCCAAGACGGTCCACGAAGGAAGAGCAGCCGTTGGCTTCTGCCGCAACAATAACTGCGCAAATGCCGTCTTCGAGCAGCGAGAACCGCCGGGTCTCAACCATATCCTCCAAGTCCACCGCATCCACCGTGATTGAAGCGTACCTGGTCGACGCGCCATTGCAGCGCCGGAAAACGCTGCGTCATGTGAAGAAGCAGGTCGCCCTTCGTGACTCCGTCTCCGATTTGTCTCCTACAAGTTCGGCGCCCCCGTCTTTGCTCGACGATGGGGGCAAGCAGCAGCAGCAACAACGGCGCCGCAACGGCGCCCAACACGACGTCAGAAGACAGGATAGCATACTGTCTACCAGCACTGTCCCTAGTGTGTCAAGCAGGAGTGCAAGGCGTGAAATACTGAAGGCGGGCGGCATTCCCGTGATTGTTGTGCCTGACCGGCGGTCGTCCACAAAGTCGACCAGTCGAGAGCCGTCATTACGTTCGACCAGCAGCCGACGGTCAAAGAGGAGCCAAAGTGTGTGTTCCGTTCCCTTGTCCCAGATCTCTGGTTCTAGAGGAAGGGAACCCTCGGGTATCAGCCGGAGGGGTCGTGCTTACTCAGACTCGGATGGATCGGCGCCTGGAGACCAGCGCACCTTGGATTACCCTCCTATCGTGCCGAGACGAACGTCGTCCCTGTCTGCTCCTACGAGCCGGAATGCTTCGAGGAGTGGATCGCTGACCTCCGAAAGCGTGAAGGCGCATGCGGAGCTCTTACAGTCCAAGCTCAAAGCACGAGAGGCAGAACTTCCGTCGGTTTTGTCCCGGCTATCACGGGAGGATGCGTCGGCGAAAACAAGCGATGATTCTGTGTTCGAGACTAAGGAGCCGAGGAAAGCTATGAACCGGGGCCCTGTTCGAGAAACTGCCCGCGTTCTGATCCCTAAAGTCAACTTGGCGACTGTGCCGGCACTGAAGACGGACACGCACGAGCGCGAGAATGGTTATGATGGGCATCACGACTTTCGAGCGCAGTTTGATCCCAACATGCATCTCTCTCCACAAAACACGCCGTTCTCGTTTGCTTCAGTCGACACTGCCACATCACACCATTCCCATGCTGAACTATCCGAGGCCATGGCGGTAAGCATTTTTGCGCACCAGAACACGTCCATCCTCATGGTAGACCATTCAACCCGACCGTCTGAATGCTCATCTGAGACACAACCGGATCGCGCGACGGACTCGAGCAGCAGCAGCAGGTCGAAGGACGAAGTATCTTCCGCGCCCTCGGTAGGGTCCAGTGGCCGATCTGGCCGGCTAGGTCGCACGTCGCTCAGACCCGACATTAAGACGCCTAGACGTAGTCTGGTGGCAGATGATGGCCTCGCGACTCCCCACCCGATCTTCTCGATGGATGATGTCGACTCGCCTCTGAGAAACCCTCGGGCGCCACCTGCTCCCCCAGCAATCAACTTTATTCCTGCGACGCCGTCAGGATTGACTCCGGCTCCAGATAAGAAGGCGCAGATGGGCAACTTTTTTGCGGACGAGTTTGAGGACAGACCGAAAAACAACGTTTCAACAGTTCTCAGGCGTGTTCTGAGCCGCGGTCGCCGCGCAGAGTACGGCCCGTCAGCCAGCCGGACTACAGGGCTCATCGGGCGCACGCTCTCATTGACAAGAAGCAGCCGCAGGGGTGGTTCGGGGCACAGACGATCCGGCTCTGTCAGCCGACGCAGAGGCGTCGGTCCGGACTCTGAGCCGGCCGACGAGGGCAAGCTGCATCCGTTCTGGAGACCGATGTCGTTTTACATGGGGGACGATGGAGATTTCGTGCGTGATGATGACGACGAAGACGATGACGACGAGTACTATCGGTACCCGCCGATTGACAACCGTCCACATGAACCCCGGAGGAGCCTTAGCTCACGGATGAAGAGGACGTTTGCGATTCTGCCACTCGATGACATGTACGACTCGTATCCGGCCACAAGCGACGAGTGGCCCGATCGCCGAACAGTCCGGCGCACTCCCAGCGGGAACTTGCGTGTAGTGAGGCATCGGGCCAGCGACGATGCTGCAGGCCAGACCGGGATGCGAGAGGCCGAACGACCACAGACGGCTCCCCGGCAACAGGTTGGGTTCTGGAGGACGCCGTCGTTTCTGAAGAGGAGGACGACTGATCCTCAGAGGGATGCGACAGGCGACAGCGCCAGCAACAGACACACAACATTTCCCTTTATCAGCGACAAGGCGGGTGAGCGTGGGCTGCAGTCGATCCCTCGGCGGATTAGCGAACGGCGTCGTGAAAAACGGAGCAACGAATTGCGGCAGAAGATCAGCGGACCGCAAGAGGTGCGAGATGGTGTTGGTGAGGTGATCCGGCGCTCAAACTACCGGGACGCCTTTACACAAGCTCAGATGAACTCGTGAGACTACGGCTTGATGATTTGATGCCTGTTTTGAACCTGTCAATATATGTATACTTTTCACGTCCGCAACGTTTTTTATGCCCAGGAGGAGGACCGTGGTGTCCAGACAGATACACACCTCCTCACGAGTTACGAACCGTTTATACTTGCTATTTGTTTGTTATTTCTATCTTGTCGATTTCCTTGATCTTTTTCTTTTCTCTTTAGTCTGTTTGCACGGATTTGCTTGTTTGGTCTCCCTTTCAGGCACCTCCCATGATACATTTCACGACACTTGATGATACATGGCAAGCGGATATCGTCCAGACAACTGGGCCTGGAGTTCTTTTCTGAAGAGCAACGTCCGACGAGTTTTATGTATCTGGCTTGCCTTATGAGTATATATAGCGTGCTGTAACGTCTGATACCATCTACGAACTACAAGGACTCAAGCGTCATCACGCATGGATATGAGCGAGGAGAAAAAGTCTGGCTTACGACATTAGCGTTGATTATATTTTGTATGCCATGCCGACCCCAAAACGCCATACCCAACCTAGACTCTGAAGACATAGATATACACATGCGGCTTTTGGCTAGTCGTAAGCAAGCTGCTGGTAAGAGGAACGAGGAAGAAGGCAAGATAGAAAACAAATAGGCGGTATAGGAAAGATGCGCAAGACGGAAAGACGGAGAGTATCGCGTCCACACGATCACCGATTTTCTCCGCTCTGCAGAGACGGCGGCATGCCGGGGCCACCCGGAACCATGAATGGTGGCGGGAAGGGAGGAAAGCCCTGCTGTCCGCCGGGACCAGTAGGCGGCATGCCGGGGAAGCCTGGAAAGCCAGGCAGCGGCATGCCTCCGGGGCCAGCAGCAGAAGACGAGCCCTGGCCGGGGATGGGAGGCGGAAAGGGGAAAGGTGGCATGCCCTGGACGGGTGAAGCACCAGGAGCTCCATTGGGGCCACCGGGGAACAGAGGAGGAGGAATGGGGAGGCCGCGAGCCGATCCGGGGACTGGATGAACAAATTTGTTAGCCGGAGGGAAGAATGGTCCAAGAAAGGAGTCATAGGAGAGAGAGAGAGTGAAGACGAACCCATGAAGGCGCCACCAGGCGGGGGAGGCAGTCCGGCGCTGCCAGGGAAGCCAGGCAGCAAAGGAGGAGGAATTCCACCGGGAAAGTTAAAGGGCAGCGGAGGTGGTGGCACACCGGCACCAGCAAAGCCAGGCAGGGCGCCGGAGCCGGAGCCGAGATGGACCGGACCTGAGGCGGCAGCACCGGGGGCACCTGGCGGGCCTCTGTTAGGGGCACCACCACCGAAGCCAGCAGCGTTGTGCATAAAAGGCGGACGGCCACCGAAGCCACCGCCACCACCAAATCGGGCCTGAGCAGCTGCATAGCCAGGCTGATTCTGGGGAAGCATGGGGTTGGCGTGGGCCTGGCCCTCAGCGGCGTAGGAAGAGGTGATGGAGTCGATCACAGACTGGGCTTTTTCATGGCCGATCTCTGGGAGGTGGGCGATTAGCTGTGCCGAGTCGAGGCTGTGAGAAAGAAAAGACGAGGGAAGACTTACGTTGGTAGTAGTCGACGACGTTTCGGAGATGGTTGCGGCCGCTGTTGTGGGCCTTGCGCACGCTCATGGAGTCGTGCGTGAGGTAGACATCGCAGTAGTCGCCTGAAGGGAAGCGGAGGGCAGGGTTAGAATCAGATGGGAGGGAGATAGTGAGGGTTTGTTTGCGAGCAGAAACGACGTACAGAAGACTGCAGCAGGAGAGAAGCGGCGCGTTAGCAGGCGGCGTGCAGAGCAGGACGGGCGGGACAAAGAAGGGCGCAGCTTACACTTGGGCATCTTGAGCGCGGGTGGGCTTCGCAGCGAAGCCTGGCCGTACGATGCGTGGGGCGTGAGAGGGCGGAGGGCGCGTTGAGGTTCACGGAGAGAACAGGACGGAAGTGGACGATGGACGATTGGCGTCGCAGTTGGAAAAAAAGCCCTTTGGCCTAATGCGTTATGTAATCAGAGCGCGATGACCGTCACGTGGACGCGTTGCAGGGAGTCTAGAGCCGACGGGCGGCAGAGCAGCAGTGGACACGCACTAATTAGGCCTGGGAACGCGACAGCGTAGCCTCTTTTTCCTCTGTTGGTATTCCGCAACAGCAACGTGCTCTTTTGACCGCCCTCTACGTTCGATCTTCTCTCTCCTCGCTCTCCGCCATGATGATGCCACAACTGCTGCGACAGGGCCTTGCAGGGCTTGTGCTGTTCGCAGCCGCCAGCGAGGCGCTCAAGCTGGACCTGCACCCGACCAACGGCCATGCGCGATGTATCCGCAACTTTGTGGCCAAGGACACGCTGGTGGTGGTGACGGCGACGCTGGACGGCCACCGGGGCGACGGCATGGTGGTGAACATGCATGTACGTGTGGCGAGCTCTCTGTTTGGTTTTGCTTTCTGTGTTCCGTGATCTGTGTTCCGTGTTCTGTTCTCCTTTAGTCCTTCCCTTTCCTCTCTCCTTTTCCTTCTCTTCCAGTGTCCTAACAGCTGCAGATCAAAGACGCCGTAGGCAACGAGTACGGCCGAGCCAAGGACATTGCCGGCGAGCAGCGCACCGTCTTCACGTCGCACGCGGACGCAGCCTTTGACGTCTGTTTTGAGAACATTCTGAACCGTGAGTGGAGGGGTCCTCTGGGTCAAGACCGGGCAAACACAGAGACTGACGGCGACAGACCGGAGCAACAACGACGGGTACCGCCGGGTGGAGCTCGACGTGGACATTGGCGCCGACGCCAAGGACTGGGCGGCCATCCAGGCGACGGAGAAGCTCAAGCCGGTCGAGACGGAGCTGCGGCGCATCGAGGAGATGCTCAGCGAGATCGTCGACGAGATGGACTACCTGCGCGTGCGCGAGCAGCGGCTGCGCGACACCAACGAGAGCACCAACACGCGCGTCAAGTACTTTGGCTTCGGCACCACCTTTCTGCTGATCGGCCTCTGGGGCTGGCAGATCATGTACCTGCGCGCCTACTTCCGCTCCAAGCATCTGATCTAGGGCCAAGGGCGCCGGTACTTTTCCTCTTTCGAAGCACAAGCAAAAACAAAAGGAAGCGTCTCGCCAGAGCGGCCGAGGCGGCATGACAACAAACACGGCAGAGACGACTGGGCACACGGAAGACATGCGAGACACGGACGGGCGAGGCTGGCTGGGCCTTGCCTGACAAGGGCACTGCTTTTTCTTTCTTCCACAGTGTATACGGAGTACAGACTATACTATATACAAATGACACGAGGCCTGATGCAAAACCGCGAACAGAAAAGACCAGGCGCACACACGTGACCTGCCGTTGGCTTGGAGAGGCAAGAGCGCAGAGCTGACGTTATAGGAGGCGGACTAAGCCGGCAATACAGGCGGTACAGCCGCGAAAACACGGCCGAAAATTGGTAATCCATTTCCATTCATTAGTACAGGAAGACAGCGATGGAGCAGTCAAACGTTCTCCTACACACAACCATCCGCCCACACACACTCGCCCATACACCATGGTCGTCCTGCGTCTTGCCCGTCCTGCGCGCCAGGCGCTACGGTCCTCGCTGACGGCTGCCGGCTGCTGCTGCCGGCGAAATCCCGTCGCTGCGGCCGTGCGGTTTGCTTCGTCGGATGGCAGCGACCGGAGCAGTGCGCCGCCGGCCGCACAGGCGGGACCTCTGGACGTGCTGGTGGACCACGAGCTGCAGCTGGGCGAGCTGCCGGGAGCGTCGTTCCGCGTGGAGCCGCTGCGACGAGTGGGCGAAGACCCGACCACGAAGCGGGCGCGATTGTTATGTGGGTTTTCTATCTTTCATTCTTCCTTCTTTTCTTTTTTCTTTCTTTCTTCATTCTTTCTTCTTTCTTTCTTCCTTTCTCTCTCTCTCTCTCTCTCTCTCTCTCTCTACTAACCCCCCCAGACCAGTCTCGCAAGCGTGGCACGCTCGAGTCCGACCTCCTCCTCTCGACCTTTGCCGCCCAGCATCTCGGCTCCATGACAGCCGCCCAGCTGGACGAATACGACCGCTTCCTGGACGAGAACGACTGGGACATCTACTACTGGGTCACGCAGGACGAGGGCGAGGCTGCTGAAGCTGCCCGGCTGGTTCGTGAGGCTGCCGGCGACAACGTCACGCCGCGCCCCGAACACGAGTGGGCACAGACCGTCGGCACGTTCCGGCCGGCCTATCGTCCTGTGCCCGCTCGCTGGCAGACTAGCGAGATCCTCCGCCTGTTGCGCCAGCATGTGCGCGAACGGTCTGCCGATGGCGCCCCTGTCGCCCGCGACGTCGTCCAGTCGGAGCCCGTCGTCGTTGCCGCCACCGCGGCTGCGGCCAAGAAAAAGGGCATGGCCTTTATGCCGCCGCTGTCGCACTTTGACAGAACCTGAGCGCGAGAGCATCGAGACGAGGACACACGATGCCGGACAGAGAGAAATGGATCAAAGCACGGGAGCCTCTCCTCGACCGTTTCGGCTATAGAACAGGAAAATAACAAAAACCAGGCCCGCCAAGAACCGTCATGCTGCTCGTTATGGAGAATACAAAGACAAAAAAGGGTGTATAGACAAAAAAGGAAGAGGGCTCAAGACAGCTTCTGGCTGATCCCTCTCTAAACAGCTCCCCCCTCCCCTTTCTCAGCTGCCACCCCCGCTGCCTCCACCCTGGTCGTCTGGCAAGATCCGGCCGAGACTGCGCAATACCTCCATCATCGGCAGTGCCTTGGTGCCCACGGCTGCCTTTTCGCGGTCCTCGCGCTCTTTAAGCCGCGCCGCGCTCAACCGCAGCAGCCGGTCCGCTTCCTGGCCAGCCACTGCCACTCGCTGGTCCAACACATGCACCCCGTACGCCAGATGGTCGATCTGGAAGGGCGCTGTCGTCTGCAACCTCTGCAGTCGCGCCAGCAGCTGCGCCCGGAATGCGGCTGCCGACGACAGCCCTGGAGGTGGCTGCAGTTGTGGCCGTGGTTGCTGTAATGTGCCTTGTGCTGGTGTTGCTGCTGGTACTGATGCTGATCCTGCGACCGGTATCACGGCCTCCAGCATCTTGGCTTCTTCCGGATCGAGCAACGTCGCGTCTGGTGCTGGCGGCCTTCTCTCTGCATCTTCGCTTGCACCATACAGCGGCGGCAGTTCTGGCAGTGGTTTTGCCAGTGCGAGCCACCGTTTCTTCTCTTCTTTCAATCTGTGCCGTGTTAGTGGGCATCGCCAGTTATTGTCCATCTCCGAAACGCACCTCTTTATCCGTGCTTCCAGCTCGGCAATCTTCTCTTCGTGCTCAATGTTCCGCGGGTTCGGCTTCAGCACCACTGTCTTCTTCCGCTCCTTGGCTAGCTCTTCTGGCATGTGGTCTCGCTCAAACCAGTTGGAGAACTCCGCCCGGCTGCCAAAGTCCTTGAGCAGTTGGTCCTGTATCGCCCGCGCTGGATGAGTCAGCATCCGTAGAACCCGAATCAAATCCCAAATCCCAAACCTCACGCAAACTCACCTCCCAAGATCGCGCTCGCGTTTGCTGATCCATGTGGCGGCTTCTCCGACAGCGCCCGCTCGCCGCACCACACCAGCAGCTGCCGCATGCGTCGTGGCTCCACCTGGTCCGCCTCGATGTGCTTGTAAAACTCGGCCGTGTCGACAGCCCGGTGCGGCAGCGCGCTGTGCCCGTTGTCGATTAGCGAGCTTGCCCGTCGCCCGCGCATTCCCACGCTGCTACGTCGCTGGCCGCCTGCTTGTCGTCGCAGCTCCTTGTTGCGGTTGATGATCGGCGTGTCGCTGAATGGCAGCGCTATCTGCCGCGACTCTGCCGCCGCCGTGTTGTCGTCGTCTTCGTCGTCGCCATCAACCACGGCCACGTCATCGTCCTCGTCGCCTTCCTCGTCGACTGCAGCTGCCACTCTCCTCGATCGAGCTGAAGTTACTGGTCCTGACGGCGTTGCTGCTGCTGCGATACCCCCGCTGCTGCCACGTGGTCTTCGCCCTCGCCCTTTGCGCGCTGGCTCTGCCTCGACTTCGACCGTCTTCTCTACGGACACACGTGCTTTCCGCGTGCTCGTCCGCGTTGACGCTGCTCTCCGCTCCTCGTCTGCCGCTGCTGCTGCTTTTGCCGCTGCACGGCCGCTGTCTTTGCCGCTGCTGTCGCGCTGCCCTTTGGCCGCCCTGGCCGCCTTGCCGTCGTCGGCTTTGCTGTCGTGCCCGTGGCGGCGCTGAGAGAAGCGATCGCCGGCGTTTCCGGAACTGGGGATGGCGGTGCTGGGGACGCTCGTCTGCGGCCCATCGTGTTGTGAAGCTTGCTGCTGTTGCTGATGCTTGTACGCCCGTTGGCCGTGCCCTTCTTGGGCCTGCTCGTCGTAGTCGTCGTTGCCGGCACCGGCTCTGGCTCGGCCGACGTCTTGACCTTCTTGGAGCCCCGGGTGAAGTGGAAATCACCATCCTGTTCATCGTATACAGCAGTGGCTGCAAAAGATACACTAGTTAGCACTACGACAACCATGCACCATAGCTCCTCTGACGTACCGGCCAGACGTTTGCTGTAGCGTCGATCGGACTGGTTGGTCATGCTCAAATCCTGCAGCGGTATCCGGGTCTGAATGAGAGTCGTCATGGATGGCACGTGTTGGAGCTGATCTCTCGTCGGCTAGGACATTGAGCGGGTGGTGAAACAAGATTTCAGGTTTCGATGCCGAGCCTCTCCAGAAATGCCCCTCGCTTTCGCTCTCGCCGTCGATTTCGGTCTCTTTCCCCCCTGTTGCCTGCCCGAGAGGGAAAAACGCGTCGGGAAGCCGGCTGAGCTCTTTTGTAGGCCCCCGCCCTCCGCTAGTAAATTCCGTCTGCTTGCGCCTGAAGCTGACACCGCAGAATCTCTCGGGTCCACCGCCTTTTCTTTCCCTCGTGGTCGCGGCGAGCCTGGCTTGGGCTCGTCTCGTCTCCGGCTTTGCCCCTGTCGCTGGAGCCGTCGTCGTAGTCGTCGTCGTCGTCGTCGCCGTCTTTTGCTGCTTCCTGGCGCGTCCCTCTGTCTCAACTGGAGGGGTGATGGTTCTCCAATGTCACGGCGCGTACCAAAATCGAGCGCCGACTTGTTGTCCAATATGAACCGTAGTGCCGTTGGGAGTTGCAGGTTGTCGGGTATCGTGTCGGATAGATCGTTACGGGAAAGTTGCCAATCGCCAGCCGTGGCAGAAAAAAGGAATGTCGCGAAATTGGGGCTTGACCGGGCTTGAGTTGCGGTGTTCCCACCTTTTCCTTGCACCTCTGGGCTCTTTTCTCCCTCCATTGTTTACGCGCTGCACCGAGCACCTGATTTGCTCACAGTTCCGAGCTAGCTATTTTCGGAACAAAAATCCACTTATCTTGGCCTGTCACGTGATTTTACGCATGATCACGCTTATGCTGCCGACATCGTCACTTTTGTCTGACAGTCCAAATTACTTCTTTTTACACCGCCGACGCTCCTTGTTTTGCCATCATATATCTTATATGTTCTGACACCATCATGTTCCGTACATACAAATGAGGGGACGAAATGAGAGGCCAGACAGGCACACCTCTACCGTCGCCGACCCACCTCAGAAAGACATAAGGCCGCCTGCAACCTCCTCGTTTTAGTTGGCCGAACCACCCGCTGCCGTGAACACCTATAACCTACCTCCTTGTATATGATATTACATTTCTTTAAAAGACACATATAGCGTCGCAGATATACCTTGCACGCCTCTTCCTCCGGCTCTTTCTAGAAGCCCACCTGTCCTTGGTCCGTTTCTCATCGGCATTGGATAGCTAGGCAGCACTGACAGCCTCCAAAACTTAGATACATGTTCGTCTAAGAGAACCGCCGCTGGTCGACCTGTGCCGAGATGGCCTGCTGGTTTGAGATTGTCGCCGCCATGCTGTACGGGTTGAGCTGACCGCCGTTGTACGGTTCCATCGACTGCTGGACAAAGGCACCATGCATGCCTTGTTGCTGCGTTATCGGGCAGTCCTTGTGGGCAAGCAGAAGTGTCTTGAGGTGGACGATTTCCTCACGCAACTGTGTGATCTGCGTAGTGAGAGACTCGTTTTCCGAGGTGAAGAGCTCCACTTTTGACTGCAAGCTTGCCAGCCATTGCTTCTTACGCTGTCGACATTTGAGAGCAGCGACCCTAGTGCCCATTAGCATCCACAAGTGTGTATGCGCATTTCCGAGACATACCTGTTTCGCTCGAGAAAGTTTTTGCGCTTCTCGTCTTCAGTCATCTTCTGTTTTGGCTGCCCGTCTTTGTCTTCCTCGTCGTCGGAGTAGCCATCCTCGTCTTCCATAGAAGATGGCGAGCCGTTGGTCTTGGCTCGCTTGCTAGGCGGACTGTTTTTCGTCGCCATCTCCTGTGCTTTCCGCCTACCGTTTGCTGCAGCACCTGCGTCAGAAGTTGAGTTGCGCTTGCCCCTACCTCTCCCGTTGAAACGGGGCGTCTCGCTCTTCTCCGACCCTGGGCTTCCAGATTCACTGGCCCCGTGACCGAAGCCGCCAGAGCCGTTACCCATCGTGGTCGGAGCCGCATGCGACGACGACCCGTTCATTGATGAGACGCCGTTGTGTGCAGGAGCCCGCTGTCTGTTGTCCTGTGGAGGTGCTACAGGCGTTTGTGCTGGCTGCATCGCAGCGACAGATGCGGACACGGAAATGGGCACCGGGACAGCCGTGTGCTTTATTACCGCCGCCTGCAGCGGTGGCGGCGGAACTGCAAACGAAGCCTGCGCCTGCGTACCGTTGCCACCCTGAGCCAGAAGATACAAGCCGTTGGCAGCATCCTTGTCGTGGGGATCGTACTGGCCACTTGCCAATTTGGATTCAGCCTTTACAGCTGGTACAGGCGCAGGCGCAGATGTGATAGAGGGATGTTCTTGTGGCTGTGACGTGATGGATGGCTGTGACGTCGGCGGCGCAATGTGCTGCTGACCGGACTGATGGGCCTGCTGGTCCCGTTTTGCGACAGCCGCGTTGATGGCTGTGCGATGGAAGTCTAGCGTGCTGGGGGTTGCGCTGCCGTTCTGCAACTGCGCAAAGAGAGCCTGCGAGCTGGGACTTGACGCAGGGAACATCGAGCCGCTTCCACCAGGCGTCAAACCTGTTCGCAGAGACGACTCGTTCGGTGTTGGAAAGCCGCCACGGAGATGGGTATCGGCATAATAGTCGCCGGCCGGGCCCGAGAGCATTGCTGGACTGAGCGGACCGGTCCTCAACGAACCACCTCCCCAGTTGAAAGGAGTTGTCCCGCCGCCAGGGAGAAGCGAGGACGGCGACGTCAAGGAAGCAACCGAAGGAAGCTTGGTGCCTCCAGGAGTTTCTGGGGCGCCACCGAATGACTGCTCAAAAGGATTCGGTTCCATGCTTAGGGAGCCACCGCTCTGTGTTGTGAAGTAGTCGGGCGTATTCCCGTTCTGCTGGTTGGGCCGAGGCGGAGGAGCAAGAGGTTTGGCAGTCTCGGTATCAGATGGCTCGACCTTCGAGGCGTCTGCGCGATTGGAAGATGCATTGTGACGGTCTAAAAACAACAAAGGAAAAATCAGCAACGAGCCATGCATAACTTCCCCATCGACTTCTACTGATTGGTTCCTTTTTCTGTCTGTTGCTCCTGGCATGACGCATTATAGAAGATGTGGCGTGAAAAGGGAAACGTACCTGTGTCGGCAGTTGTCTCGTTCTGCTTGGGAGAGTTTGTCTCCCCTTGGCTCGGCAAGGCCAGTGACTTTCCCATGATGACCAATATGGCGATGGCTCACGACGTAAGTATGACGCCCGCCGTCAATGTATAGCGCCTGTGGGTCGTAACAAGCTTTTTGAGATCTTTTAAACTTGGTCGCCGCGTGTTCAAAGCAAGATGACGGATGCACTTTGGATACACCCTATCCCGGTTTCCCTACGGACCCACGACTGGGACAAGGAGACGGACGAAAGGGAAGGCGACGGCAATCGACGATCTCGGGCAGGTGAATTTACAAGGAACAGTAACGAAACTTTTCCTGACGGCTGCGCATGCCAGGCGCGGCCACAATACAACGTTTAAGCGAGGGAATTGTTGAGACGAGAAAAAAATGCTAATATGATGACAAAAGAATGATACGGGTGAGGCGCGGGATGCTCCGTCGTAATGTCGTGATCTGTTGTTGTGGACTGCAGAATAGGGGCAATGAGACCAGCAGAATTGGGTGAAAAAAAGGTGACGTAGCTGGAGAAAAAGTTGCAGGAGGCAGGTTCTACAAGGGATGGCACGAGAAAATAAGGGCAGCCATGACGCACTCGACTCGGGGGAAAGAAACGCTTTCGTTAGAAGTGGGCCCCGACTGCCACATGTACAGTGCTGTGGCGTGCTTTCGTACGGTCAGCGCCGCGCGATAAAGTGCAGAAGGACGCTACCATACAGTGCATGCAACACGCTACGGTGGGAAATTACGAGTAGCTATTTCTGCAATTGCCCGGCCGGTACTTGCACAGTATAGGAAAATGATTTCGGCACGGCTGTGGCGACGCTTGTCGCGCTTATCGGCGCGCAACGGCGGCAAAGAAGACCAAAACATAACAGTGCGCCTTTCGCACACGACGGCGGATCGTACGAGTACGAGTAAGATGCTGGGAGGCGTTTCTCCCACAATAATTTCGCGTCCCGGGAACAACTGGCAGCCGGCATAAATGATAAAGTCTGCTGTGACGAAATTTCACCCCTTCGTCTTCCTCTCGCCTTATTATTATGTACGGTTCACGTCAAGCTTGCCAAATTGCGTCAGACGCTAGGACGTGTTTGGAAATGGGAGACGTGATTATAATATATGCCCCACTCACACGGATTTACTACCGTTTCGCCGTTGTGCTTTCGGCATCCTCCACACCCCTATTACGTCGTTTCTATTCTATGTTACTGCGTACTCCGTCACAGAAGGCCTATCGCGCCTGGAAGAGGGGCGGGGCGAATCTGGTTGCCAAAACAGCGAGTTGCGTCTGTTTTGGATCGTATCAGGCTACATTGACCGGATGCGCTTCTGGAGACAAGTGTTGGGTTAGAGAAAGGCCGGTGCAATGACGTAACCGAATAAACGGCCGGCCACAGAACACTGTTCAGCCCCTGCAAGCCGAAGCGAGCACAAATGCCACCACATACAAATCGATCGCCCACGCGCAGGCAGCACGATCACAGGTAAGGAACAGCAGTACGAAGTAGGTTCGCCGCATGCGCCATCTGCTTGCGAGTGCAAGGCACAAGTTTGATTCGTTGTGCCGGCACCATGCACTGTGCAGTGATTTGTCTGGCTAGTGTGATTTTAAGCTCAGCTGATTCGTCGCACTGGTACTGTATGACTCCAAATTTCTGCTGATAAATCAGCTGAACTCTTAATTTCTATTCTTTACGAAGCTCTGCAAGTTGGACGACCCATCAGCAGTGCAACCATGCTCCCATTCGTCTACTCCGTACTCCGTACTTTGCGCAAGCAAGAGTACGACGTAGCGAGTGTCGGTGAGCTCGCGAGGCACAACCGTCATGCTTCGCATTTACATGTCTTACTATGCACATGCATTTTGGGTAGCAGACACCCTGTTTTTTCCTTTTCTTTTCAAACAGTGTTTTAAAACCCCATACTCGGTAGAAGCGAAATAAAACGAAACAAATGATCTGCATTGGATTTTCATAAAGGGAGTTGAGCCTAGGCCGTCTATTTGCCTGCCGCTGGCATGTCCACTCTGCACGCCACAACATTCAATAGCTGGCCTGCGTTGCATGTTTTCAGGCCCTTCAAAACAAAGGTCAGTAATACGACGTATAGCCATAGCCAACCCAACACCGACAACCGAGCCTCATATGCACCGCGACGACTACAAAAAATTATCAGCGAAGGCTAGACGAAATGTCATGGTCCCGGAGGGGCTCGAACCCTCGACTTTCGCATTACTTCACCCGACAGGCAATGTATTAGTACGATGCGCTAACCAACTGCACCACGGAACCGATGCTGCTTGATGAAAGTGACGAGTCGCTCTGAAGCTAGAAAAGCACGCCAGCTGAACGTCGGACTGCCGGTGCGAGATTCGCAAAAGCCGGGCATCATTGCGTTCTGGTTGCCATCTTGTGGTTATGGCCGTGTAAGTCGTCATTAGGGGCGCAGTCAAAGCTTATCTGCACGTAGAACGCAATCATAAGGGGATTTTGGCTGTAGATAGGCCGAACAAATTATGAAGATGGGTTCGGCCTCTGCCACTTTCTGCCAAGCTTCAGTCCTCACTCCCCACTCATATCGTACCAATAGCTACGCAAACTATGGCCAGTGATGAGTTTGGTATAAATTACGTAAAATCGAAGCGCAAGTAGCTTGACTGACAGTTGAAGCCATGGTGGCCTGGCTCTTGTTGCTCTGCCAGCCGACAGGAATATGCTTACTCGTGTTATTTTAGGCGCTGCCTCTCAGCTTTGGCGCGGCCACCGGGAAATCGTCTGCACGGCGCGGCACGATTACGGCCTGCGTGGTATGGGCGGCGGGCTCTGGCTTGCGCTGAAGACGAGGAAACAGAGATCGAAATGGCCGCAGAACGTGGGACAAATAGAGAGTCTGCGTATTCCGCGTGTCAAGATTGCGGCTGCCTTAAGTCTGGCAGTCGCTGTCACCGTCGATGTGCTCGCCACAGGCGCTGTCGAGAGCGGAGGAGACCGCTTTGAGGTCCCAACATCGACGCGATCATTAGGCAAGCCCATTGCAGGTCCACCATAGCCTTCATCTTCAGCACATCTTGCAGCGGCATGCGGATCGTCGCCGTGGCTCCTGTCAGAAGCATACGACTGCTTGCCGGGATCGCTGCTGCGAGCCCGCGCCCGAATCTGGATATGGGTCGCTAGAGTGCTGCAGCAGCTCCTCCGACCACTCCGTCCACAGAGCAGCCGCCTCTCCAGAGGCCAGTCCGAAGTCGGTTGGCCTATCGCGCTCGTCACCTGCCGCGGTAGCTAGTGAAACTGCAGAGTAATCTCTGCTGCAGCAGCGCGGTCGTTGCCGTCGCTGTCTCTGTACAAGTAGAGCGCCAAAGCACCTCATGCCCCAGTAGCCCAACGCCCACCATTTGTGCAGCTGGCGCTCAAGCGACACCATGTTCCTAGCGCAGTCGCTGCTCCGAATAGATATACAAAAACATACCGCTTCTGCAAGATCCTCCTGTCATCTTGCTGGTCGCTCGAGGTAGCGCCGTCAATGACCTGCTGGTTCATCTGAAGGACTGCTATTATCAGCTTTAGTATATGTAGAGAGAAACAAACTCTGTCACGTCTCCTTCAAACAAACATTCAGATCCACACAAAGGTCTCGGCAGCCAAAAACGTCATGCCGAGATCGCAAGCTGCCTCGCGCAGCTTGCGGGTTTAGCCATCGCATAGCGAGCGCCGTGCCTTCGGGGACCTACGCCGTCTAGAAACGGGGCGTGCACCCACGCTGGGCGTTTGGCTGGATCAGTGTCCACTGGGTAGTCCATAAGGACTTGGATTTTGCTCTGGTTCGACATTGTTCTGCGAGCGATCGTCAGCCTATCGCTACCCTGTCGCGCGGACTCTGTTGAACTGACTTACCACGCGTTGGGTTTGAAGAAAAGGGGCTGGAGAGAAGGAGCAGTCCTACAAGATCAGGCGAATTTCGTCTTAGATTCTAGGTATCGTCCAATCTTCTTGTATTTTGAGGCAACAAGGAAGCCGCGAAATCAGACGTCTGATTGCGTCCTGAGGACCGGTTGACCTTGCTTTGAAAGCAAGGTGAAAAACGTCTGAAGACCAGACAAAGGGACGTCTCGGCTCCGTCGACCGAGAAAATAGCTGCACCGCAGCACGATGCGGGCGCTCGGTCAGATAGGCGAGGGCCAGAGACGAGTCTCTAGCCTCCCGCCAGTCTGCCGCCTCGAGTAGCTAGGTCCCGCAATGCGTTCTGATGCTTCAAGGGAGGTGGAGAGGTGTGAGAGAAAGAGCAGGGGTATAGCGTGTGCGCTGCTGAACTGTGTAAGGTAATAGGTTGCAGGTGTGAAGATTTGAATATTTTGCCACACTAGCTACTATTAGTGTTTGGTGCTCCGACTACCAAGTCACCAATAGCGTCGGCCTATACGGAGTAGCAAAATCCCCTTTCGTTCAGTGGGCTAGCCTCTCAACCTTCTTCTGTACTCCGTAGGCACTGCTACAATTATCAAGCTAAGTGCTTACTTACCTAGAGGAGTAAGAATGTAGACCTGGTACGCTTTACCCATTTAGATAAAGAGGGGGCAGACTATGTAAGATACGATACTGCACGCTATATGTTGTATGCCCCTTGGGAAGCGAAAAGGATACTTTTGAGTACTCTTAGATGTATACTGTAGAAATTGTTATAGCGCAACTATATAGCAACTTGAATAAAGTTACTTTGTGCGGAGTACTCCGTACAGGGATTTGATATAGACGCGGACCCTAAATCATAGCGTTCCTATCAATTTCCTTGGGAACTCCGCCGTATATACTCTGTATGCATAAATACTGGCTGCCCTTTAAGGCGTACGCGTTCTTCCAATTGCACCACAATCAATGTAACATGTTTTCGTTATCGTTCATACGCCACAATTCGCTCCAACTTCAGCCAGGGCTCTTCCGTGTTGCGTCATAACATTCTCCTCACATATACCACCGGCCCAGCTTGAGTGGCGCCACGGACTGGTTGCCGACGGTGGTGAGGCCGATACGGCCAGCCTCAGCGTCTGGAGCGACGTCGCCGAGCACGAGGCGGACGTGCTTGTGCTTGCGAGCCCATTCGCTGCCGGACCAGGTGGAGTTGCCGGCAATGCGGCCAGGGCCGAGGCGATTAGGCAAAAAGGCTACGGCGATGGTCTCGAGCACGTCGGGGGCGATGATAAAGAGGTGCAGCACGCCGCTGAAGATGCCGGTCAGGACGACGGCGAGAGAGCAGATGGTGAGAAAGACGAGCCAGACGGGTGAGTAGTGAACGATGATCCGGGGCTTGGCGATGACGGAGGCGGGGATATCGAAGATGGCTGAGTTGTCCTGCCGGGCGGCAGCGGACGTGTTGAAGGCACCGGTGAGGTACTGGGGCACGGTGCCGATGATCAGGATCGTATTGAGCACCTGGGCCAGACGTAGCTCGAACGTGGTCACGTCGACGGTGTCGGCCAGTACGGTGTCGTAGGGACTGCTGACCGAGGCGCCGACGGCGTGGAAGGGAAAGGCCATGTAGACGGGGATGGGGTCGAGGGCCTCCATGACGCTGCCGGACTCGGAGAAGAGCATGGTGACGAGGTAGAGCAGCGCGGACGCGTCGTTGGTTGTGCCGGCATCCAGCACCGTCCAGTTGCTGTCGAAGCCGCCTGCACGGACGTGGCTGCTGCGGCTGCGACGCACGCGTGAGGGCGTGCACGTGCTGCTGCCGCTGCTGCCGTTGCTGCTGTCCATATCGTCGCTGCTGCTGCTGTTGGTTCCCGTGCTCGGGCTACTGTTGGCCGTGCAGTTGACGTCGGCCTCGACATACGTCGTCGTCAGCAAACACTCGGCGCGTGTCAGGTTGCCTTCGGACGACAGGGACTCCCAGATGAGCCGTCGGGCCGGACGGGTGATCTCGTTGGTCAGCATCTCCGTGACACCGGTCTTGGCATCGGCGCATGGCAGCGACACGGCCAGCTGCAGGTACATGGTCGACCGAAGGGGCGCGTACCACGTGCAGTCAAAGTCGCCGCCCGGCTCCGTCACGTTCTCGGCCGTGTAGTTGGTAAAGGTCGTCTGGGCTGAGAGTCCGTACACCGGGCACGACACCGCTAGGTACGACCCCGGCAGCACAAATTGGTTTGTGCCCGAGGCCGACAGGTTGTTGACCGGCACGCCGACGAGCGACGGGTATGTCAGGTTCGTGGGCGTCGGCACGTCCAGCCAAGGCCCGTCGGCCGCGACATCATTGCTGCTGCTGTTGGTGCCGCCCGCCTGCTCAATCATCTCGATCGACGGCAGCCGGACGTTGCCCCAAAGGTCCTGGTTGCGCTTGTTGAGCAGGCTCGCGCTCATTATGGCCGCCACGGTCGGGTACTTGACTGTCAGCAGTGACTCCTGCGCCTGCAGGGCGAAGCCGTACTGGTACTCCTGGAAGGTCTGCATCGCGTATAGGCCCGTCGTCGACGCCGGCTGCTCGCTGACCAGCCGGATGACCCGCAGAGCCGCCTGGCCGCCCAGCGGTGACAGACACCACAGCAACAGGATGAAGACGCCCAGCAGGTTGACCGATCGCAGCTTAACGTGTGTCGCCACGGCCCGGTAGATCGACTGGCTGCCAATGTACTGCTCCAGCGTGGCCACGCTGATCCCGCTGCGCGTCTGGACCCGGAACGTCGCATAACGCCTGAGGGCACCGCCCAGCGCTGCGCCAAACAGGACGGGAAACACCGTGGGCGTCTGCCGATGGTCAGCAGGAGGCCGGGTGCGTGCAGACGGAGGGGAAAAGAAGACACACGTATTGGGCGATCCGGTCCAGCCGACGGCCCCAGGAATTTTTCGAGTCGGCGTTGGAGCCGTCGGCCTTGAAGACGAGCCAACCAAAGGTGAGGAAGAGCACGCCCAACACGGTCATGCACAGGTCGACAAGAAAAAAGGCATACTTGCTGGCTCGGCCCACGATCAGCTGTTTTGCTTCTGGTGGCGGAAGTCCGGCCGGTTCCTGCGGCAATGGCATCTCGTGAGGCCAGTAGCTCGTCTCGGACGTTGCCGGCGATTTCTGCGGCCATGCCATGCCGGATTGTATCATGTACGCCTCATCTCCAGGCAAGTGCGTGTAGACGGGCGCCGTATGTGGATTCGCTAAATTTTGCATCGTGGAGGGGGTGGTGGGCAGCTGATGGCGGCGGGAAGGGTGATCTTACACGTCGAGGAAGCGTGACGAGCCTCGATGGGATATTAGCGCCGCTCTTCGTACTGTCCATCTGCTATTATGTATCTATCTTACGGAGTACTCCGTATCTTACAGATAAATCGCCAGCCAGGCCTTTTTCGACAGGCATATTCAAGCTTATATCACGCTAAGCCCTTTATGTACGTACTAATCAGGACTGCTTATGTAACCCCAAGGCTACGAAAATAGAAAACTCCGCAGTTGCGGTGTACTATGGAAATGAACCGAAATCTATTGCGATTTTGATTTACTCCGTACGAACAACGAAAGCTGCTACCACCAACAACGAAATGGCTTCGCCTTGTGGGCCTCCACCACCTATTTCGACCTATCAGACGTATGAAGAGGCCGATAAAGCTATCAATGAGCATGCTGCTTCAAATGGCTACCGTCTAGTCATCAAGCAATTCAAGCCTTCGAAAGCAAAGTTTACAAGCTGCTATTACGCTTGTTACAAGCACCGAAAGCCCCAACAAAATCCGAGTACAGCAGAGACGCACCCGGCAAAGAGGCGGAAAACTAGTACACAAATGACGCACTGCCCTTTCAGTATGAGCATTCAACAAGTAGCCGACGGCTGGGCTGTTTCGGCAGCAAAACATACCCATAACCACGCTGCTGCTGAAGACATTATGCTGAAAAACGACAAACTTGCCTTCCTTTACAAGTACGCAGACGAGATCGACACTCTTGCGGCAAACTCAGTGCCGCCTCAGTCGATTATCGAGAGCTTGGTGCAAAGAGACAGCCTTGCGAAATTGATCAACAGGCACGACATCTACAACTTTGTGCGAAAAAGGCGTACAGAGCTTAAAGTTGCCGAGACATGAACAAGCACGAGATCAGTACACATTAAGACACGACAACGCAGCAGACATTTGAGCAGTATAATATGTATTGTTTGTCGTTCTAGCTCGATCTCCGATGTAAGCTTTACGCAGCGATAGCGACGGCAAGTGGGCTCGCCTTGGCTACGACATCCACGGCCAATGGCAGTTCTGCAACGCCATTTGCTACCTCCCTCGAGCTGTCCTTGACGGCCAACTCCACCGACTCGGCATTCTGTGCCTTGGCTTCGACCCCGTCCTGCTTTTCTTCCTCCTCGTTCAGGATCTGCTCGACCACATCCTCGACACGGTACAGATACACCCAGCCGGCACCATTGTCGCCCGACCAGACCCGGTTGACTCGCTCTGCGATCTCCTCGTGCAGCGGGAGATTCTCAGCGGCCACGGCAGCAGCAGCGGCAGCGCCACGGTCGAGCGTGTCGTAGAGATTGGCATAGTGCAGCGAGCGGGCACGGTCATAGACGGCGAGGGCGGCGGAGAGTGGACGGTGGCCGGCACGGGCCCAAGCGAGGGCACGGGCGAGCGTGTAGGCGTCCTCAAAAGCGAAGCCAGCACCGGCGCCAAACGCACCCGAGAGCGGGTGGGAGGCATCACCAAGGAGAGCAACACCGGCAGCAGCTGATCGGTTCTCGGGCGTCCGCACAATCGTCGTCAGCCGCGGCCCGTTAAAGAGGGCAAATTCCTGGGTCTGGCCGCTGTCGGCAGCAAGGCGCAGGATAGCACGCAGCGGCGGCGCGAACTCGGCATAAAGCGGCAGCAGCCGGTTGAGGTCAAACGGCTGGCCCCAACTGGCCTTGCTGGCGCGCTCGCGCTCCTCTTCGTCGGCGTCCTGGGCACCCGGCCGGATCCGGGCCGTCAGCTCAAAGTCGTCGCGGCCTAGCGGGCTCGTGAAGACGTATTTGCCGCCGACAAACTGCCAGAAGACGGGCGCTCGCGGGATGCCGTTGATGGCGGCTACGTCCGACGCCCGCAGGATCGTCCGATACGCTGACTGCCCGTTGTACTGCAGCGTGTGGCCTGGGGACACAAACTGCCGCACCACGGAACGGATGCCGTCCGCACCGATGACGAGGTCAAACGTCGCTGTCTCGCCGTCTTCAAAGGCTAGCCGGAAGCCTCCGGAGCTGCCGGCCTCTTCCAGGGCCACCAGCTTCTTGGACAGGCGGATGCGCGAGGCGTCCACGGCCGACAGCAGCGCGCGCTGCAACTTCGACCGCAACATCCGGCAGCTCACCTGGTGCGGCGGCGTGTCGGCCGAGTGGTGCTTCTCGGCCAGCAGCACGCCCGTGACGGCGTCACGGTGCTGCGCCGAGCTGCCGTCGTCGGGCCGGAAGAAGTCGCGTGCGTCGATGCGCTCTGCCATGCCAAAGCGCTCTAGAAGTCGCCACGTGTGCCGCTGCAACGTGATCCCGCCACCCGTCTCGCTGATCCGCGGCTTCTTCTCATACAGAGCCCAGTCCACTACCGGCGGCTGGTCCGGCCGGTTGAGCTGTCCCAGGGCAATCGCTGCTGCCAGGCCGCCCGGGCCGCCGCCAATGATTGCAATCTTCCACGGGTGAGTCATTGTCTCTTTGGTACAGCTCCTTCAGTGTTGACTTCTTTCACGCATCAAACGGAACAGCAGGGGGGATCTTCAGGACGGAGGCTTCCAGGCGGCGATGGATGTGTAGGCAAAGGCCACAACCAGGGAATAGCCGCTGACGACGCCGATACTGCCATCGTAGTATTTATACTAGCCGTACTTCCGATGGCGTCTTACGATCTCAGAGAATTAGGGCAATGATATCTGGCGATGCAAGTCTATTTCTGCGCATACGCCAGCGAGAATCGATTGCGTCATTCGGCTGCATTATTGTTCACGTTCTTATCTTGGGTGGTGAAACAATCTGATTACTTACACCAGCACGTGCTATTGATCCTGTGACTTGGTACTGAGTACTGCCTGGGAGGAGGTTAAAATTGCTGTGCAAATAGGGAAGCAGCTTGGCTACCAAAAGTCCTTTCTGACCGCCTTTTGTCCCACTATTCGCACTAAGTCTAATTAGGAAATATATTTTCAAATTACATTCCGTCTCCTTTTTGGTGCATCCTTTCGTCCCTCCCTATATTCATTACTACCACCTAAAGCGATTACCTGCTGAATATGCCACGGTATCCTCTCAATCCACTCCCGAATACGGTCTTGTTTTAAGTCTGCCCACGCACGCTGCCAGTCTGCCTCTGCTTGTGCCTTTGATAAAGGCGCGCCAAACTTAGTAGTCTGCCTTTTTAAGTGCATCCAGCATGGCTCGATCATATTTAAATCTGGTGAATTCGGGCACCAAATCAGCCTTTGAACGTCTGCACGGTTGTATACAACTGCTTGCGAAGCATGTGCATAGGCTAGAGCTTAGTCTTCTTAAACTAAGAAGTTTGCACTGCACTTGCGGGCAAAAGGTATTAGCTTTAGGATAATAATATGCTTTTGGTAGCGGTACCAGTTAATACCATTACCGCTCTTACGAGTAGCTTTGCCTGTTTGCTTTGTAAACTTCCATTGCGGCTTTTGTCCTAGTAGATTTCGTAGCCTAATACAACGAACACTAGTCTTAAGCTCCTATGCTTTATAAAGTTGTGGTTCTATTTACTAATTCTATAACGCCAACTCTTTTTCTAACTCTGCACGCTCTTTTGCAGTCTTAGGATGCTAAATATAGAACGGTCCTTTGTTATCGTATGCAAAGCATCCCTAGAACATAAATTCAGAGTATCCCTTCTACCTTTCTTAGATATAAGATTGTAAGAACCTTTTGTCTAGAGCTCTCTAAACTTTGTAGCTCCCCCGTCGATGGCAAAGAAGAACAGACGTTTCATTAGACTAGATTACTTTTTTCTAATCATCTAATGTCTAGTGTTTATAGCGCAAGCACTAAGCTAACCGCTCTTGTTTCATTAACTCTGTTAATCTAGGCTTTTATGTTAGTTTTGTCTTCTTCATCCTAGCGTTTCGGAGAGTGCGCCAAACTGTTATTGCTGAAACGCTACTAATTTTATGTGCTAAATAAGCAGTTGTTTTTTCTCGTCCGTAGCGGTCGGTGCGAACCTTTGTAAGAACCTCTTCTTTAACTAGTTCTTGCTTTCAAGGGCGGCCGGTTCGGTTACCGTCTGCAACGTGGATATCTGTTAAAGGTGTACTTGGGTAGGCCAGGTAAGTCAGGCAGGCAAGGAGGTATCTTCTTAACAGGAGGAAGCAGCCGTATATTCAATAGCTAATTCTTGCCTTCTACACTCTAAGGGAGTGCGGGAGGCGCTCTTTATCGTAGGCGCACCTCTGGCGCACCAAGTGCGCAGGACAGGCGCGACCCCGTTTCTACTTGGCCCGTGCGCTAGCACGTGCTGTGGCCTGTGCGCAGACTGCGCCACGCAGCCTGCGCCACCAGCACCGCTTCTAGTTCACGATGTGCATCTAATACACTGTGCGCATACTGCGTACGGCTTGCGCGTAGCCTGCGTCGGTCCCCTTCCTGGGGCGGCGTTACAATATCGAGTATAACCGGCGGGCGTGCATTAATATTAAAGCCACGGCTAATAGTTTTATCAAGAAGTAGATGTACCTGCCGTGCAGAAATACCAGTAAAGGCTTCGATTTGATTATTCGTAGCACCGAATAGCTTTAAGCTAAGGGCCTGCGCCCGGGTAGCAATATCGTATGAAGGCATAATGAATTAGATGTAAGAAAAAACAAAAGGCGCGACGGCAGCAGCGGCAGCAGCGGCACGGAAATGTAAACAAATAATTCTGCCGGCATTATTTAGATTTGTGGGTCTAAGGCGGTCAGAAAGGACTTTTGGTAGCGACCTCTGTACTGGGCCTTGGGAAAGGAAGGTGCGAGGGAGGGGCGAGGAGGGGTATCAACTACCCCTCCTCCACCCCCCCTCTGAGGGATAGACTTAGCACATTCAATCACCGTTTTCGAGAGCCGTCGAGGCAGTCGTTTTGTTTTCTGTTGTTTTCGAGTGTTTATCACGCGTCTTTCACTTGCGTCGGATGAACCGTGCCAAAATGGGTTAGAAGTGAGGACTTGTGGCACAGGATGAAAGATACATGTACCCTGTGGCGTATGGCGCCAAGCCCCACCTGTTTAGTAGGGGCTCATGCACGTCGGCATAGTTCGGAAGTAACTACGGAGTACACACAGCAATACGCATGTTCTCGGGGCGCCCATAATTGACAGCTTGATGTTCGAGTATGTCTACGTGCATAGTACTCCGTAAGCGTCTACGACGTACTTGGGACTTGCGGCCTACTGGTGTACATACTGTACTTTTATTACACTGTGAAGACGAAGGTACTGCCTCGTACTCACACTCCGTAACCTAAAATACGTTTCGTGGACTCAGCCTGGGTACATAGGAACGGCACAGCATGTGATTATTTCAGGTAGTAGATTGATTAAGAGTACTTCGCCGTGGAGAGATGCCAGCCTAGCCGATAGTAGCTTGCATCCTACCTAAAGCACACTCACTACCACAGGTTCGCCACAAAATTGCCTCAATCGAATGGCCAGTTGCATCCCGACGGTCCCTTCTAAGAGAATGCAGCTCGTAACACAACTCATAGTCAACAGTGCTAATGACCCTCTGCTTGTCCAGTACTCTGCATTTTACTATTAAACTTGCAAGCCTGGTCCCGAAATACGGGGACAGAGTTTTATTGCTACATCTCATACGATGCACTACTATATTTCTCGCTGCTATTAAGAGCCTATGCAGGCAATGACTCTGTTATGATCAACGAACTTGCTCTCCTGAATACTTATCTTGTCGTATCCGCACCATTCGCATCATCAGACAACATCGTGACCGCGATGCCCATGCTTGATTAGATGAACACTAGCCAACCTGCATCAGACAACGTTTGGATCTCGGAACAGGTCATGCATATGCTACATACGTATGACATGTGGCGACGCACTTCGCAGCACGAATCCGGCTGGTCGAAAGCGGGCGCGATGGGCCATCGATTTCTACCCGTTTGGTGCCACCGCTCTGATTATATGGTCTGTCATGCTGTTTGCCAAGCTTCCTGCATCCGTCGAGCCGTGGTAGTAAGCGACGCTACGGGAGATAACACGGCTACCGACCAGTGAGCGAACCATGCGCCGAACAGTAACGTATCATCCAGTCACATCGCAGCCTCGGCCGGCGATAGTGCAACTCGTACTCGGCAGGCTAGTGTAATAAAGGCCAGGCAACCCCGCACGCCGCCCCCTCATCTCCGCTACAGGTAGAATTTACCCCAGATGCGGCAGGTGCTAACGTGGATGCAGCTTAGTGCTTCAGCATTCCTCCAACAACAAGCTGCACGTCTGCTACAATCAGTCCACCCATACGCAAACAATGGTCCCCGCCTCTCCACGGGGAAAGTTGGAGTCGCCTTTAGCCGAGAGTGAGCAGCGACAGGTTGCAAAAGGTCGATCTTAACCGCACCAGTCACACGCCTTTCCGCTCCTCCGCCCGAGCTTAAGCCTAGAGAGGACGTGCTCAGTGCCTGAAAGCAGGCCGGCTGTTGTCCAGCTTCAGCACAACTACGGGGCAGCATGACAGAGGACTAACTGGAACAGGCATGCAGGATTCGGCAGTGTCATATCCACCTTTCCTTTGTCAACCTATGACGCCCCCAGAACTGCTAGCAGCCCAATTATCCACGTATCACACGCCCAGAAATACAAAATCCGGGGACACGATGTCCAGCATGGCGTCAACTATCGTATTTTAACCGGAAACTTATGCGAGTACCGGTTGCCGGTGCGGCATGGTATGACCAGACCCCGGTCCCTTTGGCAATATATTAACTCGGGTTAGGCCCCGTGGCCTCCTTCTCTTGCTTCTTCATCTCGACCGAGCACATCAGCCACTACTACCTGAGACACCATGAGCGATTCAAAATCGGCCACAGGCGTCACCGACGTGCACCATGAGGGCGATATACCCGATGAGAAGGACCCCAAGGTCCTGGCCAATGCGGATCTCATGAATGATGCCTTTGACGGCGAGAACCGCGAACATGAGATGGGTGCTTGGGAGGCGTTTAAGAGCCATCCATGGGCCTGCTTGTGGGCTTTCATCATGTGCTTCACTATTGTCAGTCAAATCCGTCATTGCTTGGTTGAAGTGCATGAGTATCCAGCTTACTAACGCTCAAATCTAGGTCATGGAATCATTCGACATGTTCCTCAACACCAACTTTGTCGCTCTTACCGCTTTTCAAAAAAACTTTGGCGTCCCCGTCAAAGGAACTTCCGATTATTCTATCCCGACACGGTGGCAGAGCGCTCTCTTCCAGTCTGGTCAGTGTGGTGCCTTTGTTGGTGTCTTCATGGCCGGTCCCATCACCAATCGGCTGGGCTACCGCTGGACAACCATCTTGGCTCTCGTGCTGATGAACGCCACTATCTTCATCTCCTTCTTTGTGAGGCTCCCTGAAATCATTGAGGTGGTGACATAATCTAACGGCCGTGTCTCGCCAGGCGGACTCTCTTACCGTCCTCGTCATCGGCCAAGCTTTTGAGGGTGTACCCTGGGGTCTCTTCATCGCAAACTCCCCTGCCTATGCTAGCGAGATCGTTCCTCTCGTCCTCCGAGGCGCCTGCACAGCGACACTGCAAATGAGCTGGTCTATCGGGTCTATCATCGTCGCTGCAGTCACGTATGTCTACAACAGGAAGTCCGGCCAGTGGGCTTACCGCCTGCCTCTGGCCTTGCAGTGGATGTTCCCGGTAAGCCTCTGTTCTTTACTACTACTCTACATCTTCGCCTGCACGGGAAGCTTACGCTGACTGATCTCTCGTCTAGACCCCTCTCTTGGTTCTCGTCTTTCTGTCGCCCGAATCTCCCTGGTGGCTCATTCGCCGTGGCCGTAAGAAGGAGGCTCTCCGTTCGATTGAGCGCCTCGGCGACAGGGCCGGACAGAACGCTCAACAGACGCTGGCGATGATGGAGCGTACCGTCGAGATCGAAGCGCAGATAGGCGGATCCCCGACGCTGCTTGATCTCTTTAAAGGCACCGATTTGCGGCGGACAATTATCACGTGCTTGATGTATGCATCGCAGAACTTTGCTGGTAACCTGATTGCAAATCAGGCCACCTTCTTCTTTGAGCGTAAGTCAAAGCCCCGAGACAGACGTTGACAAAAGGGAACTAGAAAGCTGACTCCCCATGCAGAAGCCGGAATTTCGCCCGAGAAAGCCTTCCAGCTTAACCTGATCAATTCGTGCCTTCAGTTTGTCGCCAACGTCTGCTCCTGGTTCCTGGCTTCCTGGTTTGGCCGCAGGACCATCTATCTCTGGGGCACAGCCACCAACATCACGCTGCTCTTTATCCTCGGAATTTGCGCATCGGTCGAGCAGAACCACAAGACCAATCTTGCCCAGGCCTGTTTGGGTGTGGTCATCTCGTTTGTCTTTGCCGGTTCGCTGGGACCGATCTCGTACACTATCATTTCCGAGACATCATCCGTCCGTCTTCGGGCCCTGAGCACGGGCGTCGGTCGTGCTGCCTACTATGTTGCAGAGATCCCGATGATCTACCTGGCCTCGAAGCTGCTCAACACGACGGGCTGGAACCTTGCGGGCAAGTGCGGCTACGTCTGGGGAAGCACGGCTTGCGTCTGCTGGGTCATGGCCTACTTCTTCCTTCCCGAGCTCAAGGGCCGCTCCTACCGCGAGATCGACATCCTGTTCAACCGCAGGCTCCCTGCCAGGAAGTTCAAGTCTGTCGTCATCGACGTCCAGGACAACCATTAGAGGGTTTCTGGAAGAGCCAGTCACGAAGACAATGTACGATCGTATTATGAGATACCGTGAGGGATTTTGTCACCGGTGCACTGTCCATGCCGTTTCAACGTAGCTTAAATCGTACGAATGTATATAATCACAACCTTAGTAATGGTGCCTGTGGTGCGAGTAGAAGTTAGTCCAGTATCACGTGCTTTGACATCACTGCAACTTCATCTCATCGGATATACGGAATGTGCGTCTTCGACCTACGTCCACGCAAAGAAGAGCGTTCTTTTATAAATACCACCAAAGAGAACCTGTCGCAATGGTACCTCATGTCCGGCCGAAAGCCACGTCTGTGGCGGCGCATCTCTCCGGTGCAACGCCTTCATGGCACGGCCAAATAACTGCGGACGGGCCGTTCAAGCCAGAGACAGGCCGGTACCACCTATATATCGGTGAAGACACATATCCCAGTCAGACGGGGTTTCTCCCAAAAATGTGCTAATCGCCTTTATGCAGGTCTCTTCTGCCCGTTTGCGCAGCGGGTGAACATCGTGCGACACCTAAAGGGCCTGCAGGAGCTGCTGCCGATGTCGGTGGTCAAGCCGTATCCAAAGGGAGACGAGACGGGCTGGCCGGGCTGGGTGTTTCCCACGTCGGAGACGGAGTACGCGGGTGCGACGCCGGATGCGCTGTTTGGTGCGGCATACCTGCACGAGATCTACTTCCGCGCGGATCCGCAGTACGCCGGCCGGTTTTCTGTGCCGGTTTTGTGGGACAAGACGGACAGTACGATTGTCAACAACGAGTCAGCCGAGCTGATGCGTGACCTGCAGACGGCCTTTAACGGACTGCTGCCGGAGCGAGACGCCAAGTTGACGTTGTACCCGACGCGGCTGCGAGCGCGGATCGACGCTGAGACCACGTGGCTGCAGCGCGACCTCTGCGTGGGTGTATACCGGGCCGGCTTTGCGACGACGCAGGAGGAGTACGACGCCGCGGTGCCACGGGTGTTTGCGGCGCTGAATCGGCTGGAGCGGCTGATTCACAGAAACGGCGGTCCGTTTGTGCTGGGGGATGCGCTGACAGAGTTGGATGTTCGGGCATATGCGACGGTGGTCCGGTTCGACGTCGTGTACGTGCAGCACTTCAAGTGCAACCTCGGGACGATCCGTCACGACTACCCTCAGGTGAACAACTGGCTCCGGCACTTGTACTGGGACGTTCCCGGCTTCCGCGAGACGACCGACTTCCGCCATATCAAGGAGAACTACACCAAGTCGCACCGGGACATCAACCTGCGAGGCATCACGCCTATGGGGCCGTGGCCCGACGTCGAGGCCGACTACGAGTCGGACGTGGCCAAGGTGCCCGTCGGGGGTGTGTCCATGCCGGTGGTGCTTGAGCTGGAGAAGACACTGGAGACATAGATGGGCTGTAGAGGTCACGTGTCAAGAACGGCAACAGTTAAACCTATAAGTTCTTGAGACCTAATTCGAAAAGTTACGCGTATAAAATCTTCAAGATAATCACTATAACTTTAAGTGTAATTACTTGAACGTATATCTAGTATAACCTCGTGTAGAGAAAGGGAAGAATCCTGCACCTTGGCTAGTCAGAAGCTCTTTTCCATTTTTGTTTAACGCAAGTGTCGTGTTCTAGACTCTCGCCTTCTCCTCATTTCGGTGGCGTTTTTGAACGAGTCACAACGAGCCACAACACAGTCTACCAGACCAACAAATCTAGACTACTAAGAACGCATGATATTCGGCTTACGTAGCAGCTAGTATAATTACAATTTTGTTTCTGTTATGGCGGACTTCTTCCAAGGAGGCTACATTGACATGTTGACGTAGCATTCACTGCATCGCCAGCGTTTCTTTGATGTTTAGTTCTAACCTTCTTTAGTCAAGCTTGCAGTACTAATAGTAGCGCTGACATTGCTTTCTACGAGTATTCATAGTCGTGAACAGTACCGGACGTCTGACGCTCGACGCCCGACGACGCCCGAACCCATGCGGCAAACGAGTTTTCTTATAAATAGTACATGTGTAGTCTTATGTTTATAGTTTTTGAAATGTTCTCGCATGTGTTCTACCAACGCTTCCCAAAATGCCCAACATAGGAAACAGGGAGGAATCTAGTGACAGAAATAACAATTCCCGTCGAATGGCGGAAAGAGAACGAGAAAAGGGGCGTAAAAAAGAAAAGAAGACAAAGGCACCAAAACTGGACAAGAAAGAGGAGCACCGAGAACAGACAAAAAAAAGAGAAGGTGACAAAACATAATCGAGCAGTCGAATGGTACCAGGCAGTCAAACATTACGCCACCAAGTAAAGCGGCTACATTACGAATCACTGAACGCTACGATCAGACATGATGAATGACACACACCCCGGGGGCGAGGAGGCCGATGGCAACCAGGTGATGAATGATGTAAACGGAGATGCACAACAACAACAGCCAATTTCTAAGCGAATGTACGAGGCAGTTAGAGATGAGCTATTCTTTCCCTTTTACGAAGTCAAAACGGTTGACAACAGCAAAGTCTATAAAGTTTATGACTGCGAAGTCAGCCTCGCAACTCTGCAGCGTCTGAATATCTACGGCATTCAAAAAGACTTGCTAGATGTTGTCAGAAAAATTGTCAAAGACAAAGAGTTCGAAGTATCCGCTCAAAGAAGGCCAGCGGCGGAAACAACAGCGGTAGCAGCAACGGGAGAAGCAACGATCGCAGTGGTACAGCCACCTGCGGAAACACCGTCGGTTGCCCCAAGAACAACCAAGGACGAAGTAAGGGTCTTGATGAAAGAATATTGTGAGTGTCAGTCCAAACAGCGCACGGTTCTCGGCATCGGCTGACACAAAGGGCAAGGCACTGCTTGGCGAGATTGGAACATGATTGCAAAGGAAGTGTCCACTATCGACAAAGATCACTTCCGCTTAGACACACATCACGAACATTCCCGCGATCTTTTTCAAGCGGCGGGGCTTATGGAGACGGCCTTGGTCAAAGAGTACGCCTCAAATGAAGGACACGACAATATCCCCATTGAGTGGGACGAGCCTCTCTCGGACCATCTACCAGGATTCGGCCGCCACTACAAACAGCACACAGAGAAGCTGGAGGATACTTTTTGGCGCTTCTTCTGGGCCTTTGGTTGCGGAATATCACTGGTCGGCCCAATGCTGATAATGGTGCTGATAGACTCGAAACTCGCGAAGCTGCTAACAGCGTCCATCGCTATTATTCTCTACGGTATCGTCGTGGCGATCATCTCTGCTGAACTCATTCCCGGTATAAAACTTCCCGACTTTGGGATCAGGGATGTGGTGGCAGTCACGCTGGCTTATGCAGCGGTTATGGTTGTGTTTGTTGGAGTCTCCTAGGTTGTTCGATGAGGGAAAGGACAAAACCGGCTTCGGGATTCGTGATTTGGTTTTGCTGGTATTTCTAGTCTTCTCAGATGTCATTTTATTTACGCAGCATCGTCTTACTAAGTAGCAAAAAGTACGAGGATGTTCCTACAAGCACTGCATTGCAAAACCAAAACCAATAGTATCCTTTTCAAGGGGACATTCACTTCTACTTTTATGACATGGAAATTGAAAGGCCCTATCATAGTCGTACTTTGGGGCAGTTTCTATGGCCTGCCAGAAAGAACAGAGCTATGAGTGTTCGGCTACAGTACTTCTCTCATCAGGCGGCATTTACGGCAAATATTCAGAAAAGAACCGCCGTGCGTCGGGGGTATCAGATATACCACCCATTTCGAAAACGAGGCAGGAATCCAGGTGCACGTGGCGTAAGAGCTACAAGTTAGATTCCCGCCATCACAGGAAACGATCCCGGCCTCAAATGCAGAATGTTGGCTATCCAATGACGAAGGCGTCAGATGTTCACTTTAGTCCCACACGTCGGTTAGAGAAAGATACGCATGACTCTGCGGTCAGCATGCAATGCTACACAGAAAAGTCCAATCAGCGGCTGGAGGGTGTTTTTTCTTGACAGAATTATGTGCAGAGGATACAATGAATATAAAGGTACACCTGTCTCGAGGACAGTTTTTTGTCTACAAGCTAACTCAGATTAACATATTGATTATGTCCGAGGCTGTCTATTCCACTAGTTGCTGAACTCGAATACCGTGCGCATCTGCTCCGTACTGTAGCCTGCATTCAGCGCCAGCTGCAGCATAATCCGAGCTTTGGGTGGGCTCAGAAACCCTCCACCAAAGCCGTACTCGACGCCGCCATCCAGGTTGCCTTTGGCGACATAGCCGTCCATGGGGCGCCGCGAGTAGACGATGGCGGTGCCGTTCTCCTTGATGGCCTTCTCGGCAGCTGCGTTACCGTCGTCGGTCCACGAGCCGGCGCCCGATCCGGCAAAGACGAGGCCCTTTGCGCCGGTGGCGACGGCTGCCGGGATTAGGGCTGCATTAAGCTGCTGGTAGCCGTACAGAATGTCGACCTGGGGCATCCCATCGGCCGGATCGTTCGCCATGATGTCAAAGTAAGGTCGGCCGGCCGGCAGTACGGGCGGGTAGTAGAAGACGGGGCTGATGTCCTCGAAGACGCCCAGGAAGCCCTGTTCGTAGGCCTTGAAGGTGTCGAGGGCATTGGCATTGGTTTTGGTGGTGTAGTAGGCGCTGGCGATGCGGTCGTTGAGCACAATCATGACGCCACGGCCACGTCCCTTGGCCGAGGCGGCCAGCGTGACGGCCGCGAGCAGGTTCATCGGCCCGTCGGCGCTGATGGCCGTAGCCGGCCGCATGGCACCGACCACGACCACCGGTTTCTCCGTGCGCAGCGTCAGGTCCAGAAAGAAGGCCGTCTCCTCCATTGTGTCGGTGCCGTGGGTCACCACCACACCCGCGACAGTCGGCTCATCGAGGGCGGCCTGGATCTGCTGGCTGAGCCCGACGAGCAGCGTCGTGTTCATCATCTGGCTGCCAATGTTGCTGTACTGCACGCCGCTGACGTTGGACGCATTGCGGATCTCGGGCACCGCGTCGATAAGAATATCCACCCCCAGCGCACCAGCCTTGTAGCCGGTCACCTCGGAGGAGGAGCTGGCACTGCCGGCAATGGTGCCGCCCGTGGCGAAAATGGTGATGTTGGGCAGGCTGCTATTGGACGTGTCCCGTGCCGACAGCAGCCCTCTCGGCAGCGAGATCGGAGAACCCTGGGCGCCGATGGCCGAGGCGGCCGCTATCACGAGTTTTCGGAGGGACGGCATCTTGGAAGTGCGTTGGCTGAGGATGTAGCATTTGCGGAAGACGGAGTACAAGGGACCTATATAGGCAAGACATTATCGCTCGTAGCCCAAGACACATTTTACGCTTTCCTTGTTAGGCCTCGATACAAACGATCTGATAGCGTCCGCGTGGTCCGGACTTCCACAAAACGGCCTTGCCAAGACGCAGATTTCCGCAGAGTATATCACCTCCACTGCAGAGCTACGTGCTTGGCGAGAGATATTACAGACTTCCTGAAATACGGGGCTATCAATTGCCGCATTCGCTATCTGTAAGCTGGAAATATGTCTCAAGTTGCCGGCAACTCTTACATGTCAAAAACAAACCGCCAAGCCTCCGGTTATTTCAGAACAGGACAGCCAAGACATCTCACCTTGATATTCGATGTTTCTTTTTACAAGAAAACGTTACAGTCAGAAAGAGAGCCAGAAGCAGCATGTCATCGAACTTTATCAGCGCTCTGCATGCATGCCTTCACCTGTAGATCGGTGAGCAGGACCATATAAATAGAAAAAACCTACCCTGTAGCTCAATCAGATATCCGTTCCATAAGGCATGAACGCTTCTAGAAAATCCAAACACGTGTCAAATCTGTTCTAAGCATATTCGGACATCCAGCTCTTGACCTGGAGATCGTTTCCGTTACCAGTCATGCCTGTCACCTTAGGAGCTGAACTGTGGATACGGTGATCGGCAGACTCGGTTGCGGTTACTGACAATGACTTCAGCAATCCCGGCCCGGTCGTGGCTATCCGAGCACCTTCAACGCTACGCTCGACCATTAGAACGTCCCACATGGACGTTTTCGTCAATTCCAAGTGAGTCTGAGCGACTCCACAGTTCTTTCTATCACGTCATCTACGAAGTATGATTAATAAGCAACTGATATTCTAAGCTAAAGAAAGCCGTGTTCCGGCCTTTTGTGTTATATGCTCGAGTAAAACTTTCCCATACGGTTCGTCCACCCACTTTATGCGCCTGTTCGCCACATTTCGTCCTCAACGTAGCTTCTCCTCGGCATAAATCTTTACCGACTTTAGAATTGGAAATGTGTGGCAGTCACTCTGGTTTATGCAGCGATCATGGCTGTGATTGTTGGAGTCCTTAGTTTTTGATGAAGGGAAAGGAGAAAATAGCATGGTAAATTTGTAATTTAGTTACCTATTCCGTCTTCTCCCAGACCGACTGTATGCTATTTTAGGGCCATCTTCCCGCTTCTATTACAGATCATTTGAGATAAAAACGAAAGATCGTACCACAGTCGTAAGATACTTTGGGGCAGTCTACACTTATGCCAACTTCCGGCGCCAAGTCACATGCTTGGGCACGTTTTCTGCATAGAACGGCTCGAAACGACCCCACAAATCCCCGTATTTGGAAAGTGGAGACGAATGAGTCTTAGCAGAGATATTGCCGAGCTTTGGTCTGCCAAGCTTCGATCTCCCCGCTCCCAATTAGCAACGGATATCCGATGGTTTGGCTGTTTTTCTATCCTGATCTCCTTTTCCCAGATCTAGTTGTTTTAAAAGCTCGAGCTCTTCTGTCACAATGGTAGCTTCAGTGAGGGTTGTGCCCAATGTAAGTGACTGTTAGGGCTATTTAGCTTAAGCCGAAGAACCGACAAGACTGCCAGGCACGGAGAGGGGGAGTGTTGTGGGCTAACAGTCTCTTAACACTAGGCCTCTGTGCGAGCTGTGAGTTTGCTGCGGAGCATCCAGTTCGGGCACCCGCCGTCCTGTCCCTGCCACTCAAACCCGGGCCACCATCACCATCAGCAGGGGTCTGCCGTGACACCGTACGCTCGCCGGTCACGACGGGGCTATGCGACGCCGCAGCAGCCGCAGAAGGAATATGCGTTTGAGCTGGCGGCGTCGTCGATCCGGTTTGGCAACGGAGTCACGGGCGAGATCGGCATGGACCTGCAGAACATGGGGGTCAAGAATGTGGCCGTCGTGACGGACGGGACGGTAGACAAGCTGCGGGCGATGCAGCAGGTGCGCGAGGCCTTGGATTCAGAGGGCATCCGGTTCAGCGTGTTCAACCGGACGAGAATTGAGCCAAAGGACGAATCGTGAGTGCATTCTGTCTGCCCGGTTTTGTCCTGTTTTCTTTCCTTCTTTCTTTCTTCTTTTCTCTTGTTTGTCTTCTTTCTTCTCTCTACATTCTCCTCTGACTTTATAGAATCCTGGAGGCCATTGCATGGGCTAAGCCACTGGCCCCCGATGCCTTTGTGGCCGTGGGTGGTGGCTCCGTCATGGACACAGCTAAGCTGATGAACCTGTACACGTGCTACCCGGAGGCGGACTTTCTCGACTTTGTCAACGCGCCGCTAGGCCGCGGCCTGCCGGTAGACCGCAAGCTGCGGCCTCTGATCGCGGTGCCGACGACGGCGGGAACGGGCAGCGAGACGACAGGCACGGCCATCTTCGACCTGGTCTCGCGACGGGCTAAGACTGGCGTGGCGCACCGCAACTTGAAGCCGACACTGGGCATCTGCGATCCGCTCAACACGGCGACAATGCCGGCCGCAGTCAAGGCCAGCTCCGGCCTGGACGTGCTCTGCCACTCGCTCGAGTCCTGGACGGCTATCCCGTACACCGAGCGCGTGCCACGGCCGGCCAACCCGCTTCTCCGACCGGCTTACCAGGGCGCCAACCCGATCAGCGACATCTTCTCGCTCAGTGCCCTCCGCAGCACCGTCCGCTACCTTCCCCGGACCGTTCACAACCCGGACGATGACGAGGCTCAGTCGCAGATGCTGCTAGCCGCCACTCTCGCCGGCGTCGGCTTCGGTAATGCTGGCGTCCATCTCTGCCACGGCATGTCTTACCCGATTTCGGGCCAGAACCCCGGCTACAAACATGCCGGCTACGTCGTCGACACACCCATCATCCCCCACGGCGTCTCTGTCGCCGTCTCTGCCCCCGCTGTCTTTCGTTTCACCGCCGCCTCCAACCCTGACCGCCATCTCCAGGCCGCTGAGGCCTTTGGGGCTGACATTACCAATGCCAAGCGCGAGAGCGCCGGCGAGATCCTTGCCGATGCCATCACCAACTTTCTCGATCTCCTCGGCGACCAACCCCGTGGCCTCAGGGACCTTGGCTTCGGCCACGAGCACATCGACGGCCTCGTCGAGGGCACCATCCCCCAGGCTCGCGTTCTCATGCTGGCCCCTGGCCTCGCCAAGGAGCTACAGGAGGAAAAGGACCAGCTGCGCCAGCTGTTTGAAGATGCCATGACTCGTTAATGGGCCAGTTCGGCGTATCTTCTTCTTCGACCATACATGGTTGTAGAGACCTTTGCCTTGAAAAGCCAAAATTAGAGCAAACCGAAGCAAAATCTCTTTCCCCTACAGATTGACCAAGAACTGCATTCGCCTGAGGAGAGTTGTCAAGCTGTACATTGATAGCAGCTCTACAATATGGCTCCTGGGCAGGATGACCAGCACCTTCTGCGACAGGCTCTCCGGTACATGTTTTCCACTACCTAGTCGAGCTCCTGTACTCAAAACCGAATCCAATTCTCAACGATAGCACCAGCTTCAGGCAATCTCAGCATTAGGGATTGCTCATGAAAACCCATGCTCGATGCATAAAGCTGTTGTTTTCTTGCACAAGTCGATGAATTCCTCATGGCTTATCTCTTTCGTGGTCGCATACCTAAGCTTCAGAATGCTTTCAGTCATGCGCTGCAGTCCAGCTTCGCCGTTGCGCGGGGAGATTTCCCATTTATTTCCATTCCGTACATTGTAGAGTATCGTCCGTGGAAGCCTTCCGTTGGTCTGAGTAGCAAATAGGTAGGTGTACATTGCTGCCTGCAGAAAATCCTCATGAGACAACCGGGAGACAAACTTGATTTCCCAGATACAGTCGACGATCTTTTCTTTACGTCGGCCCGGAGAAGTAGACATTGCAATGATGTCGGCTTGACCATTGATTATCATCTCCCGATCTCCCAAAGTAAGCATCCGACTGCAACTGGCTTCGAACTCGAAACATTGACCTGCCAGCAATTGAACTCCCTTCTCAAGTCGCCCGACAGCCAGCTGGAGATCCCCGGGAGCCATCCAATTGAACGGGTGATTCTTCATCTGATTCCTCCGTGGCACGTACTTTGTGGCTTCCGCAACGTATGCGCATGCTCGTCTGCAAAGCCATGGGATATATCGCTCCGACCAAATCGGAGGAACTACATCAGATGTAGCTTCTACGTCCACGCGGAGTGTCTTCAATGTTCCAGACAAATTATGCTCAAAGGCTGCAGCAACAACGAGGCCATTTATGTCGCTCACAGTCTCGTAGAACTCTCTTTTCGAGTTAGAAAGCACTTCATTGGGAATGCAAATGTGCTCGCTTTTAGGCAACGGTGGTGAAATCTCTCGGATATGTAGGTCTCGTTGAATGATATCTTTGAGAGCCGAACTTTCTGCATATCGGGTTGTGTCTCGCACGGGAACAGCAGACGAAATGCACAGTTTTTCCTCCGATGGGCGTCCGGGTTTGTTCGGAGGCTCCATACCTTCCTGCTTGTCTGTAATGTTCACAATATCGGCCGTTTCGCACAGTGCCTTCAGGGAAACAAAAGGCATAAGCTTCTTATTGTCGTCGTGAACTATGACAATTTGATTGTTGGCACGTGTCAGAGCGACAAAAATCTCGTTGGGGCAGCGGTCATCTGGGAGATTGCGTCCCATGTACCGGAAGAATGAGTCGTTGATATCGAAAAGAATGGTGAGCTCGCGTTCGCTTCCCTTGAACTGGTGGATGGTGGAAACGCAAAGCTTCCCGAAAAGAGTCCTGTCACTCATAGGGACACTATCGTCGATGGATACGTATATAGGTATTCTGTATGTATCGGACAACGTATTGACGAATTTACGCAGTGGGTCATTACCGCGTGTCGCTGGTGCTATGATAACAGTGTTCTGTTCCCCATGGAGCTTTATCAAGGGAAGCAATGTTTTGGCCAAAGTATGGCTGTGGAAGGGGTTCCATCTTAGGACAATGGGCTTTGGGCCGGACTTGACGCTGTTGATGTATGGCTCACCACCGAGAAATGCGCTGTTAATAAACTGAACACATTGATTTGACAGTCGAAAGCTTTTACTAAGCTGGACGCCAGCGAAACGGTAGGGGCTGAGAGGTCCAAGAATTTCTGGGGCGAGTGTCAGGTACCGTTGGTCAGCACCGCGGAACTGGTGGATAGATTGCCGCTCATCTCCAAGCACCACTATGTGGGCAGGCTGGCCGATGCTTTTCTTGTCATTGGCTATGACAAAGCAGTTAACCAACCAAAAGAGAAGTTCGGTGCAGTCCTGAAACTCGTCCAGGACGACAATGTCGAAATGTTCCAGATTGCACCAGGGGAGCTTCTTGTTGTTGAAAACATTTTGTCGCTCTTCGACCAGCTCAGCGTCTGTGTATATGACGCGCCTGAAAAGCAAGCTTGCAAGCCCGTGAAAGGTGAGCACTTTGCTATTGGAGTACTTTTTAAGACGGTGGGAGGTCTCCCGTGCAAGGCGCCTCGAGTAGGTGAGCACGACTATGCGCTTGTCGGGGTTTTCAGCAGCAATAACTTCTGCCACTGCTGTCTTTCCCGATCCTGGTCGTGCCGATACCACCACATTCTGCGTCGAGCAGAGCTTTGCAACCTCCCACTGCTCAGAAGATGGCGTGAGTGGGGGTCTGTTTCTCCGCCGGTTCTTCAGAGCAGCATGACTTTGGGTGAAGAAACGGATACTTGGGAGCCGGGAGATCTACAAACGATGAATATCAATAATGTTTAAAAATCCAGCCTTTTTAAATGCCACAATGACTTACCAGGGCTCGTAAACGTGGATTTATGCCCATACTGTCATTGAAACAACTTATACGGCAGTCTGGCATCAGTCAGCACAAGGAGTCAGGAAACATAGAACTAGAACACAGGTGGCCCCCCAAAATACCACAGTAAGCCTGTCCTCATCGAGCCCCGCGATCAAAGTCTTAGAGGAGCACGTGCCTGAAGGAACTAAAAACTAGCGCCGGCCCTGGTGTTTCTTACTATGACGAAATAAAGATGAGGTAAGGCTGTTTTTAGAGGCTTGACAAGCCTGCATAACTACGATGAAAGAAAAACCCAATATCAAAATAAAGGTAAAAACGTGTGTGGGGTCTCTTAGTTGTGCCTTAGGGGTTTAGCGCCCCTCCCTTTGTGGAATAACCCCTCCTTTCCACCTTTCCTTTTTGACATAGCACTTCCTAAAAACCGTGACGAGAACACTGACTAAAGAATGGAATTAGGACACCTAAAGAGTTATATTAAATCGATTTTACTTTTCTCGTTCGCCTTTCGTTTGGTTAAATTCGTTTCCTCAACTGCAAACAGTTCTTTGTCGCCTACTTTAGAATACGTGTGCCATACGGAAACTTGTATTGGTTTGCGTGCAATATCGTACGAACAAATTCTTGTAGGCGTATGTAGCCATGATGAATTTAGATGCATGCCGTCTTTCGGCCCCATGTTTTTGGCTTCACGCACGTGCGCCTTTTTCTTCTTCTTTATTATAACCAGATTCTTCCATTGCGTGCATTTCTCCCTTAATCTCAGTTCAAGGTTCGCTTTAAAGCGTCCAGTTACCAAATTCCTTGATGATAATAGACAGTCTTTTTATCGACGAAGGCGGATAAAGATGGTAGACTCATACATACTTACATTTACCTGTGCTTCCAGTTGACCGGTGGTTTGAAGAAGTAAAGGAAACGGCCCTAGGACAACGGTGAGCTGTAACCTGCGTCTAGACTTGGCGCAACGGTAATGTACTCTGTTTAAACGCAGACAGGTTGGTGTAGTCGGCTTATGGGTACGGCTTTAAGAAGATTGACGTCTTTAATAATTATGGACTAGTAGATGTTTGCTGCCGGAAGAAAATATAGGATTGAACGCACTAGCTAGGGAAGTTTAGCCTGCGGGTAAATAGGGTGTTTTTAGCGAGCAAGCATTGTGTCAAGGTTAAAGGAGGCTATACGTGGCGGTCATATAACGTGATGCACTGTGAGGAGCAGGAGGCTGAATAGGGTCTAGTGTGGGCGAAAGAGTGTTGTGTACTAAGGAAGAAATAGATACATCGCGACCCTTCTGGGGATCCGTATTAATACTAGTGTCAGGCCCCGCTTTTGTGCCTTCTGACCAATTACAGGCCCGTACGGCCAAGTGGGGCGGAAGGGCCACAGTGTGGCGGATTCCAATGCTTGACACATTGCCAGAATCGGCCCGTAAGAGCCCCTAGTGACACAGTTTACTGCGCAAAGACGGTATCGTGATGGGATGGACTGATACTATCTGCACGTGCAGAGCTAGGTGATGCACGCCGGTATTTAGTCTGTGCATTTTCGCTTGGCAGGCCGAAAGATGGATGTTTCCACGTACTCGGTCAGAGCATGGTGCGACGTAGGTGTACCGTTGGATGAGGGTTTATAGTGGAAAGAAAGGAAATCAGTCTACATCCTGGCTATTTGCTAGAACTGGCTTGCTGTCTTGATGCATTTTAGTCGCAATTGACTCTCTGAAAGTGCGGGGCCAAGTCCCGTTTTTACACTCCACCGGCAGCAATTCTCTGTAGGCAGATGGGATCTAGAATCAAGAACAAGGGGGACGCAATCAGCGACACTTGTGATAGCCATAGCCCCGGTTCCCTATACGTCTCCGGAGATTCGGCGAGCGAGTTCGGGTCTCGGCTTTACGAGTATGTCACGGGCTGCCCATCGGCATAATAGCTGCCGATGGGCAGCCCCCGATCCGGGGTTTAGGATACCCCATGGTGGGTCACGTCTGTGCTTGCAATATATGCGGGGGTTGGGTAGCATCGCCAGGACTAGGGCCGTAGAAAGGGCCGACTACTTTGGTCCCAGTTCCGCCATTCGTTAGCAGACAACTGCAGGCTCTTGCGCGTATTGACCGCAACACTGGAAACGCTAGGAAACTCGTTGCTGTCACGAGGGTGTCCAAATGGGAGTATTCGAACTGAGCAGGCCGACGAGGGCGTGAAAGCTTACGATTGATGGATCCGCCAGTAGTGTATATTAGTGGCCCAATGCTCTCTGCTACCACATTGAGGCCCTTGACCAAGTCTCTGCTCATCCACAGTCTCACCAATGCGGCCAGAGACACTTCACTTAGGCCTCGCCGTCCTCGCTGGCTTGGGCGCCAGCCAGGCCTCGACCTTGATCGAGGAAGACTCGTACTTCTATGGTCTCTCACCGCCAGTTTACCCGACGCGTGAGTCAGGCTCCGTCAACCGCTGCTTCTGGATTTTTCCACGATCCTGACACGGAATCCATAGCAAATACTTCTGGCACGGGCAGCTGGGCTTTGGCCTACTCAAAGGCCAAGGCCTTTGTGGCGAAATTGACACTAGAGGAAAAGGTGGCCAGCATATGTTGCGGCTCTCTGGCCGCTCATCAGAAAACACACCGACTGACATATGCAGGTTAACCTGACGGCCGGTATTACGCCCACAACGGGCTGCTCTGGATCTGTACCAGCCATCCCGAGGCTCGACTTTCCCGGTCTCTGCCTGACTGATGCTGGCAACGGAGTGCGTGGCACCGATTTTGTCAGCGCCTGGCCGAGCGGCCTGCATGTTGGTGCTTCGTATGTTCAATCATGATCCGAGGTCTGGTTGTGCCACTGCTGACGTTTTCCAGCTGGAACAAAGCTCTGGCCCTGAAGAGAGGCAAGGCCATGGGAAAGGAGGCCCTGAAGAAGGGCGTCAACACGCTCCTGGGTCCTGTCGTCGGACCCATGTTCAGACTTGCTGAAGGTGGCCGTAATTGGGAAGGTGAGAACGCTCATCGCTTTTTGGAGACACGAGAAGAACAAACGTCAGCTAATCTGAACAGGATTCGCTGCCGACCCATATCTCAGCGGTTCTCTGGCTGCTGAATCTGTGTCGGGCCTTCAAGGGTCGGGTGTTATGGCCTGTGTCAAGGTGAGTAGACTTTGCTTGGAATACGATCGCTGGGACAGATCGCTAACAACATGCATAGCATTACATCGGGAACGAGCAAGAGACACAGCGGAATCCCAGTGGAAATGTGTCGGCTGTTTCGTCCAACATTGACGATACTACTTTGCACGAGCAGTATCTCTGGTAAGAACACTTGCTGCCTTGAGCCGAGGAGTGCACAGAGTTCTGACAATTGTGGCAGGCCGTTCCAGGAAGCTCTCCATGCGGGAGCTGCTTCCATTATGTGCTCGTACAATAGGATCAACAACTCGTACTCTTGCCAGAACAGCAAACTCCTGAACGGAGTGCTGAAGGAAGAGCTGGGCTTTCAGGTAGGATTGTCTGGGGCTCTCCACTTTCTGTACTGAACGTACATCTAACGGAACGACCAGGGCTTCGTTGTTTCCGACTGGTATGCCCAACATGCTGGCTACCCTGCAGCTGCTGCCGGACTGGACTTGGTGATGCCCTCTTCGCTGACGTATTGGGGTGACAACCTGACTTTGTCGGTACTCAACGGGTCCTTGTCCGAATCCCGGGTGGACGATATGGCTACTCGGTAAGTATTGCTTGGTGATTAAAGCTTGTCTTTGGTTTAGGCCTGTCCTTTCTAACCGTTTTAGAATCATCTCTTCGTGGTATTTCCTGGGACAAGACGACTCGATCCCGAGTCCCGGTGTAGGCATGCCTCTGGATCTGCTGTCACCGCACACGATTGTGGACGCCGTGGACCCCACAGACAAGTCAATACTGCTGCAGGGCGCTGTGGAGGGTCACGTGCTGGTTAAGAACGTCAACGGAGCGTTGCCGCTGAAGAAGCCGCACATGCTCTATCTGGCAGGATACTCGGCGCGGGAACCGGCTGCCAACTCACCGGAGGACGGATATGGCTGGTCCCTGAACTGCGAGTCATCGATCGAGATGGCCGAGGTCTTTGCCTCCACGCTGATTGGCAACGACCCGGCCTCTCGATCGCCGGCGGCTGCCACCAACGGCACCATCATCTCGGGTGGCGGATCGGGGGGTGTGACTATGTCGGTCTTTTCGACGCCCTTCAACGCGCTCGTCAACCGGGCGATGGAGGACGGCACGCAGATGTTCTGGGACCTGCGATCGGCGGCGCCGACGGCCGACGCGGCAGCCGATGTGTGCATCGTCTTCGGCAATGCTTGGGCGTCCGAGTCGCTCGACCGAGTCGGGCTGCGCGACAACGCCACGGACACGCTCGTGACCAGCGTGGCTGACAGCTGTGCCAACACGGTGGTAGTGCTGCACAACGCGGGCGCACGCATCGTCGACGCCTGGATCGACCACGCGAACGTGACGGCGGTGATCTTTGCCCACCTTCCGGGTCAATACAGCGGCCAGGCGCTGGTCTCGCTGCTCTACGGCGACGACGACTTCTCCGGCCGGTTGCCGTACAGCCTGCCCCGGCATGAGGACGACTATGGCAGCGGTCTGCTGTCGCCAACCGTCGGCGCTGGAGACTACGCTCTCTTCCCCCAGGCCGACTTTGACGAGGGCGTCTACGTCGACTACCGGCACTTTGATCGCGCCGGCACAGAGCTGCAGTACCCCTTCGGCTTCGGCCTCAGCTACACCACGTTTGCCTACAGCGGCCTCGGCATCCGGCGCCTTTCCGCCAGCAGCAGCGGCAGCAACCTCACATGGGCCACGTATCCGAGCGGTCCTGTCCATCAGGGCGGCCAGACCGATCTCTGGGATGTGGTGGCCCGCGTGTCCGCCGTCGTGGCCAACACCGGCTCCGTGGCCGGCCAGGAGGTCGCCCAGCTGTACGTCGGCATCCCCGGCGCACCCGTGCGGCAGCTGCGCGGCTTCGACAAGGTGGCCATCGGCGCTGGTCGCTCGGCTACCGTGATGTTTACACTGACCCGCAAGGACCTCAGCGTGTGGGACTCAGCAGCCCAGAAATGGAAGCTGCAGAAGGGCAACTACACCGTCTCCGTCGGTTCCAGTAGCCAGACACTGCCGCTGAAGGGTTTCTTAGTTCTATAAGGCTTTAAGAGCAGCACTTCCAGATCAAAAAGTATATTGGACCAGCAAAAACGTACAGCAGCGGGTATTCGCTGGTCGTCACCGACCCAACTACTAATCCGCCGATTACTGGTTTAACTAGGGGAGAGCGGACGGGATCCCGTGCTTTCCAGTATCTATGGCCGTACGTGCAAGGAGCACGTGTGTCTAGCCTTTTGTAGCTAGGTAATGTATAGCGTCTAATTTCAGTAGTATTGGATCCTTTTTCCACCGCACCTCCTCAACCCTCATTCTCCCAAAAGTCTGCCACGGCCTCGAGGTCGTCGACATTGAGCAGGTCAACGCCATTATCCCAGAGCGTGCGCCAGATGGCATTGCGTGTGCCGACGGGCCAGCCGGGCTGGTCCCAGTAGCGGACCTTGATGCCTTTGCTGTGGGCGACACGGACCTGCTTGCGCAGACGGACGAGCTGGCTGTCGTTGAAGGTCTGGCCGAGGACGGTGCCGAACTGGACGGCGAAGTCGGTGCTGGCAATGGGCGACACGTCAGCCGTGATGTTGGCAAAGGTCGAGTCGAGGTACGGAATGGGCGCGTCGTAAAAGTAATCGCGGAGGGTAACGCCCTGGACGAGATTCAACGGCGTATTTCCCGTGCCGATGACGGTGACGGGGCCGGCAATGACGGCGCTGCCGTTGACGCGCGTGAGGTAGCCGGCACGGCGCAGCGGCGCGAGCGCCTCGACGACATACGGCCACGTTGACGGCCCATCCGTCTTGACATCGACAAAGAGGTAGAGCGTCTGGCCTGAGGCCGTGTCGAAGACGCCGTTGCGCGTCGGCAGCGACGACACGTACGAGCTATTGGGGTTTTGTGCCCGCAGCACGGCCAGGATGGGCTCGACGTAGAGCGACGCAAACGTTCGCGCTGCCGTCAGGGCCGACTGCTCGTGGCCAACGTGCAGCGTGCCATTGTACAGCCACACGTCCGCCTCGATGCTGACGGCACCGGCTGCGAGCGCGCTGTAGAACGGCGCCGGTCGCCAGTAATCGTTGTGGCTGTGCACGGCCCTGGGCACGATCCCCTGCGTCAGCCGCGTCGGGTATGTGAACAGCGGGTTGGCTGATGCGCCGTCAAGGATGGCCTGTAGCGGGCTCGACAGCGGCATGTCCGCTTGTGCGGAGATCGGCGCCACGAGGGCAGCCGAGGCTGCCAACAGACCAGTCCAGGTGACATGCATCTTGGGTAATACAACAAAACCGACAGATCAACCAGGGGCTAAGAAAGACGTTCTTTCGTTGGCTGTGTCTTTCTTGTTGGAGTATGAGCACTGGCGTGATTTATATAGCTGCACCTACAAATCACACAACCTACACCGAATCTGACGCGGAAAAACGGTTCGTGGGTCCAAAGCTGAAGACTGGGCCCAGCCAAGCCAATCACTATACACACGTGCTTCCCCTCTCCTGTCAATCCTTGGCGTGTTGAAGGACACTAAGACTGGGACGGAATGGCGACAGGATTTCACACGTGCGGCCGTCTTATTGGTTGGAAGCTGAAAGGAATGGCGGTGCTTGTTGCGAGCATGCATATGTATCTTACGAAGAGAAAGAGGGCAATGGACGCTAAAGTCGCCTGTCTCGGTTCCCACATGACTCTAAGCTGCTTAGCGGTGAGAAGTAGCTGGTTGTATCATAGAACGGCCAAAGCCAGTGTCTGAGAAGTGTCTTGGTGTTTGCTCTCGTGTAAACTATTCACTTGATCACGGAATGCATAATCCTTTTGCCTTTGTACTCGGACTCTTATTTCTACATACCGTCCAACCTATCTCCGTCGCATAACCCAGATTTTAAATACACTCTTTGCCTAAAACGCGGTCTGAAAGTCTCACCGTAGCGAATGAAATAAAAGGGTTTAGACTAAACAGCCTACGAAGAGCTTGCGACGCGGATGACGGGGGAGAGCCAGGTCTGGTAGCTCGAAGCTAGGTTGACTTTGGCACCGTAACGGAGCACACGTAGAAGTGCCCGGTAGTCGCCCGGCAGAATCTCGGTGATGACATCGATGTTGTCATCGTACAATTCGGGACCCACGTGCCAGACATAGCCGGACGGCCGGACGTTCGAGAGCTGTTGGTTGACATGACCGTACGATGTAACCCCAGCCGAGGTGAAGTTCAGCGCCAAGGGAGGGTAGATCATGGGCAGCGACGAGTTCGGCACGCCGTAGGGGTTGGTGCTGTTGTCAAAGCCGTAGAAGTCGGGCACGACGCTGGTGTTGTAGGGCAGCAGGTCAATGTAGAACAGCTGGGAGTTCTGCAGCGTGACCCACTCGAGGTAGGGGTAGCCCAGACCGCTGAGGTTGAAGTCGAACACGCCAATGTCGCGCAGGGGCGTGAAGAAGTCATGCGAGTTGAGCATCCAGGGGACAACTGAGCCGGTGACGTTGGTGTTGTCGATCACATCGGCCTTCTTCCGGGAGTACGGCTGGCCAAGGTAGGTGACGGTGACGGACTCGAAGCCGCTGCTAACCTTGATGAAGCCAGAGTACACGGGAAGGAAGCGGTCCGGCGTATCCGTCGGAGGGGTGAAGGTGGCCACAAAGCTGGCTGACTTGCCCGGCGCCAGGGTGAGGGTCGTCGTGGAGAAGCCGACAGTAGCGTACTGCTTGTACTGGCCGTCCAGGGCGACCTCTGTGCCGTCCAGTACGACGAGATACTGCTCAGGCAGCAGGTTCGACTCACCCGCAGGCTCGTGGGTGATGGCTGTAGGAACAGGTGGTCAGCAGTGCCAAAACACAGTGCGCAAGACGAATACATACTGTACGTCTTGGCCGACGGGCTCTTGTTTGTGACGGTGATGGTCTGGGGCACCAAGGCGTCCAGATCGCCGAGGTTGAGCTCCGACGGCGAGACGGTCCAGGGCACGAACGCGGCGCTGAACACATCGATCATGCCAGCGCCCTGCTGCGTGACCGAGTCGCGGGTCGTGTTGTCAAAGGTGTACACGATGCTCTTGGCATTGCTCTGCAGGCGCTCACGGATCTGCTGCACCGACTCGGTCGGGTGCTGCGACTTGATGAGGGCGTAGGAGCCAGCCGCGTACGGCGTGGCCATGGAGGTACCGCTCAGGATAGCGTAGCCGGTGCCCTCAAGCGGCCAGGTGGCGAGGATGGATTCGCCGGGTGCCGAAAGCTGCGGCTTGATCTGCAGCGTGTCGGACGTCGGGCCGGTGGACGAGAAGTAGGACATCAGCCCGGCCGATGGCTGCTCCGTCGACTCGAACACCTTGCTGTCGAAATACAGCTTGTAGTCGCCACCGCTGGCGAGGCCTGCGATAACCTTCTTGCCGTCGTCCACGCTAAGCATGATGCCTGGCCTGTCAGTACAGAGAGGAGAGAGTCGATCTGGGGCGGTACAAGTGACATACCGTAGTTGGGGATGCTAGGCTCCATGGTATTGAGGTCCTTGACGAAAATCCCGCCGTCGTCTACAGCATAGACGAGCGCGTACGGCAGGCCATACGTGGCAGCAGCGTTGAGCTTGGCGGCCCAGCTGCAAGCCGAGCTGGCAGGGACAGCAATGATGGAGTTGTTCGGGTTTGGGATGCCGGCAAAGGCAGCCTCCCAAGCAGAGACAGTACATCTTCAAGTCTGTCAGCTGAGCTGGTCGAAGAGAGCGCGAAAAAAAGACAGCAGGGTGGGACTTACCCAACGGGCGAGGTCGTATTCGACGCAAGCTTAGTCATGTCGTACACCTTGAGGCCAGTCTTGGGTGCCGAGACCGGCCAAGGGTTGCCGGAGTACTGGAGAGAGTTGCCGTTGGAGTCCCGGGCAGTGTAGACAGTGGGAAACTTGGCGTTGTCCAAGCAGCCGACAGCGATGACCTTTTCGCCCACAGCCGGAGACGAAGTCAGGGCCGGGCCACCATCGTTGCCTGCTGCGACAATGACGGCAATGCCCTGGGCTTCGAGAGAGGCGGTCACGTTGAGGAACGGGCTGCCGATGTACGTTAGCAAAGAAGCTCATTTGTAGGCATACGCATAGGGACGTACTCGTCTCGCTGCCACCGCTCAACAGAGCCTAGGGAGATGCTCAGGACGTCGACCTTGTCCTCGACAGCCTGCTGGAAGGCAAGCATCATGATGTCGTCCGAGGCGCCGCCGGAGCAGCCAAAGATGCGGTACATGCCGAGAGTAGCCTCAGGCGCGACGCCGACCAGCCCGAACGTGGAGCCAGCCGGATCCTCCATGCCGATGATACCCGACGTGTGTGATCCGTGGCCGCCACCAAGGCAGGTAGCCAGCGGGTCATCGCTTGCCACGGCCACGCCGGTGTCGCCGTAGTTGTCGTCGACAAAGGCCTTGCCGAACGAGATCTTGCAGCCCTTACCGAAGCAGCCGCCGAGGGCCGGGTGGCGATAGTCGACACCCGTGTCCATGACGGCAATCTTCATGCCCCGTCCCTTGATGCCGAGTGCGTGCAGCCGGTCTACGCCCGTCATGATGTGCGGGTGGTTGACATCGGCGCCGCGACCAGCTTGTGCAGTCACGTGATAGGAAGAGTTGCCGGAAACCATGGTGCCCGTGACGCCGCTGCCGATGGGGGCCGGTCGCGGAATGCTCCGGACGGGCCACACGTTGACGACTCCCGGAATCTGCTGGATCGTGCTGGCGTTGCTGCTGTCCTGCACCTGGATGGAAAGGCCGAGGAAGACGTCGGGGTTCTTGAACTCCAGGCGCGTGTTGTACCGGATCGACGGCTCTGCCCGCTTGTGGAACTGGAAGTGCTCATCGCCCACGCGGACGCCCCTGTTCTGGTCAGCAATCGGGTACGGAGTCCCATCACGGACACGGAGGAGACGGACCGGCGCTTCAGGCTGGCACCGGGCGCCAGCTGGATGAGATAGGCATTGGGAACAATGCTGACAGAGGTGTTCACAGGCGACACGGACTGCGCCACGGTCGGCGAGCCCAGGGTGTTGGAGTAGTCGGGCGTCTTGAACTTGACAAAGTCATTGTCATCCGAGTTCTGTCGGTCAGCACAGGCCCGCGGCTGGTCAGGAGGACAAAAGGGACCTACTATGTCGTTGAGTCCCGGATGGGCAGCATTGTATGCGGCGAAGTCTTGGCCCAGAGACGCAAGCACGGTCGAGAACGAGGTGCTCACGACGGTGGCACAGAGCAGGCTGAAGGCGCGCATTGTCACGGATCACGGTGATTGCCCGGTCTGTCGCTGTCTCCTGTCCGAGAGAGAGAAGAAGGAGCACACGACACGGGGACGATGCAAGTCTATATGCTCGCGCCTCACTGCCGTCAATCGTGTCCCTCACCGTGTCCCTCACCGTCTCGGTCTAGTAGCAAATGGGCAGGTCCCATCCCGTCGGCCTCTCCTAGATTGAAAGCGGCAGGTATTTCGATGTCTCTGTTCTAAATACGAGCCTCGAAGCTCCTCCATTGGCAGTGTCTGGCAGAACAGCTCTGCCCAAACGGGACTGCCTGCTAAGGCTCTTGGCATGCTGGACACATATACGGCCCGCAGGCATGCATTCGCCCGAACTATTGGCAACGTCGCGTCGTAACGAGAGAGGACAGGTTGGGACCTGCCCAATGTCTCCTTAGCCGGTTGCAGGGCTCGCGTGGCCTGACTGACACCAGTGCCTGTTTGCAGTCACCCCGAGATAGGATCGTTGTAAAACGGATGATCCCTCGTATTGACTGATAAAGGGCCTATATCTCTGACCCACCGGCGCACGTCCCGTTTACGTCTTGGAGCCGATCTGACGTGCACCAGCTTGTCAGGGCTCCATGCACGGGCACAACTTAATATCGGGCCAGACAGCACACATGACGCTCATCGTCGCCCCCACCTGCTGGTCTGGGCGTTGACAGTACATATGTAGTACGAGTGCTCGTAGATAAGGACACCGGCAGCCACGGAAAGGTGGGGAGACTTTGCTGCAGGGGAACGGTTGGGGTTATGACGACAACATCAGCATTGCAGCTAGCAGAAACATACGCTCTATGGAGTACTTCTAGACGGTGTCAAACGATGTCCCAAACAAGAGATCGCCCTCGGTGCTAGCGAAACCAGTGATGCTTGCATTGATGGATATTCGTAGTGTTGATCACTACCGTTTTGTTAGCCGGGAGGTTTCTAGGAAACATTTTCCAGGATCTGGGTCTGCTCGATCACGGTCAGCACGCTGCAGCGTTGCATTCTGTCTTTCCGATTCCGGTTTTAGTATAGCCGGCCGTCAGTTCTCCTTGCATCTTCCGAGCACAACGCTTTACTTGGTATTATCCCGAATCTACTAGTGTACTCGTGCGGCCGTTGCTAGCTGCTGCCGATTCTGCCAGCGTTGCAAATACTCGTACTGCTGCTGGTGTGATGCTGCTATTTCTGTTGCCATTTCTGTCACGAATGTCGCTGCCGCTGGTATCATTAGGTTTCCGCCCCTCCGAAAACAGAAGGCGAATCAGGTACGTCAGAACACGAGGTTATCGGCGTGATACATGCCAGAAAGGGAGCTGTCTTCGGGAATACCCCTTCTCACAGTCACAGCGCCAGCGCTAAGAATCCGGTCCTCGTATATGCAGGTGAAAATTAGCGAAGTGGAAAAGCTCGTGCCGTACTCCGTATCTAAGCGACTCCACAGCAGGCGTTCAGCGTTATCTTGGACGCTTCATGGCAAATGGTTCAATCAGCAATGGGGATTCACACGCTTATCAGCAGAGTTCCATTGCAAGCTCCGAGAGCTCGTGTTCTTCCTTGACGAAGCAAGGTCTAGCAGGTTTCGGCAATTCAAGCTGAGCCGAGGTGAGCCGGGCCTAAGCCGAGCCTGGCTATACCCGTAGCGAAAGCGGCATTGTGTTATGTAAGCACATGCGCCGGATGCCCAGTGCAAGACAGCGCGTCTTCAGACCCAGTACGGAGTACCAGCACGTTCACCGGCCGCTCTTCCGGGTGCGAGCGCCGATCTACAGTACGCAGGCCTGTCACGGACCAGCCCATGACCGGACTGAACGCCCGGCAGAAGAAGGTGAGCTGCTCGAGCACGGCCATCAGCAGGCTAAACTATCCTACGACTACTCGTCGATCAGACATGGCCCAGCGACTTTGTGCGCTGTATGGGCATGTGGCCATCTGAAGTGCACGTGGCTGAGTTCCTGAAAACAGTCCCAGCCACGCGATTATTGCATCGCGAGTAGAAGGATCTAGGAGCCGTAAGGAGGTTAAAAGCTTGTGGGTCTCTGCATAACCGAGACGAAGCGCTGAATAGTGTCACATGCGCTAACTTCCAGGGCCAGTCCAATCTGTCAATAACCGTCTCGAGTGCTATAGCCTCGTTTTCAATAGCTAGTGAGCTGCTCATTGATGGCAGGTTCTCGGCTTGCCTACGATCGCCTCGTCGAATTGGAAGATACCAATGTACTCCGTAGCCAGAAACAAACTCCTCGCCCGTCCGGGCGGACACGAGCAGCGCGTGGTACTTAGAAAAGTTGCGGAGTAATTTGTATATAAGTGTCCTTTATGCGTATTCACCACCCTATTGCCTTACTCTACCAGTCAAGTGTGCCTTTAAGAAGACAACACTTTCCACTTACAATATCTCGTTGCATACCGTGATTGGCTGGAAGTTCTGTTTGACAAACTGGTTAACTTATGCTAACGGGAGTTAAGATAGACGTGAAAATGCACTTGTACAAACAGACATTCTATCCAAAAGCCGTCCCAATATTGAGCCTTCCTACAACAAGACCATCTCTGCCGTCTGGTGCGAGTTTCAGAGGATTGCCACCTCATGGCAATTGCGCACAATATACCCCTGATGACGTGCTCAACAAGTCGCGGTGAATGGCCAATTGGACCTTGGCTATCATTGGCCAGCCAAATGCCTTTCTGGTGTAGATGTCTGTTGGAAGTAATCCAGGCTGAGGGGATTTTCCTTATCATCTTCTCCAACCAAACATTGTGTAAGCTATGGCGTGCTTTGCACCCCTTGAGACATCATTTGGATGTCTGGCGATAACAAAGATGGGCAAGTCTGCTGGTTTTGACCTACGGTCCTGTCAGGCTGTCAAGATAGACAAAGAATAGTAGCAAAGCCGGGTAGCCAAACACAATGGTTGACCTCGAGAAAACGATTCCCACAGACGACGCCCAGAAAAAGCACACGACAGCCGGCCAGCAGAACGGCTATGCACGTCCCAATGCAGACGCAGCACTGAAGCTGCTGAACGAGACGGGCGGCCTGGTGCAGCCGCTGGACGCAGAGCGCCACGCGCGACTGGTGCGCAAGATTGACCGGCACATCATGCCGCTGATCTGCATCGTATACTTTCTGCAGTACATTGACAAGACAGCGATCAGCTACGCGAGCGTGACGGGCATCAAGCAGTCGACGGGCCTGCACGGCGACGACTTCAACTGGGTAGCATCCATCTTCTTCTTCGGGCAGCTGGCGTTTGAGTTCCCGACGATCCGACTGCTGCAGCTCTTCCCGCTGGCCAAGTACGTGTCAGTCAACGTGACGCTCTGGGGGGTAACGCTGGCTTGCCTGGCGGCTTGCACAAACTATGCCGGCCTGCTGGTCTGCCGCTTCTTCTTGGGCGCGCTGGAGGCGGCCATCGTGCCAGCCTGGGTGCTCTTCACGACCCAGTGGTACACCAAAGAGGAGCAGGCCTTCCGGGTGGGCATCTGGTTCAGCGTCTGCGGCGCGGCCCAGATGTTTGGCGGCTTCTTTGCCTACGGCGTGGCTGTGCACGTGGGCAGCGACCCGGCCGCAAAGCTGCGTGGGTGGCAGGTCATCTTTCTCGTCCTCGGCCTGCTGACCGCTCTCGTCGGCCTTCTCTTCTGGTTCGTCTTTCCGGACTCGCCCGCCGCAGCCTCGACCGCGCATCCGACCTCCTCCTCCCTCCGCAGCTTCTTCTCCCGCGACGAGACGGCTCAGCATCTCGAACGGATCCGCCACAACGAGCAGGGTATCGGCTCCCAGACCTTCAAGTGGCCGCAGCTGCGCGAGGCCCTCACCGACAGCATGACTTGGCTGTACGCCTTCTGGGTCTTTGCTGCCAACATCCCCAACTCCATCGCTACCAGCTTCGGAAACATCCTCGTTACCGGTATGGGCTACTCCAGCCGCAAGTCGTTGCTCCTCGTCACGCCCCTCGGTGCCTGGGAGATCGTCTTTCTCGTCGGCCTCACCTACGCCGGCATGAAGACCCGCCAGCGCATCTACTTTTGCGTCGCCGGCCATATCCCTGCCATTGCCGGTGCCATCCTTATGGCCACGACCGACAAGGTCGCTGCCCTCATCGGCTACTACATGTCTGGCGGCATCCCCATCGGCTGGACCACCATCCTCGGCCTCCAGGCCTCCAACGTAGCCGGCTCCACCAAAAAGGTCACCGTTGCCACCATTGGCACTATCGCCTATACAGTCGGCAACATCATCTCGCCTCATACCTTCCAGGCCAAGGATGCTCCCCGCTACCTACCCGCCAAGATCGCCATCTGCATCCTCTACTTTCTCATCACCGTCGACCTCTTCGTTATGCGCTGGGTTCTGGACCGGCGCAACATGAAGCGTGATGCCGAGAAGGCTGCTCTAGGCGATGGCTACATCATCGAGCAAAACCACGAGTTCTTTGACCTAACTGACCTGGAGAACAAAGAGTTCAGATACGAATTGTAAGGGAGAGTGAGGGATCGCTGTACCCTACACATCGTCTGTCTTTATTTAGTTCCATCATAGCAAATACATCACTTCGTCAATCTTCCTGATGTCTATCTACAAGCAGAGCCCAAAAAAACGTCTGAGGAAGAGTCTGCGCTGGTAATAGGAGGGTTCAGCGGTACCGGCATCAGACCCATTTACCGGGCCCACTATGGTTTCTCTTGTGATAGGCTAGAAGATTAACCCACAAAGGCTTCTTCGGACACCCGCTATCTGACTTCCTCGTCGAGAGATTGGATAAGAGAAAAGCGATATTGTCGACAGTGATGACCGATACGATGACCGAGACAGCGTTGACACTGCCTGCGCACAATGTCCTCAATACGGCCCCGGAAGGTGGCAAGGCCAAGCGAATCCACACCATCCCGTTTCCGGCGACCCCAGAGGAACATCGCCGGTGGCAGCTCGAACAGATGGCGGGGGCCTTCCGCATCTTTGACCGGCTCGGATTCGCCGATGGCGCCAGCGGCCACATCAGCCTGCGTGACCCTGTTGAGCCAGACACGTTCTGGATCAACCCCTACGCAGAGCACTTTGGCTGCCTCCGGGTGTCAGACATGGTGCGCGTAGACGGTGAGGGTCGCCGCGTCGGCGGCGCCAAGAACAAGGTGGTCAACACAGCCGGCTTCATCATCCACAGTGCCATCCATGCTGCGCGTCCCGACATTCACGCCGCCTGTCACGTGCATAGCCCGTTTGGCCGTGCCTGGTCCACGTTTGGTCGCCCCCTCGACATGCTCAACCAGGACAGCTGCATGTTCTACGACGATCTGTCTGTATATGCCGGCTTCGGCGGGGTCGTCTATGCGGCTGAGGAGGGCGTGCGCTTGGCGGCGGCGTTGGGACCGAGAAATCGCAGCTTGATCCTGCAGAACCACGGTCTGCTGACGTGCGGAGGAACTGTGGCCGAGGCGGCGGCCTTTTTTATTGCCATGGAGCGAGCGTGTCAGGCACAGCTCCTCGTCGAGGCTGCTGTTGCCCCTGGCACCGCCGGCCAGGCCGTATCGGGCTTGAGCAAGACTTTGATTGGTGAGGCGGAGTGTCGCTACACCAAGGACGGCACTGGCACGCCCGAGGCCATGTATATGCAATTTGTGCCCGAATATCAGCGCATATTCAAGGAAACGGGTGGCGACTACCTGGAGTAGCGAGTCATGGGTCCAGCCAGAGGCATGGGTCCAGCCAGTTCTATGATAGATTTATGATAAGCATCCGAGGTACTCAAAAGCAGCGGCACTTTTGTTTTCTTTATGTAATTCGTATTATCCTACTTTAGCTAAGTTACACGGACATTTTTCGGCGTCTGGAGTATAAGCTGGCGGGACCATGGCACTAATGGTGGGACACGTACCGAGCTTGCGAGGTCCGGCTGCTGTGGTTCAGCCTATGTCTACGGCTGTTTTCATCTCTACGGACTTACATCCGCCTTCTTGTTGCATTACTTTACACGTCATTCAGCAAAGACGCGTTGATCGCTTCTGGCACCACGATATAAAGAACTAATAGGTGGGCATGAGACCTAGGAAGCTTAGGCAGTGGATTGTAGGCTTTCATTTCTAGGCCGTCCGTTGACGGAGCCGTTCTAAACAGCCGAAGCACTCATGAACTGAGCGGGGAAGTGGAGCAGTGGGGCGTCTTACGGAGTATTCCGTAGTTCCTTTCCGTTCGCTAAGTAGTGGGGCAGCTTTCCAATTATAGTAAAGTGCGAGCCCCGCTTCCATTACATGACGTCAAGTATACCCCCTCTTTCGACTGTATAATACACGTTAAACCCCGTACATGGTTGACAGATATGTCTGCTGTCAAGTTCTCCGTGCATTTCATGACACTGACACAATCTCATAAAAATGGCAGCCTCGAAGATGAAAGCTGTCAACTATGTTGGCCCTAACGAAGTCCGCGTTGAGGATGTGGAATTGCCCAAAATTGAACACCCTGATGATGTTATTGTAAAGATCACGACGGTGAGTCTGCTGCTTCCCTCACCTGGAATGAGGATGTCAGAGGGTTTGCTGACGTTACATCTACTAATTAGTCAGCCATCTGTGGCTCCGACCTTCAGTACGGACCAGAGCCACCTGTGCGAGATGATATGATAGTCTGCTAACATTTTTCTACTCAGTATGTATGAGGGGCGAACAGCTGCTAAGCCCGGAATCACTTTCGGTAAGGCTGTCCTTGTTCTTCATATAATACAACAGATAACTGACCCGTGTGAAAAAGGGCATGAGAACATGGGCATTGTCCAGGAAGTCGGAGATGGCGTCTCTCTGCTCAAGAAGGGTGACCGGATTGTGTTGCCTTTTAACGTTGCTGACGGACGATGCCGAAACTGCGAAGAGGGAAAGACAGCGTTCTGTACAGGAGTGAATCCTGGGTTCGCTGGCGGTGCTTACGGTGAGTTGTTCTAGCCTGTTTCAGCAGAGGCTGCTGTAAAAGAGAAAGAGAGAAATGACATGCTAATAAAGAACATTCACAGGCTATGTTTCTATGGGACCATATCGCGGAGGTAAATCAGCAATGCACTATCACTCTGAGTACAATATCGCAACAGTAGCTGACGAAACAATTGTGAAGGCCAGGCGCAATATCTTCGGGTCCCCTACGCCGACTTCAATGCGTTGCAGCTTCCTGCTGGTAAAGAGTTTGAGGCGGACTTTATCCTCCTAGCAGATATTTTCCCTACCGGTAGGCCATTCCATGCTATCGTTCAGCGATATATCTGACATGTACAGGCTGGCACGGCGTCGAAATTTCCGGCTTCCGGTCTGGTGAGAGCATCGCTGTGTTCGGTGCTGGGCCGGTCGGCCTCATGGCTGCATACTCGGCAGTCCTGCGTGGAGCAAGCCGCGTCTATGTTGTGGACCGCGTCCCGGAGCGCCTCCAGGCTGCGACCAAGATCGGCTGCACCGCGATCGACTTCTCCAAGGGAGATCCTGTCGAGCAGATCACAAAAGCCAACGGCGGGCTGGTGGACCGCTGTGTCGATGCTGTTGGCTATCAGGCCAGCAACAGATCGGGTTCTGGCGAACAGGCCAACATCGTTCTCGAGAACATGATCAGCGTCACGCGTCCCTGTGGCGGCTTGGGCATTCCAGGACTCTATGTCCCGAGGTAAGCGTCGAACACTCGGCAGCCGGTAACCGAATCATTGTTAACATTGTCACAGTGATCCTGGTGCTGCCGATGCTGCAACGCGCAACGGAATGCTTAGCATCAGCTTCGGCAAACTCTTTGAAAAGGCAAGTAAGGTGGCAGACATATTGATGGAGCTGCGGCTTGCTGACTACATCACCTACAGGGCCTCACTATTGGCACAGGACAGTGCAATGTCAAGTCTTACAACCGTTACCTCCGAGATCTGATCATTTCCGGCAAAGCAAAGCCTAGTTTTGTGGTTTCCCATGAGATTTCAATCAACGACGCCGCAGATGCGTATCACAAGTTTGCGAAGCGCATCGATGGCTACACCAAAGTGCTCATTCACCCAAACGGGGACTTTTAGGTGGAAGTCGTTCGAGAAATGTACAATCACATTGCAATTCATTTTAAATTGATGGCAAAATCTGTCGTCTTATTGACAAATTACCAGGTCTGGTTTTCATGCGAGAACTATGTGCGAAATCACCTTTGTCATTACCACTCGGCTTTTGACCGTCCTTTTGACCCAGACGGGACCGTGTATTCAAGTTGCGTCTTGTCAAACTTGAAGGCTGGGGCTAGGATTAGGATGTCGTCGTCGAGTCCCCATTCTTTGCCGGACATTTTCCAGTAAAGATCTGGCCGGTTGAATAAATCTGGCCGGGCCTTTTGCATCGCCTGCAGCGTTTTCTGAAGCAGCGTCTGCATCTCGTCATAGTGCCGTGCATGAAAGCCCTCGTTACGAGCCAACAGTTCTCTTGCCTGTTCCTTGTCATACTGTCCGAGTCTGTAGTACCAGATATTGTACTGGGTCAGGCTGACATCAATATCAAACGTCTGGTCGCTTTTGGTACGCTCCAACAGTGCCTTGAGGACGGCAATGGTGCCGATGAGGCCAACCTGGTAGTCCGAGTTTGCTGTGCTATTAGCATATGTAATGATGGGCATCTTGGTTGCTCTAGCCTGAGACTTACGCAAGAGAGGCACAACCGGCTCGTCGAGCCCTAGAAAGCGGCCCTGCAGCCACGAGATGCCGACTAAGCAGTCGCTGATCTGTTGCCAGCCGGATCTATGGGCCAGTGGGCCTTTAAATCCGTAGCAGTTCTCGCGCACGTAAATGAGCTTGCTATTGATCTTGCGCAGGCTTGCCGAGTCAAAGCCTTGTCGTGCCAGCGCATTAGGGCGATACCCATCAATAAGGACATCTGCACCTGCCACTAATGAGGCAAAAGTATTTTTTCCCTCTTCTGTCTTGAGGTCGATGTTGGCATCGCGTTTCCCAGTGCTGAGGTCCATCCACAAAATAGATATGTCGGGCAGGCCGCTGCTTGTGACCTTGATCACGTCAGCCCCAAGTAGAGCCAGGAGCTTAGAGATGACGGGAGCAGCCACAACGCGTGAAAAATCAATCACACGTATGCCTGCGAGCGGCTTGAACTTCCGGTCGACGTCTTTGTCCGGCAGATCCGGCCACGAGGTCTTTGGTGCCAGAATAGCCCGTGTAGTCCACAAAGGTTCGGCACTCATAATCTTCCCTTGCTCTGACGCAAAAAACTCTTCGGGCGTAAGACAGGTGACGCCAGCCTCCTTATATACCTCATTTGCTGTCTGTTCCAGGTATTCAGAATTAAACTGTGCCACCTTGTTCGTATAGATCTGAATAGCCTCGTCACGTGTCACGTCTTGTTCCTCAACACCAATCATCTTCATAGTCGCAGCAGCATTCAAGGAACCATGCAGGTGGTAGTAGCGGCCATCACTAGTTTTGTAGACGTTGGTGGCCTCCATGTGGATAGGCTTGTTTATCTCGTACAGATCACCCTTCTTGAATTCTGCTTGCAGTGTCGGGTTCTGCAGGAAGGATTCACCGTTAACGGTAGGCAGGAGGACGGACTCGAGAAACAGAGTGGCAAGATCTCTGCATCTGATCAGCAACTTATTTTGTTTTGTTTACCGGAAAAAAAAAGCCCCAAGCTGATGCTACTCACGTGTTGACTTCGATTTCCTGGTAGTCGATGCCATACCGATCTCTAGCCACGGCACTTGCCGCAGCAGCAACTAACGCGGTAAGAGAAGAGGACGACTCGGTGATCTTGCATGGCGTTGGGATAAACGGTTTCGGGTCGTCTCCGACAAAGGTGACTTTTCTTGCAGCCTCGACAAATGAGCTCGGCAGGGCTAGTGTCTCATCTTGGAGCAGTGTCTCAAAGATGCATTTGCTCTCGCTTTGGATGTTGTACTGTGCCATAATCAATGCAGTGTGTCGTCGATGCCACACTTTTATACTCTATGCAAATTATATCGAAAAGGAAAAGAAAGAGCTCCGTTGTAAAAACCAGACGGGGACGTACTATATATATATATATCGTAAGTGGAGAGGTAGAGCTACACTCCACTACCCACTGAACTAGCCCATATCGGTAATGTCCTCTTTGCCATGAATTGCCGATGTTGTATTGTCCATTTGGTACTCCGTACTCCGTAGTGTAACTACCATTGTTTCCACAGAAGGCCCGAGCGGCACATCCGGACACCCATGCAGACTAGTTACACCAGTTCTAATGGCCTGAAGATCTGTCAACTATTTCGTGATACGTAGCCGACTTCGTGGGGAACCCACAAAACGAGGTATTTCTACGTCGTTAAGTGGATCCAAAGGTTGCTAGGGGGTTTGGAATATATTATAAAGGTGCTTCGGTGTGTTGCCGAAGAGTTGGGGTTCGCCCAATTTGTATCGCGTACTGCTCGGGCTTCCGCAGTGCATTACTTCATCTGACTTCAGCGACAACTATCCAGACCTAATACCAGCATACAGATACGATGTCCGGCCGTGGAGATGTATAACCAGGCCACCTTAGGAGAGGGTAATCTCATTAGAGACGACTATCTATCAGGTCGGTGCGTTTGAATTGCGAGCATGAATCTCAGAGTTGGTTGCCCAAAGGTAAATACGGTCAAGATTACCGAGTCATAAGCACAGGGCCAGCGTCCCTACCACGAGTCGTCAGCTTGAGCCTGTCTAGAGATGACGCCAGATGTGCTAGACAAGATGTTAAAAAAAAGTGGCAATCTGTCGGCGGTATGTTGCGGACTACGACAATCCGCCCCTAACACGTAAGCAGGTTCAACTGATAAGTTGTCCATCTCATTGTTTACTGGGCGAGGGTATAATATAACCCTCGTGCTTGTCAAAAATAATATCCGGAGTCTCTTCCCAATTCTATCTTAGTCATCCACTTGCACGCTGTTGCAGACATCCCCAAACACAGTCAGAGCATCGTCGAGCTTCTTCCGCACCTCGCCGATGCGGACGTCCACATCGCTGCCCAACGGTAGCAGCGTTGCGTTCTCGTGACCACGTCCCACGCCCTGGGCAGTTGCTACGTCAAATATGGCCTTGGCCACCTTAGTAGGGTCGCCACGGCCCTGGAAAGCGCCGCTGGCCATAAAGCGGATTGTCTGGTCAGCCTCACCACCAGCATAATCCCCCTCAAGTGGCTGCGATCCAGTGTGGGTGGAATTGCCCATATTGGTGCGGAAGCCGCCCAGGGAGACGTAGAGGGCACGCACATTGAAGGGTGCGACCTCCTTTGCCAGTGTTTTCGTCATGGCTGATTGTTAGCGAAATTCGAAGACAAAGACAAAAACACAAAATGTATCCACTCACCGTCACCTGCAGCTTTGGCAGCCCCGTAGATACCCATGGATGGCCGCGCCTCCAATCCTGCACCCGAGCTGATATAGATGATAACACCAAAGCGCTGTCGTCTCATCTGTGGCAAAATCGCTTGCACCAGCCGCAGCGGCCCAAAGTAGAGCGTCTCCGTCTCGGCACGCACCTCGGCCTCGGTCACCTGCTCAATCGTCTGCAGCACGGCAAATCCGGAATTGTTGACGAGCACATCAATGACGATTCCCTCGTCCTTTTCAAGACGCCGCAAGACGCCGCACCAGGTTTTGGGCAGAATTCAGATCATCAACATCTAGAGCCCGCCACTGGCTCTTCCCTTGATCACTTCCGTTGCTGCTTTCTACTCCGTACTGTTCGATCTCACGCACCAGGTCAGCCGTCTTTTCTGGGTTCCGCAACGTAGCAATGACATGGTGACCACGGGCCAGGACCTCTCGTGTCAGTGCTAAGCCCAGGCCTGAAGAGCAGCCTGTTATGAGCTAGGTTAGAGGCCGGTCTGGAGTGGTGGAGCGGTGTTGTGTCGGCGCAGCCATGCTAGTGTCTCAGTTGATTCACGGTCATTTCGAGGCGTTTTAGGGCAAGCCTAGAAAGATATCCGGCCGATTGTGCGCAGCTGATGATCTGGTGATATGTCTGTAAGACCGGTGTTAGCGGCCTCTAAGTCCGAACCGATGTTAAACTAACTCCGGACTGATACAATGGCTCTCCTCATCCGTCCTCGAATTCATACGTCTCTATCAAAAAGCCAAATTTCACTTCATCAATGGGTGTCCAGATACAAGTTGTACCAGAAGGTCAGCTGGCCCACATAAAACCAAGAGGCGAAGATAGCCCCGAGAACAACAACGCTGGGCGGACTTTACCGAGAATAAAATACGTTAAACTATTGGCTACGAATAATCAGTTGCGATATGTAATTGTACACGGCCGAAACTTAATCTTTGCAAGTTCCCTAGTTCTCTGTTATACGGAGTACTGGATATGGTGACCTCCTACGCAGAAGTCGGAAATTGATTAGGGGCGCGAAGGCGTACAATACCACGTGCTCCACCGTACTTGTAATACTGAGTAACATCGTTGAGCGGGCCATACAAAGTATGTACTCGTACTCCGTAGATAGAAAAAGTGCCCCACACAGAACACAGGAGAAGACAATAGCCAAGACTCGGAGCCTCCGAGAACTAAATGCCAGACGTCGTAATTGCTACAGTCCCTCTGGGGTGGCCTGCTTAACAGGAGGATTTTGTGACGCGTCTTCCCGTCTCTTCCCTGTTATTTCCTGTAGCATGTGGCGAGTGCTTGATTCAGCGCCGTCTCCCCGCACCGGATGAAACGGGATTAGCTCCCGTAGGTTCGCTTTTCGGCATTTTCTCCCGCAGTAAAACCTTGCTGATGATCAACTGCTTTTTGTCATTGTGCGCTCTTTGATTCGCTGCGCGAGCTCACGCCCATTGTTACAGACCCCCTATGACTGGTTTTTGGCGGCTTGCATAACCAAATCTGTCTTACTTCCCAGCTAGCGGTCCGCACTTCTGGCGGGGCGGCAGATAGCGACTTTACTTTACCCGGGCTAAATAACAACGGATTATAAGTCATGCCTTTCCTCCAGCTTGACGGTCTTAGGTTCAATGGTATCCGACGTCGAAGGGCTCGCCTTGAAAACCAAAGTACAATATGTAGGAAATCTTATTCCCCCCCCCTTCTCGTAGAGCTCGCAGCCGTCGGTGGCTTTGTAAAAACGGCAACGTGACCAAGATACACTTATTCTGGAGTCATCACGATGCGAGACAGTGTTGTAGACTGCAGGACTAGCGGAATACGACGTCCTCTGGTACTCAGTGCCCATGTCGTAGCTCGCTGTTCGGCCTTTTCCTCCCGCCGTGGATCCATTCCCGATGATGGGTCGTCCTACTCCGTACAACGTACTGTTGCAATTGTCTGTACGTCCTTTGATTCGCCATCCCTGTCTGCAGATTCAAACGTTACATTTGCCTCTTCCCGTAGTAGATTCGGGCTGCGCCTATCGCATTTGCTACCCTCCCGCCTTCTCCCCCTCCTGCACGGTGTCACTTTCATAAACTAGGCCGGGGTCCGGGTTCTCCGGGATGCCACTGTTTACTCCTTTATTCCGTACGCCACCCCTTCTAAGGAATGGGTGCAAGACGGATATATAAGGAGAGGAAGAGGGCCAGTACTGACTTTGGCTCTTATGCTCCTCAACGAAGATTTCCATCTTGCCCTCACTAAAGATGAAGACTCTAGATTACAACGCTGTCACTGTGGCTTGTGCCACAATCGGAGTGGTAAAAAGAAACTCCAAGCTGCTAATGCTTCATTCTACTAAAATCTTTGACCCAGACTGTATTCCTTTTTGTCGGGAACGTTTTCTACAACCTCTTTCTTCATCCTCTGCGCAAATACCCTGGTCCGTTGCTACACCGAGCCACTCGTTTGGGCTATGTTTACAACTTGATGGGTGGCTTTCTGCCTCGACACGTACTTGCCTGGCACGAAAAATACGGCCCAGTGGTTCGCATTGCACCAGACCAGCTCGCCTTTATCGACCCCGAGGCCTGGAAGGATATTTATGGCCACCGGACGGGCTCATACATTGGCACAGAGGAAATGGCCAAGTCTGAGACCTTTTATGTCACGCCTCGCATCCCGCTGTCTATCATTACGGAGAAGCGCGGGAATCACGCAATATTGCGCAAAAAGCTATCTCACGGCTTCAGCGAGCGGGCTATGCGCGAACAAGAACCCATCATCAAGAGCTATGTCGATCTTCTTATCCAGCGGCTGTACGAGAACTGTCATCTGCCCGAGAGCAGTACCGAATACAGTGACGATGCTGCGGCTGCTAGCGAGAAGACCCCCAAGCTTCAGGCATTGGACATGACGGTCTGGTACAACTGGACGACGTTTGATATTATTGGCGATCTGGCCTTTGGCGAGTCCTTTCACTGCTTGAAAGATGTCAAATACCACCCATGGGTGGATGCCATTAACAAGACGATTCTTAACAACAGTGTGCTTATTGCGACCAAGATGATGTACCTGACATTCCTGATAAAGGTTTTCTTCGGCTTCGCTGCAGAGGGCCGCAAGAAGTCGTTGGAAATGAGCATTATCAGAGTCCAAAAACGCAAGGCACTTGGAGTAGAGCGTCCAGACTTTCTTGACGGCCTGATCAAGCCTGGAAAGAACGAGAAGCAGGTAAGATACGACCCGCAAGTTGGCACGTATCTGCGTCTTTGCACTAACTGGTGCTGCAGGTTCTTGATATCCCGCACCTTGCAAGCAATGCCAGCACTTTAGTTCTGGCTGGTTCAGAGACCACAGCCACACTCCTTTCCGGCGTGACCTATCTGCTGCTTAAGAACCCCAAAACCCTTGAAAGACTGACTGCGGAGGTGCGCTCGACCTTCTCGTCCGAGAGCGAGATCAACTTTGTATCTGCAAATGGCCTTAGCTACATGCTTGCGTGTCTCAATGAAGCACTTCGCTGCTATCCACCGGTTCCCTTCGGTATGCCCCGTATCGTTCCAAAGGGCGGTGCCACAATTGCTGGAAACTTTGTTTCCGCAGGTGTACGTATATACGAATCTGCTAGATGATAGGGTTTTCATGCTAACAACAACAGACTTCCGTGGCTTGTTGGCAATGGGCTATGAACTACTCTCCCGTTAACTGGGAGGACCCGAACTCCTTTAAGCCAGAGCGGTTCCTCGAAGGCAGCAGAAATGTAAACGACAATCTCGATGCAATGCAACCATTTTCGATGGGTCCCCGTAACTGCATCGGGCGGAAGTATGTCCCCCGTTTCTTCCCTGGACCTTGATTTGAATAATACGCTGACATTGCAGTCTTGCCTATACTGAGATGCGCCTGATCTTGGCACGCATTCTTTACAATTTTGATATACAACTGGCCGATCCCAATCTGGACTGGATGGAACACCAGGGTTCGTACATTCTCTGGAACAAACCACAGCTCAATGTATACTTAAAGCCCGTTGTTCGGGACTGATCGGCGTTTGAGCTGCGGGGCAGTTGCAAGTTCAAGTTTCCAACGTTAGGAACACACTGTGCTCAGAGAAAGGAGCATTTACGAGAAGAAAGTAGTTAAGGGACAGTCGTAGCGGCACCATTAGAAATGACAGATTGTGTCCACCAAAACAAGAAACAGCCCCCCTAGGATTACAAAATACGTCGTGAATAATGAGTAGTCGGAAGAAAGTTTGCGGACCTACGAAGCAGAGTATGGCAGATGCGATGCTGTATGAAGTGGGGAGGTGTCCTGCCGAAAATCTTCACATACGGTACAGAGTGCAGAGTACCTCTTTTTTTTTTTCTTTTTTGGATATATGGACCCCCCACTCCGTAGAGGCACATTGTCATAGCCAACGGATTAATAGAGGCGCTGGGTGCACGGAGCATCATTGGACACTCAGTACGGAGTACTCCGTACGGAATACGAGTACTCCGCACAAATTCAAATTACCCTGCATGCTCCGTATACGACGTACTTACATGGAGTTCGGCGATACATCAGATCCACAAACGAACCCGTGATCGGTTAATTTTGGTTCCTTTGCACCCCGTTCGGAACTACCGAGTCCTTGGACACGTACTACTTCGCATCACTGGTGGGTCTTCGGAAGGTCCGAGGACCGAGCTCCGAAAGCAGTATTAAAGGGGATCCAGACGGAGAGCAACCTAATACGGTAACTCTGTAAGGAGTATATACCACACACCGTGTCGTTTCTTGTTCCTGGAGATATAGCCGGCCCAGGACCAATTTCTTGTGACCGGCAGTGTTAATACTCACCTCTGTCAGGAGCAACAGATACATACGACGTAGTAAAGCTCGGATGGCAGCAAGCCGCAGAAACTAGCCAGCGGTTGCGGCACTATCGGGCGCAATCCGCAACTTGCACAGCGTGGCGTTTTTTCTTTCGTGGCATATTCGCGCAAGCCTAATCGCACTAGCGGTAAGACAACTTCTTCAGGTACGAAGTGATAACCGAAGTATCGACTTGCCAACTCTCAACAAGCCTGTGCGGTGCCTGAATGCCGCGGCTTGAAAGGTATGCCATTCGAAACACATCATAAGAGTTGTTTAGGATATGTTTATTTAGAGAGTGGCTGGTATTCGTCTGGAGAAAGGGCAGGCCACTCTAGGTGCATATAGAAAAGCACGCATCCTTTAATACATAAAATTTCTAGACACTCTCATCTGATTAATAAGAATCTAATAACTATGCGCTAAGTGATACCAAAAACTTCTGTGCAAACCCTAACCATGCGAGTAACACAAACGGTGTAATGTAGCAGACGGCGACGGTATTTGTGGCGACGGTGATGCTGTCGACGGCAATAAAAATAAGGGTTGCAAAACACGGAGTGGATTATAGACTTGACATTGCACGAGGGTAGAAGGACTAAAGCTGCCCAAATGTGCCGTTTCACAAGAATATGGCCAATGACTACAGTCTCTAGCATTCTCTATATTACTCAGACTTGCCAACTCTTCCACGGGACAAACTGTCTGAGCTTGTTCGACGCTAAGGAATTGGAAGCTCATTAGCAAAAAAAGGCTCGTCAATCAAGATCGTATATACTAGAAGCTAAGAGACATCTAGGCGATTAAATCCAGTGCACCTAGGACTGCCTACATGGGTGGATGAATACCCTATGGTCACCTTTGTAATTCTGACACATGCCGATTCTACCGTACGCAGGGCTGTCATTGTGGTTAATCCTGACCGAAAGCAGCGCGAATCAGTCTAGCCGTCAGCTGGGACGTGAAGCATGGAAAATGAGCTCAAATTTGCCGGCTTTACCCGTGAGACGAGGTGCTGAAAGGGCCAGCTTCGCGGCGTAACGATGTCGAACTTATTGACCCATAAATTATTAACAAATGAAATGTGCAACACAGTTTCTTGTTGGAGAGTTAGGTATACAACACGGCTTACTAGATGGTCCCAATTTTGCCACCGGTGCCGTGGCTTGATAACATAATGGCTTTTTGTATATTTATCCAAAGGTCTTATAACAGCTGTACTGCCATTTTCTCTGTCCCGTCGGTTTCCTCACACATGCATTTCCTGCCATTATTTAAACTCGATCAAGTGCAAGGTTGTCAACATGTCTGAAAGAACTTTGACGTCCAGGCTGCGCGTTCATTCTCGAATGCTCGATCGAGTAACATTGCAACTTCTTCAAGTCAACCGAGAAATCAATAGAGCCAAAGTACTGGGATGGGAAAGTCCTAGGCCAATGTTGGAGTATGCCATATTGGCCGATTACGTGGAATATCTTCTTGGTTCCTTTTCTCGCAGCGCCTTGGGGATCTCCAGGGCCTCCTTCAGGATTGACCAAGCTGCATCGGCCATCCTCGAAAATGCTACGGGACGGGAGATACAGAAAAACCGACATACGGCCGATTTGCAGCTCACTGTGGTTTCAGGGCACCCGAATCGGACTTTCCATTGCTTTTCATGGCTACCAATTGAGCTGCAGGATATGATATGGGTAGAAGCAGCCCGATTTCCACCATGCGAGCACTACTTTACCGTTCTTCGTGCTGTTTTAAACAAGCAGTGTGCTGAAGATCTACGTCTGGTTACCAAAGGCTTATGGACGGCATGCAGAGCGTCCAATTTGGCTATGGCGAAGGCTTGTGGGAAAAGGACGTGCTTCAGACACGAAGGCAGCATCGAACAACGGAAGCTAATTAAAGCACAACTACGACGCATTGACGAGTTTGACAAGGGGGGTGGGAGCTGGTAAAAGGAAAGAGATTTCAGTTCTAAACTCGTGGGTAATGAAGGAGCTGCTCGGCTATTTCAACTGGCTCCGTGTAAGCGGATACAACTATGACATTATGTTCAATATCATTCGACAGTTATACGAGGTGAGCCCGAAAATGATACCGTATCCCGGTAATCTCTCAGTCGCCAATGTACGTGCGAGGATTTCGGCGGATGCTTTATTTTGTTAGGCAAAGGACAGGCGGGGTGTTTTATTGTACGGATGCCACAATTTACATTATGTAGAAAAGAAGTCTCGGCTACGTTTCACCATTCTTTAGCAAGGTACTTCTTTGAAGCGGCAACAAAGAGCAGTAATTTTACTGGCTGAAGGCTCTTCATAGTACCAAATTTGCCTAACTATCTGTACAACTCCTACGGAACACTTAATTTTAGATTACAGCAAAAGTTAGGAAACCAACTATATCTTAGTACATTATACTTGGTAATAGGAAGTTATATAAAATGCACCAATACCGTGAACGCCCCAATTAGCCATCGTTAATAGCTGGGGCTGATGTGAGCTGTGTTCGGTAGACAATTTAAACGAACGACACGGCACTCATAGGCCCTGGACTGATCTCTGGTGTTACTGGTTCCACAAAATGGGCGATAGTGCTATTTTGCACTAGCAGTTAAGTATCCGTTTCGAGGTCTTGTCCTGTTACTGCGTTCGCTGCTACGTTAAAAGCATCCTTTAGCACACCACAGCACTCTAGATACAGCGCCCCCGCACCCACCGGTAGCTCCCGCGGATTCGGGCTTTTGTCCCAGCCATGCAGCATTTTTGGGATCATCTTGTAGTGCACGTCCCTGCTCAGCGGTGGGTCTCGGAGGCGATTGGCCAAAGCCTCGCCTTCTGCCTGAAGCAAATCCCACTCACACGTGTAGAACACTATGTGGGGCGGCATGTCACGCGCCAGTCGTGCGTCGGACGCCTGTGATGGTGATAAAAGCGGGTCTGAGCGATCTATGGTGGGCGGGAATACGTAAGAGTTGTCGAAGAGGTTGGTCATAAATGGAGGCATCGTCTTCTCTGGCCGTCGGGACGCCACTCGCCGCGCTGCCCGCGTCTTTGTGTACTCTGTGACGGGATACCAGGTAGCCGTAGCCACAAATCGATGTGATGGAACCGGCTCCGCAAGACTTGTCTCCATCGTTGTCGTTGTCGGTTCGTCGTGGAGGTAGGCACCCAGACGCAACAACGATGTCAACGCGATGTTGCCACCGGCCGAGAAGCCGGACGTAGCCAGCCGCTGTGGATCAATATGAAGCGCGGCCGCATTCCGGATCATGTAAAGTAGCGCATCCGCACCATCGTCCACTGCCGTTGGGAACGGATACTCGGGCGCCAGTCGATAGGCTACGGACACGAAGACGGCACCACATGTCTCCACGACTACGCGGGCAAAGCGGGCGTCGTCCGTTGCCAAGCCCATGGAGAATCCGCCGCCGTGGAAGTTGACGACAGCAGGATAGAGTGTGTCGCTGTCGGCGTCGTCATAACCCGCTGGCGTGTACACGTGGAGAGTAAAGGTGCCGGTGTGGCTCGAAAGCGTTGATTTCACAGTGCGCGTAAACGTCGGCGCCGGAGGCTGTGGCGATGCCAGAAAGTGCAGACATGCACCCACATACGCCAGCGACCGGAACAGCGCCGCCTCCAGCCGGAGCAATAGTCGCGACGATGGCACTGCGCCCGGCAACTCTCCCTCGACCGTGATGGTCGTGGTCGTGGTCGTGGACAACTGCTGGTTAGTTGCCATGGCCGTTCTTTAGTGACGAAGAGAGCCTGTTTGAACAAGCGTTCGCCAGTCGTTGTCAATTCTATAGTTATCATATATTCAACAAAAATATATGCCGATGGAAAGGAACGCATACAAGTTGTTGGTACGGTGATCGTTCGTCGCAATCCTGGAGAAGTCGTAGATTTGCGGGGCGACCACTATTTGTACGAGTGGCCGCCATTCGCGGCTGAATTGAGATACAACGCTGCGGGCCCACGTGACTTGCTTAGACGGTCAGCCACGGCAGAACCGAAATGCTCTTACGGCGGAAAAGATGGAAAAGCATGCTGACATAATGCAGTCGACACAAAAATACGGCACTGCTAACGATACAGCGGATGACTACGGAGTACTTGTTTTTGCTTAAGCTACGGTCAACAAAGCTGGTTTACACTGAGGCAAGCAAGCGTACAAAGCAACCTTCCATCTCCTCCTACTCGACGAGTCGTGATTCATCACAAAATCAATCAAGATGTACAACATAATTATGCCATATTTGTCTAAGGGAAAACAGCGCCCTGTTTTCGTCTACGGACATCTTACTGCGCTGCCTCTACTTACCCAATTCCTGACCGGAAACGCCGCCGACATTGACAAAGTGGCCCGCATGGTACATATTGCCACAGTAGTCGGATACAGACGCGTCGGAATCAAGACCAGTCCGGATGCAGCAGTGATTGAAGACGCCGGGTCAACTGTTCGGGGCCTTGTGGTCCTACCGGAGTCGATGGAGCATCGGTTACAGATTGACGATAATCACGATGCTTGGGATCGCAGAGTCAAGTGCATCCTGTACAGGATGGTGCGAGTACGCGCATACTTGAACTTCGAGTCGGACGTAATAGATGCCGACATGTTTCTGTGGAATGGAACTTTGCAGGCTCTGACAATGAAGCCGTGGGACCTCAAGAATTACATGGCTAAAGAGATGCCCTCTATGATAAACGAACTGATCATGGCCGAAGCCTCCTCTTGATCCACTCCTCCGCCTTCTTTTTCAATTTCTCGCTCAGTTTCTCCTCAACTTCGTCCATGTGTGTCGCAGATTGAGGAATTGGTCGGTTATTGTTTTAGACTTTCGTCTAAAAGCATCAGGCAGTCTTCGAATTCTCGCTAAAATATCGTGAAGTCGTATTCTAAGATTTGCGACTATCCAAAGAACGACGAACATACTAGCATTTTTAGGCCTCCTTGCGTGCAGTAACAAGGGCCGTACTTTCAAGTATGTCTCAACGACAGTTAACTGATCATAGGCCAATATCGCCCTCAGAGCTAGCAATTGGCCACTCGTCTGTTTTTGACATCATGATGAAAGATCGTTAATTATGGACGCTAGTGATGCCTGTGTCGAGGAACAGACATGTATTTGATAACGAGGAGCCTAATTATACATCTCATATTGAAATGTTCAGAGAGACCATTGATGTAGTTAGTAGCTCCGTCGACTTTGGTGATGCTTACTTTGGCGACTGTGTTTCCACGTTCTCGCAACTTTTCGAAGACTGGGCGGGAACGAAACGGGTCTACCAATGTCAGCGCACATTCGTCAAGAGCCGCAATTATGGAATCCCAGCACCGGGCTACTTGGCATGTATAGTAACAATACTCTCTCACGGCCCATATATGCCGGACGTGTTGCTCAGCCGCCCTGTCTACCATAAGTCGTTCTGATAAATCCCGAAACGGAAGATCAAGCTTGCCCTGACGAAAGTTTCTTAAGAATCAGAATACGGCATCAGCGGGCTGGCTTGGGCGACGGTACTTATGACACCAGCCTCGAGGCCGTGGCTGCCACACAAATGCTTCTAAATGCACGGTGTTGCCGGGTTTGAGTGAACAAAACATCTCACGCGAAAGCCCCAAGACGTGTATGTACAATATCTGTGCTTTTTTGCTAACGCGTATCATTGTTTTTAGTGCTAGCGCGGTCACCTCGTCTCTCTCTAGGGACGGCGTCCAAGACTTGCAGGTGGAATCTTCGACGTCTACGATGACTTGGACTTCTCGAAGGGGTGACCGTGGGCGCAACCAAGACCATGGTCATTGCCAGAACGGCCGTCTTCCTCGCCTGATTTCGATCTATTGTAACCAGAGATACGCCAATTCGCCGTTGCTAAAAAGTAAACACGTGAGTAGGCTCATTCTTGTTGCAAGTTTAGCACTTATTTCTGACTGTATTTCTGACTGTATTTTTCAAATAGACCTTTAAACCTAATTTTTCAGCGATGGTTTGCCGTAATTGTCAAGCCGTTTTGTCGTCCCCACGGCCTCCTTATTTTTCCAACATCCTAATCTCATCCTCCGTCAACTCTTGCCGCCGCACGATCTCCGAAAGCCATACCAGACGCCCGTCCTCGGCCACCTCACCAAACATGAAAGTCTCGGCGCCACCAACAGTTCCATCCGGCAGGGTCGTAGAAGAAATGTGCCTGTCCGCAAACTGCGTTCCGTCTCGGAGGAACTGAGTGACGACCAAAAAGACGCTGGGCAAGATTTTGCGAAGATGGCGGATATGTTCAACAAACGCGGGAAAGTCGCGCATGCCATCGTTGTCCTGTTGTGTGAAAGTAGGGTGGAAGAGTTTGGACAAGTCTGCCTCGGTGTCCTCCGTATTTCCTGAGAAAAGACTTAAAAGCCCAGCCTGGAAGGACTCCTGCTTGGCGGCGAAGTTGGTTGTGTAAGACGTGGATTGGCTTGCCATGTTGGAGAAATTTTTGAGATTAATCAGTATGCTGGGCCAATAGGTAGGTACTGGGTTGCTGGACGCCTGTGCATTAGAGTTATGCTTTGTAGCAACTGTGTTGTCTGCACGATGGCGGGGTCCAAACTGAAGCCTGGCTGTTAATTTGGTTGCCTGTACGATAAAAATAGGCTTCAGCATTTATTTTAAGTCTGGTTACGAATTACTTATTCGTTATATTAAGATCATTGTGTGATCTCTCAGTTCAAGTTATCCTTTCATAGGGCAGTGCTGCAATCCTGAGATAGCCGCATAATATACAGACATGGAGCTTGATTCCGTTTTATAAGCCGAGAACTTTAACCTGAAATAAGCCCTCTATTTTTGTAAGTAGAGACCCTACTATCACCAAGACAACCAATAACACCAATGCCATCTTTTGGTAGATCGCTAAAGTCGTGTATCTGATTGTTAGTCTATCGAGATTATCCAATCCTCGTGGCTTTCAGTTTCGTACAGACGGCCCTTGATGTATTCGAGCCAGTACGGGAATTCATGTCTCAGAAGAAAGCCTGCATCAAACCCCAAGAGCCAGTCTTCTTCTCCCAGCTGAGGTTTCGTCAGTCCAAACTTTCACCAGTAGGGCAGTGCGAGATACTCACAGGTCGAGGAATACTTTCCACAGAATGGAGAACAACAGGCCCTGAAGTCCATTACACAAAATGCGGGTCTTGAGTCCACGGCCAAAAAGGCCCGGAAGTCCGTCCTCGAGCACCACCAGTCTTGCGGCTTCGGCTATCGCGGGGTCAGCGGGTGGTCCAATCATCTGATGACGAGAGAGTTTCACTTACTGTACGATACTTTTGTTTCGTTGACCTGGCGGTAAGTTTTGACGACTCTCAACGAGTTGGACACGGAGTCGGATATGATGGAGGCAATGAAGCCGATAAACGCGAGGCGTAAAAGCCACACGATTATGGGGTGTTTTGCGGGCTCGGGGATGGCCCCGGACAGAAAATTGTACTGTGACCAAACAGTGAGACGCTGCACGTAAGATAGGTTCAGAAAGGTTGGGAGGCCAAGCATACGGTAGCAAACCAGGGATAATGTCCCACAAACGTAGCCGCAGCAGTGGCTATCGCACCCCACCAAAGACTGCCCACACCGTCCGTCTTGATCCGTTGGCGAAGCAGGTTCGTTCCACGAGCACCCTGTGCTTGCAGGGTTGTCTTGAGAGTGTCGATGGGGGTGAGAGTCATCCGGAAACAGGCGGCACTTTTGGCATCAGACAAATCAGTACACGAACAAATTCGAGGCAGGACAAAATAGACGACCTACCATAGAGATGCAAAGACGGTCTGGATGAAGGAGGGCAGGTCCTTCAGGTACGAGTTGGAGTGCAGTAACGCAAGAATTCCAGCGTTGGCTGCTGTGTCTCCAAATCTCGAGACAGGTCCTGTGGCGTATCCATATCAGTATTCCCGGGTTTACTTATCAGAACGGGATATGCTCCAGGAACTCACCTTGGACGAGGGCAGCACCAAGGCCCTGGTAGTACCGGCCGTATCCTCCGTCCTCGTACAGTATCCGGCTGGCAGCGGTGAATGAATGTCCAAAGCGGTACTGGTAGTTCATAATCGTTCGAAGCGGCTGGGCAGACCGTCAGCTCAGAAGACAAACATTGCAGGACAACAGACATACCATGAGAAGCAGAACCTGCAGGATCATGGCTGCTGCGCCGCTTAAACCACCCCCGAGTGCTCGTTTGAGGGCACCCTTCAGATCAAACTGCAAAAAGAGCGTCAGCAGGGAAGGAATTAAACATCTCAAGCTCGCTGGACAGCTGGACACACATCAACGTCGCCGCCCGCGTTGATCCACCCCTTGACAAAGAGGGCCACCACGACAGCGGCTGCAACGGCCCAAAGTGCCCTCCAGACGTACCATCGAGCGGGAGTGCGCTCGATGTCTTCCTTTCGGCCCTCGTCCTCGGTTGCTGCATCGGCGCCAGTGTCTGCGCGCAGCAATGGTGTCTCCTCGTGGACAATCGGTCGCCTTTCGACGTCGTCTGGGCTGCTCATGATGCTGGACGTAGTGACGGGCGATAAGCTTCTGGCACAATGTCGGACAATCGATTGAAGCTGGCCAAGACCATTTCAAGACGACTTGGATGTGTTCTTGTCTGGAATGATGCGATTTCACCCCCGCGTTCAATTATTAATTGTCGAATTGCGTGCTGCTCTGCTTCGGCTTCAGCGGATCTCCACCACTGTTCAGCCGATAATTCGTTATCTTGGTGCCTGCCTAAAGACGGGACCGAGTTAGCGCTAATTTCGGGCTCTTCGGTTTTCTCCGCATTCTGAGGCTATAGCGTGTCCTAGGCCGTTGGGGAGAAATAGGGCAATGAACCAGCGTCGTTCCGCAGCACTGATTCCCATCTTTCGCTTTTAATATGGAGTCCTCGTCGGAGCTGATGCAGGGCTCCCCTACTATTTAGCACTAACGCCGACGCAGATCTGCCGTTACCAGCGCTGCCTTTAGAACTTAGTGCTTTGAAGGACAACATAATCCCGTTTATCCCGCCTTTCTCCAGTGGTGCTGTAAGCGTGGCGAGCTCCGAGAACGGGTCGTGTTGCTGGATCACGCGTGGGCTTAGCAACGAGATAGCACGGCGCAACCAGTTGCCGGCATCGGCCACGTTTCTTTCCTCTCACCGCAGAGAGAGGCAGACCTCAGCAGCACCAACGGGGATTCGCACCGACAGAGCTCTGTTCTCGCAGCGCAAACGGGACAGGTGCTGCTGCTGCTGAAGCTGGCCTTGCGTGGCAGATCGAGCATATAGCTTGTTTCGGCGAGGGCCAGTAGCTTCAGAACCCGAGCAACGGTCCCCTTATCCTGGACGACACAGTGGCTTTCAGAAAATTGGCCCAAATCTAGCAAACACATCAGGGAATTGCTGCAGGAGCATGCCATTTGGACGTCTGTTTTGTGTCGTCCACCGTCCAGCCTTTGGTCACGGCTGCATCGAAGAAACGCTGGTGCGAGGGCTACTGCCCTTAGACAAACAAACGCCTGCAAGATGCTGCCCTATCGTACAAGGATGCGGAGCCCCCAGAACTTGGTCTTACTTTCCGTGGCACAGCCGCTCGTGGCGTAGGATTTTGCAGCCGGAAAGCCTGTTGTCAAATTATGGGTGCCCAATGAGCGCGAATGTATTGTTTTGGTTAGGTACTTCCGAGGTATGCCGACGTGCGTCAAAACACGTACTAAATAGCCCCATGCGCCACACAGTACATGTATTCTTTCATCACACTGCATAATCGTGCACGCCCCTCCCATTCTAGCCTAAGGCAAAACATTCTGGGATGATTATTAAGTGAAAAAAAGACCCACAATGGTCGGCTCAGCTTTTGTAGGAATGGTCGGGTTGTATGTAGACACCTGCTACGCGCATCGCATGACCTGTGTGGCACTAAAGGCTCTCTTTTAGTTCTACATCTTAGCAACTACCCCAACCGGCGTAGAGCGTCTGCCAAGCCTCGTAACGGCAATGCAAGTGTGATGATATCGAGAATATACGAGGTAGCACGAAGATGGACTGTAGCATTGTCATTTTCGAGGCGGTATCGCACCCTCGCACCAGCAGAAAGGCCAAGAATGGGACCAAAAGGGAAGGTGGTGCTCGCTCGCGGCATCACTAACATTACTCTGAGAGATGGCCAGGCCGGAGGGCCCGCACCTGTCGACGGGGGATGTACAAGTATACAATGAGGGAAGCAGAGGAGGACGCGACGGAAAGGAGCTGCCAAGTTCGTTTACTCTACGCTTTTCAAGAACTCCTACTATGCGTTTCCTCGCTCCCGCTCTTTCGATACTAGGCACGGCGGCCCTCGTGGCCCGTGTCACGGCGGCGGACGCGGGGGCAGACACTGTCGGCCAAAGCAACATCGTCCCCGGCGCCTACATTGTCGAGGTTGAGACGGACCAGGATCCGACAGATCTGTACCAAGAGCTGGAGTCGGAGGGCATTGCCGTGGACGTGCGGCGGGACCTGCAGTTCCGGCTCTTCCGGGGCGGATCGTTCCAGCTGCGCAACACGAGCAGCTCTGCGGCCGAGAACGAGGCACAGGTCCAGCGGATCCTGCAGAAACCCAACGTCAGGAACGTGTGGCCGGTGCGCGCGATTCAGTTTCCGAAACCGACGCCCGTGTCGGTGCGGAAAGGCTCGGCAGCCACCGACGGAGGCGACATGGCGAGACGCGATGGGAAGGACACGTACGCACCACATGTGCTGACGCAGGTCGACCAGCTGCACGCCGCCGGGTTCACGGGCAAGGGCATCAAGCTCGGCATCGTAGACACAGGCGTGGACTACACACACCCAGCGCTCGGCGGCTGCTTCGGGCCCGGCTGCGTGGTCAGCTACGGACACGACCTGGTCGGGGACGAGTATTGGTCCGGCTCAGCGCCGCAGCCCGACAACGACCCGTATGACAACTGCCAGGGCCACGGCACGCACGTGGCGGGCATCGTGGCGGCGCAGAGCATCGCGGCAACGCAGAGGCTCGGGTTTGCGGGCGCGGCGCCGGATGTGACGCTTGGCATGTACAAGATTTCGGGGTGCCCGGGCTAAACGACGAGCGAGATGCTGCTGGCCGGGTTCAACATGGCGTACGAGGACGGCAGCGACGTGATCTCGTGCTCGGCAGGCGACGACTCGGGATGGGCGGGCGATGCGGCAGCGGTGATGGCGTCGCGTATCGTCAAAGCCGGCGTGCCGGTCGTGGTGGCACTGGGCAACTCGGGCGAGCTCGGACTCTGGCAGGCGGCCAGCCCTGCGAGCGGCGAGGGCGTGACGGCGGCCGGGTCCGTGGACAGCCCGCTGCTGCCCACGCTGGTCAACGCAGCCACATACAGCATCGGCAACGGCACCGCTGGCACGCTCGCGTGGCAAGACGGCGTGCCCCAGTTTGCCAACGTCACGCTGCCGGTGGTGGTCCTCAACAGCAACAACCTCAGCCGGACCGATGCGGCCTGCGATCCGCTGCCCGATGACACGCCCGACCTCTCAAAGTCGCTTGTGATGCTGGGGCTGTCGACCACCTGCTCGTCGAGCCAGCAGGTTAAAAACCTCGTGGCTGTAGGGGTGCGGAACGTTATATTTTACGTCCTGACGGGCAGCAGTGGCTTCAACAGCCTCAGGATCACCTTCAACCAGGATGTTGGCCTTTCTGGCGTGGGCATCACCACCCTCGACCAGGCCCAGACCTTGGCCGACGCCCAGAATCAGAATCAAAAGGTGACGGTGGCTATTACCAGCACCGCCTACGCTGAGCCCGCCGCCATCAACTATCCCAACACGCTTTCGGGCGGCCACGTCAGCACCTTTAGCAGCTGGGGCCCAACATGGGAGACGCTGCTCAAGCCGCAGATCGCCGCGCCAGGCGGCAACATCCTTTCGACGTACATTAACGGCGCCTACGCCGTCATGAGCGGCACGTCTATGGCCACCCCTCTGTCCGCGGCTATTCTCGCGCTCGTTATACAGGCGCGCGGCACGCGCGACCCGGCCACACTCAACAGTGCCGTGACCGCCACAGCGCAGCGGATCACGTGGTATGACGGCACGACGGTGGATGACACGCGCCTGGCTCCGGCAGCGCAGCAAGGCGGCGGCCTGGTGCAGGCGTACGCCGCAGCCCGGACCCCGGCGCTGCTCAGCGTGACCAGCCTGTCGTTCAACGACAGCGATCACTTTCCAGGGCCGCAGACGTTTCGCGTGAGCCACGTCGGCCCCTCGACGGGCAGCCTCGACCTTGTGCTCGGTCACGTGCCCGCCATCACCATGTATAGCCTCCAGGACAATGGCGATGGCACCACCAAGCGGGCCCGCTTCCCCAACCCGATCGTCGACGATGCCGCCGCCGCGCTGGCGTTCAATGTCCCGGGTGGCACTGTGAAGGTGCCGCCTGGCGGCAGTGTCGAGATCACCGTGGCGCTGACGCCGCCCCCTGGACTCAACGCCTCGCTGCTGCCCGTCTACTCGGGCTACATCACCCTGGAGGGCGCCGCGGTCAACCTGTCACTGCCCTACGTAGGCATCGCCGGCAGCTTCGCCGCGACGCCGGCCGTGCAGGCCGGCTACGCGGCTGGCTGCTACCTCTCGACCACCGACGGCCATTTTGACATTCCGGCGGCCAGCAACCAGACGTTTACCATTCCGCGGCCGGGCAGCAACAGCACGTCGTCCACGATGCCCATCTACCCCCGGATCATCGCCCGGCCAACCATGGGCACGTCGCTGATGCGCTTGGACCTGGTGTCCGCGTCAGGCAACAGCAGCATTCCAACATCAAACTTTATGGGCGTGTCCAGCCTCGGCCTGCTGCATGAGATGCCGGTGAAGTTCGTGGCCGGCGTGGGCTTTAGCATCTACTTTGACGGCACCCTGGACGATGGCACGGTGGTGCCCGCAGGTGCATACAAAGTGGTCGTGAGCGCGGTCAAGATCTTTGGCGACAAGAACAAGAAGAAGGACTGGACCATGGTCGAGACGGCTCCGTTTGTCATTGCGTACAAGTAGTGTTGGGGAAGAAAGCCCATCGTCACCACCCATTTTACAAGCAAAGCAAAAATAGGCAGTGCAAAATGGGAACTGGCGGAAATAGTGATATTTACCCAATCTGTTTTCTTCAGTAATGACTAACCCCGTATTATACGTAACCATTGTCACCAGCTACAAATAAATCAAACAAGCAGTGTAACTCCCCACCTCCTCTTAAGATTTGCGGCCAGGCCAATGATAGCTTTCACGAGATGATAGTGTCCGGATCCGGGTCACTGGCGACTGTGGGATTGTCTTCCAGCGCCGCTTCCACAAGTGTATTGAAATGCAGTGGTGTATGGTGTGTAGTCTCTACTCTAGTTGGACGTAGGCTAGCTGTGTGCTCTCTCGCTCCCATGCGTCTGACAGTATCAGACCTAGGGCAACCCGGTGGTAGGCTGCGCCACCATTTCGGGCGGCCGAGGTCAGGTGACCTCAGGGAAATCTACACGGTAGAAGAGAAGGGAGAGGGAAAGGCAACTTTCGCATAGAAGACGGATTTTCATGTTAATTATGAATTAAACTCTACATTTAGAGCTTATTTGTACGCCTATTTTCAAAGTTTGCATCAACAAGATGTATTCATTTGTTACCTTAGGTTGGAATCTGTAAGCTAGTTACAGGCAGCGGTACTAATAGAACAGAAGCTATTGAGGGCCATGCTTCGTCAACCATTTCTCCAAGTCCTTGACGGTGGGGCATTCGAGAAAGACCGACGCCTTTACCGAGATACCTAGCTCGGTCTGGATCTTAGCCGCAAGTGTAAGAGACATCAAGGAATCGACACCCAGTTCGGCAAATGCGGCTTCGGCTGAAATATCGTCCGTGTCCAGTCCCGTCTCATTCGCGATGAGTTGAATGCAGGCGGCTACATGGGGTAATTGTCCGCCTTCCGTTGTTTTCGACTGGCTAGCTTCTATGGAGGTCGATGCAGCAAGGAGCTCTGTCACGGGCACCTGGCCTTTTTGCTGCGGAACGGAGATGGCTGCAACGGATGGCCTTGCATTGTCGAAGCCAGAAGAAACGAGGTCTTGATCTGGAACATGCCTAGGAAGTCCGCTTTTTTTCTTTTGGCGTTGAGGAAACATGATTGGCATCAAGGCCCGGGGGACACGCTTGAATTTGATGCCTGCACAGACACCCACGATTTTCGCGCCCCTCAGAAGATAGATGTCGCCCGAATATGCTCCTGTTTCGCCATCGATGGGCGACATGCGGACGTAGTTGCGATACATAACGTCGGGACCTGGCTCGAGCGGTTCTGCCATGCGCAGGTGCCGCCATCCCGGTGTGATGTAGAAGAAGTCCCGAGACGAGCCGGCGACCGGAGGGTCATCATAGCCGTCGACATTATGCACGCCGAACGAATTCATGATAAATCCGGCCAGTTGGAAGGCGCCGTCTATCCAGTGGGGAGGTGTATTCCAAGTGCCGTGGCGGTCTGCATTTAGCACCACGTCTGCCGTGGCTTCCAACGCGTCCTCGATCAGGGCTACACGGTGCATGCCGCGGTATCGAACTCCGTAATCGACAATGTTTGCAAAAAGGTGATACGCCGCGCCCTGAGACAGTACGCTCACTCGTTCGCGGCTCGCTCGCGACAGGACTTGGCGGTCGGACGTCGCATTCCACACGGCATCGATACGCGAGGCGACAAGGTATGAGGCCATCTGCCACTCGGCCTGCCAGGTCTTCAGGTCTTCGTAGCAGACTACCGACGTCGCGAAGGCCTGGTCCGTCTTGCGTGTCCCGTCGGGGTTGGCAGAGTAGAAGCTCACTTGCGTTTGGCCTCGAGACATGTCTAGCAGTGCTTCCACGCGAATGAACTGCACTGGTGTAGACCCGGGTGATGGGTCTTCATCGGACACGACTTGAGCCTCGACGACCTCCATCTCTCTCACGTCCATGTAAAGTCTACCGGCGTCTGGTGCCAGTCGTCTATAAAGATTCTCGGCAACAGTTAGACAGATATCGGCCCAGATGCTCTGAAGAGGCCAGAGTTAGCAATGACACAAACAACTGCACTAGAGAGGTTGATTCCAAAATGCTTGATTCTCGTACCGCAGTCAATACACTCCGTCCATTGATCTTGTGCCCAGCCGCTGCTCCAAGCAGATCGGGGTGGAATATGTCGGAAACGACGGTCATGCGTGCCATCTGCTCCCCTACATCCTTAAAATCGACCTGCTGCGTAGATGAAGTAAGGAAAGTCGGTTTTCTCGAGCCGTGATTGCTTGTCTTGTGTCCTGCAGCAAGCGCTGGGTTCGCCTTGTCAAGAGTCCACGCGCCTTCGTAGGGGATCCAGTAGTTCTTCTGATTCCAATGGTACGATTCAAGGGAAAGCAATCGATGCGACTTTTCGCTACGCGCAAAGTACTCATTCCAAGCAATGGGGAGGCCTAGGCAGTGAAGTGCTGCCAAACTTCCACTCCAGGCCGACAGAGCATCGTCGGCCTTCCGCAACGACGGAAACGCCTGGACAGGTCCGCTCTTCTCCTGACAGTTCCGAACAAAGGAGGTACACACTGGGTGTGGTCCTATATCAATCCATACGGCACTGCTGTCAATAAGACCTTCTGTCTCAGATGCGTTGATTGCAGACACGAAATCGACCGTCTCGCGAGTGGCCCGTCGCAAATAGACCCCATCGATGATTTTCTCCTTGGCCACAGATTGCCCAAGGAGCGGTGAGATGACAGGAATCTTGGGTGCTTTGAACGTGACACGGAGAGCGGCGGTTTCAAAGTTATCGAGGATAGGGTCCATCTGGGCAGAATGGAAAGCAAATGGTACATCGAGCAGGACGCACTTAAGGCCAGGTGCTGCCTGCAGTATGTCACGGAGAGCGTACATGTCGTCTTGGGTACCGCTGATGACAGTGTCCTCTCGGCCATTGATGCACGAGACCTCGTAATGGAACGTGTTCTCACATCCCTGACATAATTGGGCGATGCGGTCGGCCGAGGCTCCACGAACGGACATCATGACATGGCTCCCAGGCTCGCATGCGGCCACCATGAGCTCGGCCCGCTTGCCTACAAGGAAGAGAGTGTCTGCCACAGACAAAACGCCAGCCGTGCACAGTGCAGCATATTCACCCAGGCTGTGCCCAATGACGATGCCAGGCGTGATGCCCATAAGTTGCCAGTATTGTGCTAAGGCAATCTGGAGGACCACCAGAGCGAGTTGGGTAACCAACGGGCTCTCAGAGGCTTCCCAGCCAGAGGCTGTGCTGTCTATACTGCTGTCAATCGATTGTACAGTCGCAAAATCCTTGTCGCTGAGATTGCTTGGGGAAGAGGTGCGCGAGGAGCTGGAGGTATCACGTTCGATATTGGTTGTGGCAGGAAGAACCGATGGGAAGCCCAGCTGGCGGACGACACGGTCGAGCTGGAGGACAATCTCGCGAAATTCGGGCGCTCTATCGAACAAGGCCGCCCCAGCCCCTCGATAGAAGCAGCCTTGTCCGGAGAAGGCAAAAACGACGACGTTGGATACGGCCCTCGAGACAAGTTTTGCATGAGAATCCAGATCATTGCTAGCCGCTCGCAGAAATTCTCCAAGTTGTGCGGTGCTTGAGACGGATGCGGCGATGCGGATATGATGGTGCATCCGGCGGGCACACGTCGTATAAGCAACATCCTTGAGCCTGGTCTCTGGGTGCGCTTCGAGATAGCGGAGCAGGCCGCTGACATTACCGCGAAGTGAGGCCTTGCTCTTGGCGGAGATACAGACGACCTCGCAGGCCGGCGTCCTTCCTTTCCACTCATCTCCTTCCTCCTTTTCGGCTGGTGTCGATGGCGGTGCATCTTCGAGAAGGAGCGTCGTGTTGCCGCCGTGGGCGCCAAAGCTGTTTACGATGGAATACCGTTTCTTCGCGCCACCACTGGCATCTGTTTTAAACACCCAGGGAGTATTTTCGGAGAGAACATTGGCATTTCGATGGGCCAAATGCTGGGCCACAACGGGGTTCAGCATCGTCTGAATCCCGATGTGGCGTGGAATAATCCCGTGGCGGTACATCAGAAGCACTTTGATCAAAGAAGCAATACCCGCAGCAGCTTCGCCATGTCCAATGTTGGACTTGACGGCACCCAGGTGAAGACGTTGCTCGGGGTGCTGGCGTTGGCCTAGAGGTGCAAAGAAACCGAGTACCGACTCCGATTCGACTGCATCCCCTACTTGAGTCCCGGTCCCGTGAAGTTCTACAAAGCTGACGTCAAGAGCCTTGACACCTGCCTTGTCCAGCACCTGACGGTAGTTGTCCATCTGAGCACCAGCATGTGGCTGAGTAATGGAAACGCTGTCAGATGAGTGATTCGTAGCACCGGCTACAATAGTACCGAGAACAACGTCATTGTCCGCCAAGGCGTCCTCGAGCCGCTTGATAACGACGGAACCAACGCCATCTCCACGACAGTAGCCATCGGCGGCAGCGTCCCATACTTTGCACTGGCCTGTCTGGGACAGAAAATGTCCCTTGCCTAGCATGCAATAGATGTCTGGACTCGTCTGATGCCAAGCTCCCAGGTCAGCACTGCGTTTGAAATTGGCCACAATCTGCGATTCTTCAATCATGACCTAGACTCACGATGATATTTAGGCCGCCGGCCACCACAGTATCCGCATCACCAGCCCATAGTGCCGAACAGGCCGTGTGGACTGCTGCCAAGCCGCTCGAGCAAGCTGTGTCGATGTTCAAACTCGGTCCTTGGAAGTTGAAAAAATAGTTGATCCGACCGTTGCCGAAGGCCCTCTCGGTACCGGGAATCCCATATGTGCCAATCTTCTGGCTTGCATTCACCTCGCGGTAGTCATCGCTAGCCTGGCCATAGTAGGTCCCGACTCGCGAGGTATGAGAGGATGGCGTCCGATTGGGAACGAAACCGGCCATCTCCAGCGCTTCGTAAGCTGTCACGAGTGCTAGACGTTGCATGGGATCTGTTTGTTGGGCCTATTGCACACAGGTTCATGGTCAGAGCCTTGGGCAACCCAGGAGTCTATTAGTGTCCTTACCTCACGAGGGGACATGTTGAAGAAGCCGGCATCAAAGTGTCCGGGATTTGATATGAAGTTGCCAAACTGTGTCCCCACAGCGTTCTCCGTCTCTCCACTCGGGTCGAAATGCGCCTGGAGATCAAACCTATCCGGGGGCACTCGAGTGTGGGTATCACGGCCCTCGACTAGAAGCTGCCAGAATTGCTCAGGTGTATCAGCGTCCCCCGGCATACGACATGCCATGCCAACGATTGCCAGCTTAGAATCTTGTGGCAGGCCTGGGTTCCCACAATGTTGATCGGTCACAGATTCATCTTGCATCGCCCAGTCGACGAGGTCTTGACGTTGCACGACAGTAGAAGGCGGAAGATTTTCCACGACAGCCGATATGATGGTATCTGGAAGGAGGGATGTTCGGTAATGAAGTATCTGGCACGATGGCTCCGCGTGAATATTGAGCTCAGGCAAAATATGTGCTACTGCTCCCTCAGTGAGCTTGTCAAAGAACAGTGGCTTGGTAAGAGCTTCGGTGCATATAGCCTCGATCAAATGGCAAGCATCCTTGGCCGGAAAGGCGGTCCCCGTATATGGAGAAAGCAGAGGCTGATGAAATGAACAGCAGCCCCATCTCTCCCAGACACATGCCTCTTTCATGATGGCACGTACGTCTTCGGCATCGTACACATTGGGAACGTGACAGAGACCGCCCGAGATTGGCAGTGCGGCGTGTCGAGAGGAGCCGAGGGTCTTTGATTGTCGAAAGAGCTGGGTGAGGTGAGCTGGAGGACCAGTGATGCCCACCGAAGCGTGGTCCACGTGACTGATGCTGATTTGGGTCAGTGCCGTCGTCATGCCCTTCTCACCATCAACGTCCTGTTGGCCATGGAAGCGATCTAGTTCGGCTTGCACCACTTCAGCTGGCAAGCCAGTGATCACAGATGCCCAGGTGGTTTTAGACAGAGCTGTCGTATCTCTGGCTTGATGGGTGTTCTCAAGAAGCTGGGAAACAACCCCGACATGACGACAAAAGACAAAAGCAACTCGCACGCTTTCGGCTCCATGTGAGGCAAGATCTGCAAGAGACGGGGACACAGCCACTGATGCAGCCGAGAAAAGGCCAATGCTGATGCCTGCCAAACAAGTTGCTCCATCATTCTTCCTAGTCGCGACATGGTATGGGACATCACGCGCTTCATGGTGTCTTGCGGCCATATATTGGTTAGCTGAGTGTGCGATGCATTCACAGCATACACAAAAGAGGGACAAACCCAATGAACATGGCCAGGGCGTAGATGCAGACGAAAGCACCCTCCCACGCACCACCCAGTGGACCGTTACGCAACTTTTCCCACTGAGAAGCCAGCGTCATGACATCGCTGAATGGTGGGACAGATTCACGTTGGTCACGTGGCAGCTTCTGGACCTCTTGTCTCAGCACCGAAACACATTTACGCAGAAAATGTGCCAGGAGGGGGTGTTGACGTAGTTTGGCATATCGATGGAGCCTGCGTAAAAGGTCTTGGATGTCTCCACTGGGAAGCTCGTGACTGAATAAGACAAGAGCGGTGGAATAATTTTTGCTATCGATATTGATTCTCCCATCTGTTGTCTTCGGTTCCATGGGAGCTGAGGCGGCACCAAACCGATTGCTGTTGCCGTCCATTGTCATTGTGATGAGTGCGTTTTCTGCTAGTCCTCAGCTGTGGCAGCATTCAGCTCTGATCCTGCTGTTGTACGCCATACCTACCTATATAAAGTCTACCCGAGCGTCAACAAACCCAGCAGAGACGAGGCTTGTCTGTAGATTTGGTAGACCTAGGCTATGCATGGTAAGCATGTGGAATAATGGGCCGTGAGATGAAAGAAACGTCGGGTTCCGAGTCGGTAAATTACCGCGATTTGCTGACAAGGGGGTGTGCTGAGAGCACTGGCTACAGGGTGGTCATGCTCCACTCGTGGCACAGCCTTCTGTCTGCTTCGTGGCATAGAGAAGAATCACTATTCATTCATTGTCGCCACACAGGGGTGGTCAGTAGTTTTACAGAGATAAGACCCATTCTGGATAGGAATCGTAAACACATTCAACAAATGAGTCTAGATAGACAAAGACTAGTTCCGTAAAATAATGGTTATCTCTCTCATCATGTTCGTAATCTATACAACAGCATTCACTTTCGTGAACCAATATCTTGTTTTACCAGGCCCAACATTCTGGGAGCCGACTTTACCATGTTCTTCCAGCATGAGTAAAACCTGGCTCAGTAAAGGTTTCAGTGCGGCTTCGAACGTGGTAGCATCTTTTGCAACTTCTCCGTAGAGAATAGTGCCTATGTCGTTGATAGACAGACCATGTGTTGTGCCTATATGCAAACCATAATCGACGTGATATGCACTGTCTACGTGGCCGTTTTTTCTGTCACTTTTACGACCACATCGAGCCAGAGCCGCAAACACCTGTTGCTCTCTTGACTCTCTCTGCATGATATATCGCTTCATCACTTGCGGCAAGTGATTGATCACGTCACCATGACCGGGGTAACCAACAGCGCAGCTCAAATGCCCCATAAGGCGAAGACTCTGCGTATAAGCGCCTAGATCGTCGGCAACACTGTACCCGTGACCTAGCACGTTATCCCCAGTAAATAACGCGCTTTCTTCCTCCAGAACAAAGCACATGTGATCAGAGGTGTGTCCGGGTGTAAGCACGGCCTTCAAAGTAGCGCCCTCTGTAAAGAATGTTTGCCCGTCATCGATGGCGCGCTGACCTTGATTTGGCATATGTTTATATATCGAGATTTTAGGGTCGTACAGAAGAAGATCGGCAACACCGCCCGTATGGTCACCGTGCCAATGTGTCAGGAGAACGTGGGAGATGGCTATATCGTGATCATCAAGATACCCAGCTATATTCATGATCCAGGACGGAACACCCTGCCAATCTGTTCAGCTTGGTCGTTGGAAGTTGAGAGCCATTAACGAAGAGAGCATAGACAACTATACCTCGCCAGTATCAATGAGTATCCTAGATTTGCCAGTGCCGACCAAATACGTGTTCGTCCCCTGAAGTTGCATGTCCCCACGGTTTCCACCAAGAAAGCGCACCACACGTTGGGAGATGCCAACCTCAACCGCGCGAAGCAGGGGGAGCTTACTCTGCTGTGTCGCAAGGTAGTCAGCCCAGAAGCTGGACGAGTAAAACCCCTTGGGCTTGGCGCTGGAACACATTGTAAAAATTTGTGGTAGAATTAGTGCTCGGAACCAGTCGGGTACCTCGGTAGATGAATTTCGGGAGGAACTCTAGGTTTTATTTCTCCCCCGAATCCGGCCACATTCTATTACCATTACGGAATATTCGAAACGGTACAGGGAACCCACTATAATCTGTGTGCGGTAGGGATTCTTCTGACGTGAGAGTATCTTACATGCATGGCCGAAGGAGTCGGATTCCGGTACAATATGCACGCATAGTGGGCCATCAATTCCCCGAAAACCCCCCGGCACAATTCCCCGGAGGTGATGCACACGATTATTGGCAGCTTCAATTAAGTATGCCAGATTTGCTACTGAGATATGCAGATGGGCATCGACTGTGATTTTACTTATGCATGAATGTCGGAATGTGCGCCCTGTCCATTGTTTAAAGAAGAGCACGAATTCTACAGAAAATTGTATTTCTTTCTCGATACTCTAGTTTGAATATTAACGAGAAGTAGTGAATATGGCCAGCGTTCCCCAGAGTTGCACCGTGCTAGTGGTGGGTGGCGGGCCCGGTGGCTCGTACGCATCCGCAGCCCTAGCCCTCGAGGGCATCGATGTGGTCCTCCTCGAGGCGGAAGTTTTCCCAAGGTTCATTCCCTTACGTGCTGTAATGATACTTCGACGGCGGCAACTAACCAGATTGGCAGATACCATATCGGCGAAAGCATGCTCCCCTCTATGCGACACTTCCTCAAGTTTATCGGTGCCTACGAAAAGTGGGATGCACACGGTTTCAACATCAAGGTAGCGCATTTATTGTGTGGATTTATTATTAGGCGCAAACGTATTGCTGACGCTACGTAACAGAAAGGGGGCGCTTTCCGTCTGAACTGGTCCCGGCCTGAGACTTGTATGTCATGAAACCCCTTGGGATTTAGCAATGCAACTAACATTTCTTTCAAAGATACCGACTTCATTGCCGCTGGTGGACCTGGAGGATATGCCTGGAATGTGATCCGTTCTGAAGCCGATGATCTGCTATTCAAGCACGCCGCAGACTGTGGCGCCAAGACGTTCGATGGGACGAAGGTGACATCGATCGAGTTTGCCCCCCAGGACCAAGTGGGCGAAGCGGGTGCCAACACGGTTGGCCGCCCCATGTCTGCTACTTGGAGTCGCAAAAATGGAAGCTCCGGTACCATCACGTTCGACTATCTCGTGGACGCGTCCGGTCGAGCCGGTATGGTCAGCACAAAGTATCTCAAAAACAGATCCTTCAACCAAGGTCTGAAAAACATTGCCAGCTGGGGCTACTGGAAGGGCGGTGGTGTACATGGTGTTGGAACACACAAAGAGGGAGCGCCCTACTTTGAAGCTCTGAAAGGTATGTCTAGGCTGGTTCATTGATGCTCCTGTTCCAATACGCTTGGGTCATATGCTGAAAGAGTTCTCTGCCAGACGCAAGTGGTTGGGTCTGGTTCATTCCCTTGCACAACGGCACGCACTCTGTCGGTATTGTGCAAAACCAGGAGATGGCAATCCAGAAGAAGAGGCAAATGGCTGAGCCCTCTTCGCTGGGCTTTTACAAGGAGGTCCTGGAGCTCGTCCCTGGAATCAAGGAGCTCCTTGCCAATGCTGAGCTTGTTTCGGAAATCAAGTCGGCCTCTGACTGGTCGTATAGCGCATCCAGCTACGCTCTTCCCGGCGTGCGAATTGTTGGCGATGCTGGGGCTTTTATCGACCCTTTCTTTTCCTCGGGTGTGCACCTGGCCCTTTCTGGTGCGCTTTCGGCTGCAGCCACCATTGCTGCCGCTATCAGAGGCGATTGTGACGAGGAGACGGCATCGTCCTGGCATGACAAGAAGACTGCCGAGAGCTATACTCGCTTCCTTGTCGTTGTCTCTAGTGCACTGAAGCAGATCAGATCCTCTGACCAGCCTGTTCTACACGACTTTGACGAGGAAAGCTTCGAGAAAGCCTTTGAACTCTTTAGACCTGGTGCGTTGTCTTTCAGCCATGACATTACCCGCTCAACCAACATTTGCTGAAACAGAACCATACAGTGATTCAAGGTCAGGTTGATGCGGATACCAAAGGGGGCTTGACTCAGGCAGAAATTTCCAAGACGCTCGAATTTTGTTTCAAGGCCTTCGCACACGTCTCTTTTGATGAGAAAGAAGCGCTCATCAACAAGCTCAAAGAACTTGGTCTTGATGGCGACGTGCACGACGAGAACAACCGCAAGGCTCTGGATGAATTGGAGAAGGAGCTGACGCCCGAAGAGCGGGCTATCCTCACGACGCTGAAAGGGCGGCGGATGATTCGACCAGAAGATTCGCTCAACATCGACAACTTCACCCTGGACTCGATCGACGGCCTCGCTCCTAGGTTGGAGCGTGGCAAGCTGGGTCTGGCTGCGGCCAAGAAGGCAGAAGTCAAGTACACAACGCACGACAAGCTTTCGTATTTGAACGGTGAAGCCCGAGCCGCAAACAAACTCGGGAAAAACGATTACGCCGAGCCCCAAGGAAACTCTATGACCAACGGGCACAAAGTGACAAATGGACACAACGGCGTCACGGAGTCCGGGCCCGACAACATGAATATAAACCATGTGGCTGACCTCGTGGCCTCGTGGAAACAGTCTAGCAAGACCGCTCTCGATGAGCTCACCAGACATGGCCTGATGTCGTCGTTGCACGAGGCCGCCGAGGAGCTCGAGACGCCCTACGACACCCTGACACGCCTTGTCAATGCTGTAAGTTAAATTGAACGCAGAACTGGAAATGGCGCCACTCTTTCGTATCTGGTTACTGACAACATTCCCCTCAATAGGGTCGCCAAGTCGCACTGGTCAAGCTTGGTGGCGATCTTGGCATCTTCAAGACTCTCGCGGAGAGCAAGACGCCACTCTCCTCGGGCCAGCTTGCCGAGTACAGCATGGCTGAGCCACTCCTGGTAGCTCGCATTGTGCGCTATCTGGTTGCCAATCGTCTCGTTTACGAGGTGGAGCCCGACCGCTACGTCGCCAGGAAGGCTACTTACGCCCTTGCTGACCCGCATATTGAGAGCTCCCTGCGATTCTTCCACACCGTCAGCAACCCCTCTTTCCAGGCTCTGCCAGACTACCTACGAGAGACGGGCTACCGGAATCAAACAGCGGGATCTGCGCTCCAGAAAGGTCTGGCCGCTGAGCAAGGTCTCTTTCCCTGGCTGAAGGAGAACCCAGACGTGTTGGGTGACTTTCAACATCTCATGAGCATTCCCAAAGAGGGCAACGGCTGGGATGTCATCCCGCTCGAGCTTTCCGTCAGCAGCACACACCAAGGTCCGATGCTGGTGGATATTGGCGGCAACACTGGTCAACAGGCAAGGCTTCTGGTGGCCAAGCATCCCGAGCTCGCCGGCCGAGTCATTGTCCAAGACCGCGAGGAGACCATCAAGAGCGCCCCGGAAGTCAAAGGCGTTCAGCTGATGGCACATGATTTCTTCGGACCTCAGCCCGTTAGGGGTAGGTAATACCAACACATTATAAGACGGCTCTTGGCTAACATTTCTCCGCGCAAAATGAACAGGAGCAAGGTATTACTACCTCAGAGCAATTCTGCATAACTGGGATGAGGACCATGCAGTCCAAATCCTCGCCAATATCGTGCCTGCCATGACGGCTGACTCGCTGGTACTGATTGACGAAGTGGTCATACCCAACAAAGGGGCTCACGTCTGGCCCGCCGGGCTGGACCTACAGATGCTAACCCTCTTTGGGGGTAGCGAGCGGACAGCTCTACAGTGGGACGCTATTCTCGAGAAAGCAGGGCTCAAGCCTGTCGTGGTCAAGAAATACGCACCTGTTATGGAGAGCTGTGTCATCTTTGCGGCGCGGAAATAAATGCTTTATAGGAGCATCCAATAGGGGATGTACTGGTGTTACGAGTTCCTACTGTGTATGGAATATGTATTGAGAAAGCTATCTTACCTACGCACTTCTGACTGTATGTCACCATCGACGTTAGTTTCATCGCGCTGGAGGCTAGCTAGTTCACATCTTAACACGCTCAGCTGGACGTTGAGAAAAGAATCTATTCTGAGTTGCACCCCTCTCACTGCCTCAGGCTGTCCCGAGAATTGTACAATCTCACTCACGACTCTTTCCAGCTCCTGTAGTTTTTTACCGAGAACCTGTCCGATCAGACTGGTCTCTAAGCTGGCCTCTAGGCGGTGACTTCCAATGAATAAGGGGACACGCCTCGTCAAAGAAAAGCCTTCTGTCTGCTGGATGGGGTGGGACAAGATGCTGTTCTCGTTACTAAAAACGGCACCGGCTTGACTATGGCGGTTTTGACAACCGTAGGCACTGATAACGTGCCGGTAGCTGGTGATGATCTCGGCGCAGATGACGGTAAGCAGGAGTTGCGGCTGGGGGTTGGCGTGACAAGGGCAATCGAGCAAGCGGCGCATGGCGCACAAAGCCTCCTGCGCGGCGGACAGGACGGAATCGACAGCGGTATTCGGAAGCTGCAACGATGAGCGGCTATGGCTTCCCATTAGACAGGCTGGGGAATTTCCGCGCATCGATGTAAGAACCCTTGTGGCAACTCTGATGCAAGAGCAACCTAAAGATGCACTTCTATATTGTGTTGGTTCTTTTTGTGCAACGACATCTGGTTCCATGGCCATGGGAGGAAAAGCACAGACTTCTGAAGATCCGTACGCTATGGCCCTCATGTCTGTACTTCCAGAGTGTTGCACATCCACATCCACCGCAAGATTATCGACTGCAGCAACGCAGTTTTCTCCGCTAGTCAAGTGTTCCAGAAAAAAATCAGACAAATGCAGCAAGCCGCTTCCATCAGAACCGACGAATCCATCCATATGGTTTGCAGCGAGGGAAGAGAAAGGAGAAGAAAAGTAACTTTTGCTAGAAAGTCTAGTTTGAAAACGCACAGACGCAATCAAGGAAACCTTACATTCTAATATTGCTGTGGAGATATATAACATTGTTTCTAACTGTACTTCGTAAGTAGTCTACGGAGTACTCCGTGCCATTGCCAAGATGTTGAGATAAATGTGACTTTCTTATAGGAGCATAAATTAGATCCGGGATCGAGACAATCATCCCGAATACGAAGCCCTGCACATCTGCGCTGGCATACAACTACGTAACCATCGCCATCAACCCACTTCGTAAGGATTCATGGCCTGCGGAGTACTCCGTACGGAGAACAGGCTGTTGCTAGCCATTTCTTTCGCGCTAACGGGAGGTGTCGAATGCACTAGGCTAATATGGGCCGGAAGTGGATCTTATCGCGCGGGATGGTTACATAGTATAGCGCTAGGCCCCACCTATTAGTAGGGGATTTCTAGCACGTCGTGGACCTCCTACTGGGCACCCATACTTTAACACCTACGGTTCCCATTGTTGTACTCAGTATAGACTACTCCCTAAGACAGGCCGCGATTCTCATACGTCTTACTATGTAGATTACTCCGTGCGCCAAAACAAGTTCTACGAGGTGGATGGGGTATTATTCGGACTCGCCACAGGTGCACTCACCAGATCTGAACGGTGACAAAATCTCGAGAGACTTTGGCAGCCTTACTTGACAGGGGTTTTTAGGCGTGCTAAATTGTCCGTTTCCACCGTTGGAAGTACTGCTCCATTGTTTACAGTGGCAAAGATCTGAAGACACGCCTGGAGATACCTGACAAGGGGCGCGAATAATGCCCTAACCACCTCGTACAACGTACATTCACAATTCGGCGATTGCTATTTTCACTAGTCTAAACCCACGCTAGGTGGAGTTATTCTCATAGCAACTTGCTTATGACATTAATTCGGTCAAATAAACTAGGCCAAAGTGAGTGGGGTGTGAAGACTTGTAGTGCAGGACGGTACTATGTAGGATCATTGACTCTGACTTTTATTTTTTTTCTTGCTTCGTACTTCGTAACTTACTACGGAGTTGAGGAGAGATTACGAGACGCAGCGAAACCCATGTATTTAGGGTGTTGTTCAGGCCCGTCCCATCAATTACGTAAGAGCTTTACTTAACATAGTTACATGTTCCCTGCGGCGTACAAGTAGGCAATTTAGGACCGACTTTGTAAGCACAGTAGAACTATCTATCTTTCTACTTTGCTGCAACCTAGGGGCATAACTTGTGAAGCTCCTACTTTTGCACTATGGTGCAGGAAGTATAACAAACTAGCATAGCATTATGTCCAGTTTACTGCTACGGAGTACCCTGTACCCCATACCTTATTAGAAATACACAACTACACATACGATTGGTCTTCGCGCCAGCCTTAGGCCGTAATACAACGATCTCAGAGAACAAACCATAAATTCATTCAAACTTCTACATTATCACTCAAATTAGACACACACATTACCGTATACCATCTATATACGAATATTTCAAATAGAAGAGTAATGTAGTGTTAGCAACTAAGTTTAATACTAGTTTAAGAGAAGACCTATAGCTACGTAAGATAGAAAAGACGCGCTTGCTTACTTATGCATTTTAGCATAAAAGTTAAGGCCATCACCCTTTACACCTCAACATTAAGCTTTAGTTTAGCTTTTCTTTAAAACTTTAAAGCCACCAGGAACCCTCGTCTGAAATATTCCTTCAGGGTCATATTCCTTGCTCACAGCCTGAAGCTTAGCGACATTTTCGGCACCCCAACTCTGGTACACACCCTGGGAACCATCGGCATAGTTCGTGTAGACGAAATCAATCAGGTAGCTGCCGTGCCTAAGAACTTTTTTCTGCGCCTGCACGATGTTGGTAATGGCAACCTGGACCTTCACATCGTCGGATGCGTTACTGTACGCCGCTGTCAAAAGCCCCACGACGTAATTGGTCTTGCCCGTCACTAGACCGAAAAGGTTTTTGCCATTGGTCACCGATTGCGGTTGCGTCAAGAACTCGATAAAGAGCCCTTCCACGTCGGCTATTGTGCTGATGCCCTTCTCCCAGATCTGAAAAAGCTCCATATAGACCTCAGCAGGGGGGTTTTGAAACGACCAATCGAGTTGGAAGGCGCTAGAATGCCGGAGAAAATGGAGTCAGCAGAGTCTCATTTGTGAAGCCAGGCACAAGATACGTAGGTAGTCTATTTACTTACCGTGAGGTTGCGGTTGGGATGTTAGCTCCAAATGTATCCACAACATCGGCAACAGTGGCAAGCTCCGCAACACCGCCCATGTTGGGAATCTCTGTAAAGCCGTTGTAGACGGGAGGCATGACGACGTCGTCTGCGTACCACAGGGCGTCTGTAATAGAATAGGCCCCACCGACGTAATCAATAAATATGCCCATCATGGCAGCGGAATCGAAATTGGCCGGCTCCATGAAGCGACTAAAGGCTTGGGCTTGGGCCTCCAACACGGTATTGTTATACTCGTACTGAAGAAGACTATACCACATGCGGTTTGAAGGAAAGGTTAACACGTCGAAACGCGTGATGATGCCAAAGTTATTGGATCCGCCCTTAAGAGCCAGCCAGAGGCCAGCATGGGAAGCTTCGGTCACGTAGGTAACCTCCCCACTAGCGAGAACGATCTCGTAGCCGTAGATGTTATCACAGGCAAAACCTTGTCTGCGGGACAGGAAGGTTAGGCCACCTTGTACGAAAAAAGGTATTAGCTAATCAGAGAGTTTCGTACAATGAGATCTTGTGATGTTCTCCAGACTTACCGCCACTAAGAAAGCCCCCTACACCAAGGCTTCCAAGCCGGCCCCCCATAACAGTGACGTTGTGCGGCGTGAGCTGAGGATAGACGTCACGCCACCTGGCACCAGCTCCAAGACTGGCGATCTTTCCATCTGCGCTCAGTACCGTCTGGTTTATAAGACGCATGTCGACCGTGATACCACCTTCAATGTTCGCGGCACCACTCCAGAGAGTGTGGCCACCCCCGCGGATGGCAAACAGAGCATCCTTTCCTTTGCGCACACCGACAGTCTTTACAAATTGGCTGACCTCAGAGGCGGTGGTTGGCATAAAGATGCAGTCGGGGGTGAGGTCGCGCTCTTCGCCGCTATAGTACGACGACTGGGTGGAAGTGTATATGGTGTCGTTCGAAAAGATGACACGCCCAGGAATCATGGCATCGACGACCTGACACGTCGTTATATGTGCAGAAACAGCGACAGCCGACAACACAGGCACGAGTATACACCAGAGGAAGCCAGACATGTTGAAATACTGCGCCAGCGAGTTTTTTGGGTCGCTGATTGGGGGGTTCCTGGCAGGAAAACAAACTTGGGGCAATATAAGTCAGCGCTTGGCTTTGATTTCAAAAACCCTTAAACAGTAGTTTTGGAAAACTTAAGATTCTTCAGGCTAAACAAGACCGTCCCTGTTCTCGACACAGATATAGATCCATTTTTATAGATGCCTATAGTTTCTAGTGTATCGTCACATGTTTTATTTCACGACTTCACTTTAACTAAACTTGTTGTAGGAACAGAAAACCAGTCGTATGTCAGTACTCCGTATCCGGGGCAATAAGCGAAGTCCGTGCATCAGCCTGCTCACATATTGTAAGCCAATCGTTTAATTTCGGCAGGTGATTTCATTTAGTCTTCTGTTCGTTGTGGCGGTGTGGACGGGATTCTCTTACTGAATTGACTCGGGATGTTGTTCCTTCCTCTTCTATGTAGCTGACTTAGTGTAGGGGTGGGGCTGTCTTACTACTTACGACTTTGTGGGCCGAGATTCATTTCTTTCTGACATGTAGGCCATGTCGGGGACATTGAAGAATCGTTAGCTGTCGATGCAAATAAGAACTCCGATAGCGAACCATAATAGAACGGTTCGAGCACTGCTGCCGTGCATGAAATCCTTCACTAAATAGGCGGGTCAATGTCCTGTATCTTACATGTAACGTTCATAACCCGCTACGAGACACTCACAGCTTAGTTTGGCCTAGTTTATTAGATCTAATTCGCGGGTTTGCGGTGCAAGGTATACGGGAGTAGATCTGCAGGCTCCCTGAGTTCTTCTCCTTTCCACCAAAGCCCATACCTAATGCAGTATAATACACCGAAGATAGTGGGGTCGTGCTCTGTTACGAATATTACCTTGAAGCCCCGCACGCTAGTCCGTACAGAATAGTATTTTAGTCAACTAAAGTAAGGAGTACATTTTTTGGCACTTTTATAAAACTAGCCTACCACCTATTACATACTGTATCTTCACCAAAATAAATCCAAATAAATACTAATCTATACAAAACTAATGCCTAAAAGCAGGGCTTTCAAACAGTATAGCTTAGTACTTTGTATACCAGCCATTCGCTTTAATAACCGCAGCTATACTGTAATCTATTGTTTTTATTAGCCTTTTTAATACCTTTTCTTCTAAGTCCCCTTAGCAAGTAACCGCTATAAGCACTAAAGTCTGTTTAATAGCGTTGTTTTTATTTATCATCTAGTACTAGATTAGCCTTTATTGTTGCTTCTTTAAGCAGCTTTGATAGGGCTTTGATTAGATTAAAGTTATAAAAAGGCTACTCTACTAATTTAAAGTTATATATATCTGCTTAATTACGCAGCTAATATTATACTATATACGCTAATCTGTAAAGGCGTTATCTTATACAAAAATGCTACTTAAAGAGTATATAGCTAGAAGGTTTTCTTAAAGGTATTGAAATATAACATAACATATTACTTTATTTTTAAGCTAATTTAAGGTTGCTGTATATTGTATATAATATAGTATAATTACTCTATAATAAAGTGCCTTCAAATATTTAAGAGTATTCTATTAGCTTAATTTATAACTAGACATTTTTAAGAAAAACTTACTTACCTTATATTGTTGGTCTTTGTAAAATTATAAGAGTTAAAAAATACACCTTTTAGTAAAAGCCCTATACTTAACGCTGTTCTTAACCTTAAGCAACTATAGATTTCTTAGAAAATATTTGACGCTTTTAAAATAAAATAAGCTTATTAATATACTTTTAAGGAAATACTATTGTTGATTTAGGTTATTAAAGGGCTTTATAGTATTAAATCCCGTTTTTTAAGCGTTTTAATAATTGTTACAATATTGTATAAAAGGTTAAGCTATTCTTCAATTTCTTTAGCTACAACAAAAGGGGTTACTTTAATACAATAAAATATATACTATAAATCTCTATTATATAACGCTAGCAGGAGGCTAGATCGATACAAACTAGTGCTTAATTCCTACACTATATAGCGCTTAACGATAATAAATATAAAGTGCTTATTAACGCCCGTTATACCTGCAATAAACTGATTAAAATAGCTAGATAACTTAAAAGTATAAATCTTCGTCCGTTTGCAAGGACTAAATTGTACTCTAGGCAATTTTATCTCAAAATCTGCGCCGTACAGACTGATTAAAAAAGTGAGTTTTTTTTAACGCGTCTTGAAAAATCTCGCGACCGTGTACTAGTTAAAGTACTCCTTACTTTATTTGACCCACTATATACTACGGATTTTAGCGCTAACGGTACGTACGTCGTAGTAAAGGCGTTAGGATTTAAATCCGCCGATTGGAACGATAGGCTGGGTAAAAGCAATATTACAACGCTGCAATACGTTTGGAAAAAGACGACTTAAGACGGTAGATATGTAGTAGAACACAGGACCACCCGCCGCTCTTTCTCAAGATTCTTTTTTGATTCTTTCTCAACACACATTCTACTTGATTCAATCCGACCTCCCTGACATTATGGCACAGCAACCACCCTCTTACACCAAGCTGGCCCACTCGGCCACTTATCCCGCTATCAACCCAACGTCTCCAGGGCTCTCTACCAGTGGTAAGGCCATACTAATCACTGGCGCATCGGGAGGCATTGGCCGTGCTGCTGCGCTGTCGTTTGCCGCTTCGGGACCCAAATCACTTATCCTGCTTGGGAGGCGTTCGGATGCATTGACCGAAACGGCCCAGCTCGTGCGATCCCGCTATGCTAATTTGCCGATCGACACTCACCTGATTGATCTCTGCGATGCGCCCGGGCTCCGAGGTGTTTTCGACAGTGTAGCATCTAAGTCGGGTGGTATCGACGTCCTGGTTCACTGCGCCGGTGTCCTAGCCCCCGTTGTCCCCCTGTTGGACGTGGAACCCTCTACTTTCCTGGATGGTTACAAGACCACCGTCGTGGGCACCCTCGCGCTTGCCCAAGCCTTTGTGCTGGCCAACAAGAGCTCACGCCCGGACACCCAAGACGACAAGCCCATCCTTGTCAATCTAACCACGGCCGGCATCTTGTTCCCACCCTTCCCTGGCATGGGCGCCTACGTCAGCAGCAAGATGGCGGCGGTCAAGCTTCTGGAAGCTTTTGCAGCTGAGAACCCCCAAGTGCGTTTGCACCACGTGCATCCTGGCTTCCTAGATACTGCTATGTCCGCCCAGTTGGCAAAGACTACAAAGCTTCCATTCGGCTTTGACGATAGTGAGTACATTATCAGATACATGAACCAAGCACAACGAACTAATAGACTACCTTTTTTCTCCTAAAATTAGTCTCCCTTCCTGCCGATTTCCTGGTGTGGATCTCTTCGCCGGAGGCAAAGTTCCTAAACGGTAAGCTCGTCTTTGCCGCTTGGGACGTGGAAGAGCTCAAGAGCCGGGAGAAGGAGATAGTCGGTGGACCTCCGGGAACTGGTGAGCTGTGGCTGGGCTTTAAAGGATTCCCACGATACGTCGGAGGTCACGCATTGGGGCAGAATTAGAAACAGTAAAGCTGGCTAGGCTGGAGTGAGGATTACGTCCCACCTGTAAGCATGAAAACCAATTGCTCTTTTTGCTTCAGTAACGGCTTCTTTGCCATGTTTGAGTACTCGATGCTACATGCCATTTTTCTCCATTCTTGTGATGTGGGAACCGATCTATTCGATATGCAGATTTTGCAATTACATTCTAACGGAAGGTCGATTATAACTCAAGTTCTCCATTAGATGGAAGAACTCAACGACGTATACAAGGGGACAGACTAGACAACCTTCCACATCGTTGTTTTCTATAAATCTGTCTGTTCTATATCGCAACAAGCTTCAAAAAACTATCTCGTAAAACCTTACAGGAACAAGCAACCTATAGCTTCCTGAGTAACAGACTGCAATTTTGATCGAAGCAGCACCACAATGGGTTCGACTAGCAGAGTTGTGTACGTACCACTTCCTTCTCCTTCAGCCTTGTGAAGTTCAGGGGAGTACCGTTCAGTATATTTTAATACAACCTTGGCAATCTTGGCGAGGCCTTCGATCCCACCTTGCTCAGGGCCGGCCAAGCTGCCCAGGGAAGTTGGTAGGGGTGGTACTGATAACATTGACCAATGAAACAGGTTTGGATCAACACATTGGTGGTGCTCGTCGCCAGTCATCGTAGTTTCCCACAACGATGCCGGATCGGCGGCGTTGGTGGTGGAGGTTGTCTCGCGGGCGTAGCGACAAACCGTGTCCATCAGGGCGATGCACCCAGACGCCACCAGAAGCGCGACAGCAGGCTGATCGGAGCACGGACAGACCAGGATGGCCAAGAGCTGTCGGCACGAGTCTGTGATGATGGAGCTAGACCCCAAAAGCTGTGTGCTCCTCTGAGCTGAGTCGAGCTGCTCGAGAATGGATGTCGCAATTTTGACACAATCACCCCTAGTGCTTGCGTTGGAATTTCGAGTCCAATCAGCAAATACCTCGGACGCACGTTTCTCATGGTCGTAGTCAGTTTCTGGCATCTGCGTCCCAGATGAATTTGCGTCGTCTACGACGCTTCCTTCGCCGTTCAAGCTGAAATCTCCAATGGAAGTGCATGCATGACTGCTGTGTTCAGTTGACGTCGCCAGGTGTCTTTTTTGTTGTTGCCGCCTGTGTGGACGGCCAGCGCGTCGCGCAGGGCTGTATGAACATGGTTGGCTCAGGCCAGTACAACGAGAACACGCCGGTTTTCTCTTGTCGCATCGTAATTTGGAAGCCGAACAGAGGTCACACGAACTTTTTAACTTCTGGTTTAGTATGAGGGTGGAATATGGATCCATTCCGGATAGCATTCGCCAGGATCATACAGCAAGGGCGCAGTATGGGTAAGATCATAAGTTGCTATATTAACGTGAGCCTTCGTAAAAGAGAACCTGCCTACTTCGATCCGGGTACCTTAGAAGCAAGTGTGTAAAACCAGCGTTGCAATAACTACAGATTATGACCAGACACACTTTACACTACGTCGCTTTGTTTTATGCAACTAGAATCATTCCTTGGAATATTACCGAGCTCAAAGTTGGCTTGTGATAGAGTAGTAGGTTTCTCTTGGACGTGACCCTGCGGGTTACTGTGCAGATTTTGCACTGCCGCAGTGCAGCCTGCACTAGCTTCTAGTGCTTGCCAATACATGTACTTTTCCGCGGTTTTACTTTTACTATGAGGGGGTTTTACCTGGAGGTATTCTATATTTGGTTGCTAATTTAGCCATGGGTGTCCGGCTTATCAAGAGACTGTTCTGAGCGCTTACTATGTACGGAGGTTACAAGGGTAAGTTGCTACGAGTAGGGCTCGAATTTGTACTGCGCACTGCCAAAAAAGGCACTAGCCTGGCATAAGCCCCTGGTCGGACCCTAGTTTCTTTTGCCTGTAACTCTGTTGCCTGTAACCGTCTAGATGACGGTCCGCTTCCACGAGTTGATTGGATTAAAGACCCATATTAGCGCCTTGGCGTTTCTGACATGCATAGGAGCTGGATTCCAATATCCGTACGGAGTGTGTTGCGGGAAAATAGAGCAGCATCCATGCCGTACCGCTGCTCCGAACCGGAGCAAGAGTTGTTTACAACGCTGGTGTTTGGCAGGAAGATCATCATACAGCTTTAATCGTCATAGGGGTATTTAGCCTAACTAGCACCCCTTGCCGTTATGGAGTAAACATGTTAGATCTGAGCAGTGATTATGCCTACCAGAGGCAGCTCCATAAACGCCAGGCCACAAATATGGGCCCGTCCATACACACAAAGAAAACTCTGCAACTAATCGTGCCACGCCCCAACTTTAATAAAAAGCCCACTTTAAAAAGCTCACCTATTATTAAAATAGGTGCTAACTAGCCAAATGCACTTAACAGCCAGAAGCTTATTATTACCACAAAAAGAGGTCCTTTAACAAAGCTAGTTATTGCGTACCCGCTACTATAGTTATAAGAAAACCAACTAGCTATCTGTATTACCATGGTTTCTAGCTTCCTAGCGTGCTAAATTCTAGGCCGCTTTAAGCCTTTATTGTTTTTTCGTAACCGTTTTTTCTGTGTCTTTACAAAAGCCTTCTTTGCTTTTTCTTTTACGTTTATAGCTAAATTCGACTGTATTCGCGTACGTCTTTAAGTCTGCTACCCCCCCTTTCAACCACCCCCTCCTTTTAACCAACAATTACTTAATCTACGCACATCTTTTATTTAGTCTTCCTAGACTTCTTTACTAGTTATATAATAAAAAACATGCATAAATCTATTTATAGACTCCGCCTACATCTCTCTAGCTGTGTTTTTCGGTTAAATATCCCTTACAACGCGCTCTTTAACCGCTATAACCTCTTAAATTTGTATAAACTACTTATTTAGCGCAAGCTTTACTTTATAGCGCTTACTAACTTTTTACGCTAATTATAATGCCTTTATATAAGGGTTAGTGTGCAATATATAGTTATAAAGGCTTAAACATGTTTATACTTATTATATTAAGACTTTAACTTAACAAACTATAGTAGACTAATAGGCGACGGCCTGCTAGCTAATTTACACGTAACTAGAAGATGCGGTGTAGCGCAACCTTAGTAGGGCGTAGCATAGCTAAGTAGCTATGCCGGTCTTATATAATGTATTAAGATAGTTTGTTAAGTTTAACGCTTAGTAAGCAACAGGTTGCCGAACTAGTGCGTAGGGACGCGTGTATAGAATACCTTTATACTATCCCTCTTCTTTTTTGGTAATGCCTTTATTAGCCTAGAGGTGTATACGTAGCAGCTACTTGCTTATTAAAAACCTTTTTTATAAAGTTAAGAAAAAGAGTTAAGTGCTTTAGGTTATTAGTAGCTGCTAAGCGGTTATAGACTGCTTGCTTATATAACTATATTTAGGTAATATAAAAGCGTATATATACTGCTTAGTTTATAGTAGTAGTAAACGCTAAATCTTACTTAATGTAAGGGTTATTTTATATGTTAAAGCTTTTTAAAAGGCGTATAGCTTAAATTCTAGTTAAAGAACGCTTAAGTTATTACTAATAGGTATTATAAAAAAGCTAGCCTTAAATACTAAGTATATAAAAGTATAGTATATATTAACTAAAAATAGTAGTATAAGGCTTAAGACTTTTAACTACTAGTAAGGTAAGATAAAGGTATTAGTAGCTATTTATTACTTATTAATTATAAAACTATTATTAATTAAATAGTAAAGGTAGTTTACTACTAGGATATTTTTTTTTATTTTAAACGTTTCTTACTTTACTATTAAAGTAAAGTTAAGTAAGTTTTTAAGATATATTTAAACGTTTTAAAAAATAGCTTTTTTATTATCTTAAGGTATAAAATAATAAGTATATTTTATAATTTTAAGATAAATTTGTTTATATATATAAAACTACTTTTACTTTTTTAGATTTTTTTTCTTTAATCCTACTAGCGTAATAGGTTAATATAATAATTTATAACTTTATATAGTAGCTAGCTAATAATTGCTTATAAATAATATTTAACTAAAGCTACTCTTAAGTTTTAATAAACTTTTTATAAATATAAACTTTATAAAACGCTCTCTTTAAGCATATGCATTATCTTTTAAAAGTATAAGTTTTTACTAGTATAGTAGTTACTAAGTAATAGCTAACCTTATAGTAAGCTTTATACTTAAACTATATCTTTAAAGCCTACTTAAACATTTATTATAAGTTTTTATATATAGCTTTATTAAAGAACTTAGTATACTATATTAGCTATATAGCTAATAATATATTATAGTACTAAGTAATTATATAGTAATTACTTAAAAGTTAATAGCTTTAATAGTAGTAGCTAAAGAACTTAGCCGCGCCTTATAAAAAGATAAGTTAAAGCTTTTAGCAACTAACTAGCGCTTTTAACATAAACATTTTAAGATAGTATAATAAGCTACATTACGCCTTAATATTCTTTACTAGTACTAGTAAAAGCTAAAGCTTACCTTAACGCTTATATAGTAGTTAGTAAAGGTAGCCTAGCTTTTACTATTAACGTTTTTAAATATAGGTATACTATTATAAGTATAGACTTAAGTTACTACTACTTTTAAAGCAATAGTAAGTCTTTTAATCTTTATTATTAAGTTATTACTAACTTATTACTTAGGCTAATTCTTATTTTATTATACTTAGCCTAGCTTAGCGCGCTACGGCTATTTAAGCTAGCTATAGTAGTACGCTTTACTATATTATAAGAGTAAAGAGGCTGCTTAAGTAGATCTTATAAACTATAGTAGCCTTAGTTAAGCTAGCTTAAACTAACTAAGTAGTAGTCTTTCTTTAACTACTATCTTTAGTAGCGCTTAGTAAGTAATAGTCTTATGCTAAGTTGCTAACTTTAGCTAAGCGCTAGCATAACGCTAAGACTATTTTTAGTGCTATAGCTAGTAGTAGTAAGGTAGTTATAGTAGCTAGTAGTAATAGTGTAGTAGTATTTAGTAAGAGTATGCTAGTAAGCAGCTAGTTAGTAGCTAGTAGT